ATTCATACACTTAGTAATTTTACATTAACAAAATGGAACAATTTTGCAGCGACCATTTTATTCAGAGAAATTACCTATACCCCTACTTCTCTTTTCCTTAATTTCAGTGTTGTTTAAACATGCAAGTTTACAATAACTATACTGACTGACTTCATACGTATTCCATAAAAATAATCAGACTGTTGTTTTAAATTGCAAATACTTACGTCATATTCATATAAGAGACATGATACGGAATGTCCAAATGCCTATCCCATACGCGATTTCCAGTTGGGACATTCTCAATGCGTACCTGGATTCAATAAATAGGAACAATATAACGCATCACTGACGCAGTCAAACGTGCATTAGATAGAGCCCCCGTAACGTTGAAAAAGCCTTTTGGTATTAATAACCTGAATTAGTAGGTCTTTGTCTTATTGATTTGCTATTTTTACTCACAAAACATCCTATATTTTCAGTTTAGTTATGTCCTTGTACAAACCCAATTTATGTAACATATAGTCTCTTTAGGCAAGATCGAGTATTTAAATTGCTCGCTCAATAATTTCCAATAAAATAAAAAAGTGAAGAAAATAAGCAATATAAAAATCTGCAACTACTTACGTTACGTTACAAATTAAATAACATCAATGTAAACGCCATGAAGTGCTCCACTCAAAAATTAAGCTTAGAATCAGATCCGGCGGTATCCGATGCACCGCCCACGCTACACACATAGACAAATCAACGGCACGTGCAACGTGTCCGCACAGCACACAAACACAAGCTGCAGCTATTCAGAACAAACTATACACTTACCTATAGTTAAATGTGCACGTGCATTTGAACCTATATAATGCTACGTTGAATTTCTGTTGAGAGTATATATTACTTTGCCGACATAAACCGTTTTAAGCATATTTTTTAAAACTACTTTGTCGTTATTAATGCCAAGGAATATGTATAATTTTAAAATTCATGTTATTGTGTTAATAATGTCCTTCTTTTGACTATTAACAAGCAAACGTGCTTATAGCTGAAATAGGTCTCTTGTTCTCTATTTTTAATATACAATGTAGAGTTCCATTTAAGAACATTCGTCCTACTTAAATAAACAGATTATTGACTTCGCTCCCAATTATAGTAGCCCTCTGACTTGATAATACCCGTCTACGTCAAATATGAACACAAAGGCATCTTTTACAACGAACTATTCTGTTATCCCTTTTCTATGACTCTTCGTAAAAAGAGATGCAGCTAACATAACGTTAACGTCGGTTATAATCCAAAGTAAAAATAGGACAAACCATTTAAATTGTTTATCGAAGCATACATTACCTACCAAATGAGTATTTGAAATTGTAATCCAATGTTTTAAATGTTGGCTATGTAAACATATTTTCAGCATTTGAAAATGGAACAAAGAGTTATTATCTTTTTAGAAAAGAGAAGAAATTAAAGCTATTGTTTTTAGGGTATAAGCAAGTAGATGAAACATTATAAGAATACAAGTTAAATAAAGCGTTTTTTCTAAATTAATTGAAAACTAAAAGTAGGTCACTAGTGCACGCAACAGAAGGAGTGTCTCTACGAAAGAGATAGCGTCCCTTGCCTGAGAAGATATCCAATATTAAAATATAATAAATATAAGGTCCTGGCTATAAACATACACTTTATTAATCCTCTTCAATATTCGGGATGATAAAATATTACTTTTTTAAGAAATCACTGTCAATTAAGTAAAAAAAAGAATGATTTGAGACAGAATTTTTATAGCTCATGAATATAACATTAACTTAAAATATTTTTTATTTTTATATATAAAGCTGCAACCAGTAAGTATTGATGATGATGGAAATATGATTCTGTTGAACAACCCACATGAGTGCGAACCTTGATTGCCTGCTACTGTATCGATCCGTCTTCTGTCCGCACTTTGAAGGACGACCTCCTATAAAGACTATAAAAAAGTCAATATGACCAGTAGTCTTCGCTGAAACGAAGACGAAATTTATTCAGTTCTTGATAAGCTATTAGGGTTAAATTCGATCCTGGGAATTGATGCACCTCCACAATATCCAGAATTATGCGTCATGCAATATGAATCACCTAATATTTGTAACGATGAACTTTACATGCGTCACCGACTTGATAGATTACAGTGAACTGGAACCCATTTTCCAAGGATTGATAACTGCGATATTTCTAAGTGACACAGAAACTTGTAAAGGTCTTGTTCTAACTAAATTTGAGTTACCTCAATTAAATCACGGATGGCCCTTGATTCATAGAGTCAGCTTTGTCCTCAAATATGACAAAGGAACACAACCTTCGCAGACCACCCTTGGCCGTGGAGCTGTGACCTAGATCGCTGGCCTCCCCCTCCGCTGCCCCTGATGCTGGCTACCTCGACCTGACCTACTTCCGAATGCACTTCATATACCAATATGCTGTTTTTAAATTGGAGGAACTATTATAAGCTGAACTCCACTGCACTTTTGGCTGAAAGTCAAGTAAAGAATGCCTTATATAAACACATTTCCATATATAATGGGTAAAACTATTTCAATAATACCACAATACTTAACAAAAGTAACATATATTTAACATATATCTCACAAAACTATCGACCTAATACATAAAGGTAGAGATAGTAAATAGATCTAAATATAACAACGAACGGCATGGCAACAAGCCGGTTGTCAAAATCAGCTCAGCCCGGGTGGCCAAAATAATGTGGCATTGGTTAGAAGGTCGGTGCAGAATCTTTGGCAAGCTTCACCAAGCTCAACAGCGAGTTCTGGCGATACGATCACACCTCTAACACAAATTGCAATCCGTCAAATTTCCTCTTGAGCAAAAACAATCGAAGGTCGCGCCTTAGAGTCTCTTACTTTTTATGTTGTCATCTAATTTGAGACCAATTGCGATTTGACTTTAGTAGACAATATCCTGTTCCGGATGATCAACATTCTAATAATAAAAGTACAATGGTTTCGGGTTTTGTGATGCATATCTCTTGATTGATTATTTCGTAAGTTGTCGTTTCGTTCAATCGTGTAGTTAGTTAGCTTATGTTGGTCATTGTTTCTAGAATTAGCTTAGTGCACATGCAGTGGTGCGTTATGCGGGAGCGCTGGGTGGTGAGGAAGGGGGAGGGGGGGGGCAGGAGGGCGTGTGGCGTCAGCAAGGCCGCTCCACACCGACCTAGAACCACTTCCGTATATGTTGCCTTTTATCTGACGATGTTCAATACACCTATTGTTAAATAGAAAGACATAGCTGGCCTTGTCGATCAAGAAAACTAGTCAAATTTTATTTTTATCATTAATTTTTCAACTCCGTTTAACTAAGAACTAAAAACAATGAAATTATGATTGCTTGAGTTGTTTACTGCCTTTATTCAAAGTTCTTTTCCGGTTAGCTCGATATTCGTCACGATTCGCGAATAATTTATGAAATTGTATGTTTGATTTATATTTCATTTGTTACAGATTAACAGCGTTGTGTATGAATGCGTATGGCGAGGCTGCGGATACAATACCAACACATGTAACGCGATTGAAGCTCACATACGACAGTCACATTTGGGGTCAGTAATCAATAAAAATAAACTATATTTACCTACAATAACGTCTGAAATCGTAGAAAATGGCTCATGTAAATAATATAATCTATTTACAATAGCAATTTACGTTACTTACGTGTTGTTTGTTACGCGTAATTTTACCGGTAGAGCTATAGAGTACCTACACTTCTGTTATCTATACAACGTCAGTTCTTACGGTAGTAACTTCAAGGTTTTTTCAGTCGTAAATTATGCAACCCGTATAACGCGAGGTTGGATCCGATGAAAGGACGTGCAGTATAAACTTGCACGTGTAAGAAAGGTCACGTACGTTAAGAACAACACGTGTCGTTTAGTGCAATTGCAATTACGCAACCACCCAAACGGTAGCGTAGTAATACGTTCTAATCGTAAACCTTATTTTCTATCCAATATACGATTTATCTATGATTATATCAAAACCCGATCAGCTTGCCTTGAATATGTCAGTAAAACCATGATAAGAATAACGTACGAATAAGTACATTAAATATTGTAATGTTAGTAAGTGCTCCGTGAAATTGACCTTTGCTTTATATGTGACGAAGCACTTAAAGAATAAAAGGGCGGCCCTTTAGTGACCCGGAAGCCTCGACGGTTGGCAAGCAAGCGACAAGGTTGCATAGTACCCGCACCCGCGCGCGCTGCGCAAGGTCGACCGCCACCGCTCGCCGGCTGCTTACGTAACTTTGCCCCGTGCTAATGACGGCAATACATATTTCATTATAACTATGTACTTGTACGCAGTGAACGAACGACTTATTGAAAACATATTATTGAATAATATCTTTATTTTTCAAACAAAAAATTCAATAAGAGGACGCCCAAATAAACAAAAATAGCTCATTATTATATTTGAACAATTTTAAATTCAAAAATGGACTGAGAACAAAATATAAACCAAATATCAATACTTTATTGGCGAAAAGGTGAATTCAATAAAAAATCTCGCTAAAATAAATCAACTATATTTATTACATTTATTCTTGTAATTATATTCTTATTTGTACTTAAAATCCATAAAAGTGGAGCCGAGGTTTGATATTGAGAATTAATTTTATAATAAATGTTATGCGAGGAATTGATTAAATATCATTTCGACGCTCTATTTTACTCTATACCTACTCATTTTAGTCTGGCATTGTATGATTAACTGATTCAAGTGATTTTGTTTCTATTTTCTTTAACTTTCGTACATTCTTTTAACAAATGATTCCTGGTTTTGTGTACTATTCTCAATATTTCCATAATATATGTAAAGTTGCAATATGATGTTGAAGTAATAGGCGTTTCGTTGTTTTTTTTGTTCAGGCCAAAGAAAGAGGGTGAGAGTGATCACGAGGAAGAGTTTTACTACACAGAGCGTGATGTAGCGACCCCCGCACCGCCGCCTACACTTTCCCACCGTGATATGTGCCGGCCCCCACACGAGGATCCCGAATACCAACGGCAACTCGTCGGATCCTATAGGTACTTATGCTTACGAATAATTCAAATTTATAACTAATTTGAACAACAATACTCTACCTACATAAGTATGTATGTATTGCCAATCGTAAACGCTTATTTAATTTATTTCTAGACAAGGACTGCTCTCCACTATGCAGAATGGGTCAGCGAGGCCTATAAGCATTCCCTTATCGCATTCCTGGTCTAATTCACACTCACCGGTATGTTATTCATTATAAATACGTCTAATAATCTGTAATTATACTAACAAAGATAGTATTGTTTTAGTCCTTAAATCGAATAATGAGAATTTTTATTATCTTTTCACAGAAACACATGAGGCTATCGGGTGTAAGCGGTTCACCGGGAAGCCCCGGACGACGACCGCGCTCCGACAACAAGAAATGCCGTAAAGTGTACGGTATGGATCAACGTGACCTCTGGTGTACGCAGTGTAAATGGAAGAAGGCTTGCACACGCTTCGGCGACTAGCAAACACGCCGCGCGATACCAGCCACGCGCCTCAATCTCCAACTCAAAAACTTATCTTAAAACTGAACAATATGTGATTGACAATTCGCGAGTGCAACTAAGCAAATCGTGATCTCCATGAAGAAATATATTACGAAAGATTTTTATTTAATATAAAAGGAAATATTAATATAAATACTTATATTGGATATGAATCGCGAAGGAGACATATTTTTTTTGCTCTTCAAAATGTTAATCGTATTTTAACTGCAAAATATGGACATTGCCCACGTATTTTTGTAGCGCAGTAGAATTCGCCTTTACTGTGACGTGCATGCGAAATAGCATGTCGCTCTCGGCTGCAGACTGTGAATATTAGCTGTAAGATATTGTAAGGTTTAGACTGACGCGGGGTAGTGTGGGGACATCACCGAGCCTCGATGACCTATGAATGGATTCATGATTGAAAATATTGTACGACACGAGTCACAACAAATCACTATATTAGATATTTGTTAAAAGTGTACCGTTTATACCCAATAACTATAATCATAACTGAAATCTCATGAGAATTGTTGATTTCGCTTAAAATAGCTCAAATAGCGCTATTAGTCATTATTACGTACACATAATTTCATACAGATCTTGACTCCGTTATCCAGTAGTGAAATCGTTACAGAAATTATGTAGTCAGTGAATTCCGTCCACATTTTCGAATGTGCTTTAGAAAGTACCTAGTTGCGTAGAAGGCACGTCGATGTTTTCACACTGCTCACGACTGAACGTGTACCCGATGCATTCTATAACGTGCATTGCTTACTCGTTCGGTTCATATTATAATCGACTCGGTATAATATTCCAGTCGAAAATACTTCGGTGATATTAATCACTAATAATATGAAAATGTATATTGACTGAATTACTAGATAATAATGAAACAAAACTACTTTATATGAATTAGTCTTGTAAGCTATCTCAGATTCGACGAAAAGACTACAAATCACGTTTTAGACTTAAAATTTTTATGAACATATCTTTGTGGTATACATTGGTGGTCTTGAAACAAAAAGACAATACCCAGCGTCGCTCGCGTAGCGTTGATCTTGCGATTGTCGTCCTGGTACAGTTTCGCCGTACCAAAGGTTTAGATAAGCATGTGATGACTGAGACACAGAAGAGTATGTAACACGCATAATTCGTTCAACTAGAGATAAATATGATTGTCGAATGCTGTCTATAATTATCAACCTTTTACATCACTATTAAAAGGGCATTATATTATTGTCTTTGAGATAACGTAAATGGAATTCGTGGTTGATAATTCGGCAAACTCTATGCTAGCTTCCACAATTATCTACCTGGACATATTGCATAATTCATTTCAATTTTCATGTCACAGGCATCGCATATTATCAAAATTCCAGGACAACAAGTGAAAGGTTCGAAATGGTTAATTGACGGAAACATCACTGGAATGACTTTTAGTAGGAATCTAAACATCACTGACGTGTACTATGATTCCGTGTGATCATTGGGCGGACAGACTATGTACGCTTTGGACTGTCACGTTGCAGAAGCATCGAGAACATCGGAATTTCGCGTCCAATACCGCCTATTGTACATAGATTTTTTAGTCTTCCCACAAAATTATTGTGAGCGCGGACATACAAATGGACGATTATAGATGGATATGAATAGTACGGAAGTACGAAGAAATGAAGTGAAGCCGATGCGAGCTGCAATATTATTTATAAGTATAAAATGTTTAAATGTGTAAATATTAATTTTATGATGAATTATAAAATATTATACTTTATATATACTTATATATAATATTTATTATATATTATATTCAAAATTAAAAGCAATGTTTCGGGATGTGTACATAATATATTGACTTAAATAGTATTGTTACTTAATAGTCGTGATCGTTTAATCGAACGTTTTGTGCGGTTACATAGTAACGTGTTTCGTTGTAAATTAGCTTTTATTTTTATTTAAGTATCGTACGTTTGCATTGAAAACCCCGGCGCGGCCCTCAGGATCCGTTAGCAGTTACCAAGGTTTGTTATAATAGATTTTTTATGTGATAAGTGAATGAAAATATGGATATTTTTAATTATATGAAATTCTACATGATTACAATTACGTTACATAAGAATTATGTGCCAATTGCGTATTAAAATATTAAATGGTAATATCGATAATTCTCAGTGTCTTTTCTCGTAACGCGTTCAAGTCTTTTCTATTATTCGTAGGAACAAACGAAAAACAATACAATTTTTATTCTATTCTCTGTTGTTCATTAAGTGGCAATGAAAAATATTGTTATAAATATTAAAAAAAGACTAAATTTCGTTACGTGGATGGCAAATAAGCGTTGCGAGCTACCGGTGCGTTAAAAATATCATTAGGCCTACCATTACTCCATATATACTTTTCTCATACTTCAATCGATTGATTATTATTCTAAGCAATATTTTCTTTTAGAAATTTCGTGTGATTGATTTACACATAAGGTGCCTTTTGACTGTTAGTACCTAGTATTGTTTATTTTTATTAATCGCCTTTTAAAAGAGTTTCGCTTCAATACATTTAACTCACTTCGATGGTGTTATATGTCTTTTATCATTATCAATACGTAGTATATCTTTGAGATATAAGAAGCTTAATATAAACTTATATACATAGTAGGCCTCCTTAAAAGCACTGTTGTTTAAAAATAGAGTTATAATTTCTTACCAAACAAAAGTACATAAATATTTTTTTACAATACACAACTGTTACAATGAATTGTAGAATTGCAAAAATATTTTAATGAATCATTTATATAAAAAAAATCTCTATCAGTACACAACAAAAATTTCAAAGAAATCTATATGAAAATTGTGCGTTGTTCCATCGGATATAATAAAATATTTATGAAGTATTATATAAGTGCAATTAGTAACTGTAAACATATTAATACAGTTTGTTTAAGAATATAATGTAAATATATAAATACAAAAATTTATAATGATAACATTTCAGAGATACAAATTTAATATATTTCTGCTTCAAATTACGACATATTTTTAGAACATGATTACGTAACAGCTAATGAATGAGAAATCAAAATTTTTCTTGCCAAATTCCGGTAAAATCTCAATTACATGGTGTGCCTATAATGCTTACTAATGTTTTTAAAACTATTCCAAATTCAAAATATTAAATGTATTATTTACGAGACGTACCTGCGATTATTACCAAATATATATTTTCATTGCAATAATGGTTGTGATAAACATAAAAGTTGTCACTATAAGCGAATTTTAATTATTTCCGTTTTAAGCAACGAAATAGCACGCTCCAAAAGCTTAGTTATGGATGATATCAAAGCTAGAAGTTATAATAAATTAAAAACTTCCAACAACTCAGCTAGCGATTTGACAACTGCCATATTGTAAGGATCTAGAAATAACAACGGCTTAGATTAAAAACATTAGTTATAAATAAATTTTAAGTTTGAAGTCATAATAATAGTATTTAATAGATATACATATTAGATATGACACATACGTGTTATTTTATAAATAAAGTTATTATTTCTCTATATAGATACAGCGATGGTGAACTTTTATTTTTATATTAAATCAATTCATTTATATCAAAGTAGCTAAAATCACCTAAATATATACCTATTTAATATACTTCCATCATAAAAGTTTTTTAGCTATATAAATGGTAGCGAAAATTTGCGTAGCCCTCTGTTGATGCCTTGCCGATATATTCTTGTTAATATTTATATTTAAAAAAGAAATTATAAGTATGAGAACACTAAATTCAAAAGAGACTTAAAAAAATAATTTCAATACGTAACTTTATGAGAATTTTGAGTGTCAAAAATAAACAAAATGTTCCCATTTTGGCATTTATAAAGTCATAATATTTTTTTTTTATAAAAAGACTAAAATCCAATTTAAATTCGACTACTACATTATACTGGCGTTAATTTTGGAAAATTATGAATAAAAATAAGTTCCAACAACCCATTAAGCGACGTCACTGATCCATTAACAACATCCAAATAAACTATTATCCAAATAAACTATTCCATTAACAACAATTTCAATACCGGCGAGGCTTCGCAAAATTTCATTAACGTAACATTTTCGCCGATCTCAATTATTATTCGAAGCTATTAGAGTTACGGTTTCATAAATCATAATTGAATACTTTTTTCCTTCTTATTTATATTAGATCTTAGTTTAATTTTATTATTTAAATAAATAAAGACACTTTATTTTTTATTAAGCCACTTGTAAATAATGTACTTTCTAATTTATTTAGCCAAAAGTTTGCTCAATTTTATACTGCACTCAACACCAAAGTCGTAACATAATAATTTAACAAAATATTAACATATCAGTACAAAAGAGCATAATTCGCACGAATTCATTATAATCAAATCATAGTTTTACCGACAATTTTGTGTTTGAGTTTAAGTTGGCAACAAATAGTTTTAGATAAAAAAAAAATAGACACAGCAAAGTTTATTTAAAATAAATTACGGTAGATACATACAACAATCTTAATTCTTGTTCGTCTGAGAAATTGTTGGGAACATCTGAATTTTCATAAATTTTGATAGATATGTCAACGCAGTGAATTTTAAATACATAAATAGTAAATAATTTCTATACACAATATACGGATGCAATAATTTTTATATGTATTCTTTACAGTAAAAAATTGTAATATACTCTTCAATAATATATCTCTCGTTCGTTCGATGGGTGAGCGATACTCGGTTCGTAGTCTTCTCGAGGACAAAATGCTGAAACCTTCTGATACTGGCCGCTAGTCGAGCTCTAAGTCTTATTCATTATTATTTCCTTCTATAACATTACACAATAAAGTATAGATTAATTATCTAACGTGTGAATTTCTATAATTTTAAGGCACAGTTCATAATTTATTAGTAAAGCTGGAGGTGTAATACCTACGTTAATTTATGGCAAATGAGCATCGTCTTTATATGTACTTAGTTCTATTGTTAATATCGCATAGATTATAAATTTAAAATCATACTTTTATTAACCGTCTCATTGTATTTATGAGTTTAATTCTTTAATTGGACTTATGTTCATGGGATAATTTGTATCATTTTAGTCCGTTTGTAAGTGAGAAATTGATTGTGTATGTATGTAAATTCTGCATCCTTAGATATTTTTCTTATTTTCTATAAATTAAAATATAAAACCACTCGTGTACATATGTAAATTTACAATATTTCACAACTCACTGGACCGGACTAAATATTGTTAGTGACAAAAAATCATTCAACGGGAATTTAATATACGTAAATAAACTTCAATTTTAATATAAATATCATTGAAAATAACATCTTAAATACCGTTGTAAGTTAGAACCCCTCGTCTATATACCTACATCTATTTAAATATAAACTTATGAATTAGATCCACTTTCAATTTTCAGTATGTTTAGTAACTTAAAGAGTAAATAATTTTCGAAGTAACTGTTAGTACCTAAACTAGCATAATATTTCCTCCAAATAGGTTTACGGCACTTGTTTCTAATTACATTACATTTATATAGTTATAAAAAAACCAATATAATTTGATTCATAACATTTTGTATATGTAAATATAATGCAAAAATTTACTGTCATGTGACATACTGAACGGTATGTGGGCAATCACAATTTTATGAAAATATGTCTCCTGTTTTAGATATTAGACCTCCTTCTCAACCTGCAGCGTGGTAGAGCACAACCATTAATCGACGATTCTGTATTTAAAATATTTCGTATCAAGTTTGCAACGAAATCTATTTATTCCAAATTCGAAATTGAACTTTCGTGCTCTACCATGTTGCGTAAATAGAACGGAAATTATTATTAAGTTTACATTTACTTATTATGGTACTGTTAGTTGTTTCGAATCATTGGTTTCTCATTATATAATAATATTGTATATATCTGCAATACTTACATACATATACGGAATTTTATTAAATCTATTCACCGGTAGCCTTAAGATATACTGACCGCAATACTTTACTTTGTGTTCTGTGTCTGTGTCGCAGATCGGGAATTATTTCAGTTCTCATAAAAAATGCAGTGTCATAGTCTTTATTGCCGAGATCTCTCGACGCGTCATCATTAGTTACCAGTAGTTTTAAGGTTGCTAGCAACATTATGATCAAAGAATGTTGTTTTCTATTTGATATAAATCTACTCGTATGTTTTAATGCTTATCATTAAGTTGTCAATATCACAGCAGTTTTTACTCGAGACTGTCAGCTATAGACTATTTTCTTTTTATCTTTCCACGTTCTCACGATGACGCACAGCTTCTAAAAGATTTTGTTTCTATAAAATATTGATGGTAGAATCTAGCTGGCAGTTATTCTACTGTGATATTAATAATTCTATTTATTTATTTTTTTTAAGATTATTTTTTGTCTATAATGTTGAATGTGAGTGTTAATATTTTACTGATATCATATAATTAGGCAATGTTATTTTATATTGTGTACCTAATGCTAAAAGGTCCAGAATGTGTTCCAAACGATTGATTTTATGATATATAGATATTACAATTATATTATCTATTAAAATGTTTATGTTAATGTGTTGAAAAAAAATCATGTTGGAGAAGTGTAAATCGTATAAAAAAAGTTGTTAGTATTATACAAAACAAATAATTTTGAGCATCACAAATTAAACAGCCTCATATATGTGATCGCACTTTGAGCTCTCTATAATGTACATATAATGCATTTCATAGCGAACTTAACTCAACTATGAAAGAAATGTACCTACTCAATAAATGTTATAATTGCAAGGAATCTTTAAGAAAAAAAAATGTTATTATTTTACTATAATGTACATTCTAGTACACTATTTGCCTGATATATTTACCTCAATAAGTTTAGTATGGATTTTGTGTGTCTTAAAAATATATATCGATTATTAGAAATCCGGTGGCATTATTTTTCATTGCGTCCCTCTTCTAAGCTATAACGATTTACATAAATGCCTGCCTTAAAGATACAGGCAGCAACACATCACGTACTAAAAAAGGTAAAAATTCTACAAATAAATTTTGATCAAAGGGAAGAATTTAGTTTTTTGTGGTTACCTGACGCGTAGTCTACTGTACCTCTATATAAATATCTACAGAACATTTATCTCTACAAAAGTATGATAACTCTCGAGATTTTACATAGATAATTTGTGAATGTAGCACAAAATACAAGGATCAACAACTGCATGTAGTACCTAAGAGATAATAAACTAAGATATATATATCGGATGACGGACGAAAAGGAAAATGTTTTATGGAACAAGTCTAGACCTAAATTAATTTATTCCAAAATGTGTTAATTTACTTACTCATTATATATTTACAAATATAAATAATAGATTTTAATTCATTTTGTTTCAATGATCTCTCATCGTCACAACCAAGTTACAACACACCTACGTTGACTATATATGCTGACCTAACCGAAAAAATAAAATTAGTTACAAAAAAGATTATTTGAAGTATCAAACAGTATGATCTTAAGCACAACAGGGGCCCGGGTGTAGGTAGTGCTCTGGCGCCCCCCAGCCCACTTTTTACACATGGTATTTATTAGACCATCATCGGCGCGGCGCCCCCCAACGCAGGGCGCCTGGGTGCATTGCGCCCCCTGCAACATGGGTAAAGACGGGCCTGACAAAAAAGTAATAAATAACTGCACATAAATAAGTTAAAAATAATGTCGATTACAATGCTTTTCATTTATTTGTATTGTCACGGATTATAAGAGTTCTATCCATGATAATAAGCAATGCGCAAATACTGTAAATATATTTTATGAGTAATATTGAAAATAATTTTAGACGTAACAACTAAGAAAATTTTAAATTGTCGTCAAAATTACAGTATTAATTTACGTACGATTACCATTGTCAAAAACTTTCAAAGATCCTAAACTCTTCCCGCCCATAGAAGTATATGTCATTTAAGGAAAAAGAATCTAAGCGTATACAGCCTAGGCTTTTTGTAATATGATATAAATATTGTGTTTATACTAGACTTTCACTAAAGGGTTCGCGTTCGATGTTATAAAGATACTTTAAGATTCATATAACAACTGAAATATATTAAATATCAAAACGGGAATCTATCTGTATACTGTATACGAATAAAGTTTCAAATCGTTCTTATAATTTTATAAAAAACATATCTTTGAAGTTTATAAAATCAAAAATATTTCAGTGATGTAGTGTCGGGTTTTATAGAAAAATGCGGCTCTTTTGGAATCATATTATTTCGAAAATAGATAGAATTCTTTTTTCAGAGAAACAAAATAGGAGCTCTAATAGAAAAGTTTGACCTATAAAGTTAAGATAAGTAAGTGAACATAAAACTAACATTACCGTTGAGTAGTAGGCTGTATGATCTGTAATCCATGTGCTATTTATATAAAACAAAAAAAATCAAATTTGTCAATGTCAATTGATAAAATTTAATTATTTTAATTTCGTGTTTCTCAGTGGTTCGTCATTTTGTTTTGTTTATATATTGATTTTCTATAAATTGTATAGATTACAAATTCTTTATTCCTGGTATCTTTAGCAAAGCATTTAACTGAACGTATTTCATCAGAACTAAAGTGAATATATCAGTCATGGGTGCTGTTCTAGGCCTTTGTTCTGCAGCTCAAGTAAGTTTCATTGATTTTTTTGTAAAAAAAAAAAGAGCAAATCGTCTAATTATATTAGTCCATTTGACGTGAAGACCACACAATCACCTAATTGCCGAAAATTTAATGACGACTTTATTATCTTACGAAACATCCCCATTTTGATTAGTCATAATATCTATAAAGTAGGTTATTGAGGAAGCAAACAAACTGCGTAAATTCCATAATAAGTGGTGTGATAAGCGTCATTCATCATACAAAAAAGCTTCCGAAATTTACCTATAAAAACTATTGAGAACCAGTTTTAATAAGATAGTAATAGCAATTTCAAACATTAAATACTAGAAACTTTCTCATTATTCAGATCTGTTTAAATAAATATTTTTTACATTCTTACAATACAAATTCTAAAATTAATTACATCAACTTTTAGTATATGTATGTATACTACTCTAATCTTTTATTCATAATGAAATACCTCTAAATTGCAAAACATCATTATTATTAGTTAGGTTTAAGAGGCTATCAGTTCCTAATGGTACTATAGTCACTGCAACCTAAATATCTTTTTGTGACTCGCCGCCAAAGTCATAGTAGCTCCTTTCCCCTGGTAGCTTCTAAGAAGCCTATGATGTTCTTGGTTTTCAGAGCTTTAATATCACCCGGGCAGGTTATTTCGCTCACTGAATAGTACAGTGGCACAACTCAAAAACCATTATTTCGAGAAAATGTTTCTCGAAATATGGTTTTTGAGTTGTGCCACTGTACTATTCAGTCAGCCATATGTCGTCCTAGATGGATGCTTCATTTGTGGATCAATGGTCCACATTCACACAGGAGGTGTTCATGTGTTTCACACTCCTTTTTACATTACCTGCAAATGTGACTTTTTGTATCCAGGATATTGCCATCATATATAGGTGAAATGTGACTTTAGTATCCAGGATATAGCCATCATAGGCCGTACACCGACATTTAAATCTTCTATATGTAAACGAAAGTCCTCTTTAATAGTCCAAGCCTCCCATCCATATGGGAGTACAGGCTATATATAGCATAGCAGAAGACGATCGCGAACTGGAATTTTAAGACCACAATGGCAGAGCATGTTTTACATTATTTCAAAAGCACTAATTGAAGTTGTTCATTGCAATTTTTCCTAATACATTCTTGGATTATTTACAAAGTTTAAGTATTTGGCTCTCTCTTCTCTCTTCACATTTTTGGGCGTTTCTCATTTTGGATATCGTAACAAAAGTTGCCTTAAGCCAGTCATCTGGTAGCCTGATTTGTAAATAAGATTAAACAAATTTATCAATACTAAAATGTTTTCATCATCAACAAGCTTGAAAATTTCTATGTGAACATTGTTTGATTCAATGGCTTTACCTGATTTAGCTAACAAACATTTTGGTAATTTCATCTTTAAGAAATAAACAATTATCCTCAATATTATTACCGGCTATTACTGTAGATAGAGATCTAGAATCATCTGCAAACGGGCTCTGGATATATTGTTCCCATAAAAATTATCCTATTTCATCATTCATCAGTCATTTTCATCAACTAGTTGGTGATGTGATTTTTATGTCCAGTCATTCATCATGTTTTGCATTTCTCGGGATCCGAGTTTTTGTAGATTCGCTTTTGTTCCATTAGGTTGTATATTTTGAGTTTCATGCATATCTGTTTCGCTTCCCAGTTTTTCTCTGCTCAAAAAAATGCCGGTGCGTATATTATACTCTTTAAATCATGCCACTTATCCCGTCATTCGCCCAACTATTAATCTCTGGATCTTATACTGAGATCATGAATTGCTCGAATATCAATCTTGGTCTTCTGCTTATTTCCTATTGTCTTAAGTGTGCACGCAAAATCAGCGACTACAGGATTATGATCCGATCTAATATCAGCTGATACATTCTGATGATACGTTCTAATCATGATCAAGTCAATCTGGTTTCTTATTACGTGGTCTTATTTGTGTCGAGGTGACGTTCAAGTATACAGTCTTCTTGGTGGGAGTTGGAAAAATGTGTTCATAACTACAATACCGTTTTCTTGGCTAGACCGTACAAGCATATCGCCTCTCTCGTTTCTTTCTCCCACACCATGCTTTCCTACTATTCCCTGAACTTCACAATGTCCCACTTTAACATTTAAGTCTCCCATGATTATGTTGTCTTCGTGTTTCTTTGTAGCATTACAAGCTGTTGCACCTCTTTGTAGAAGTTCTTTATTTCCTGGGGTGTGCCATCCTGTATTGGTGCATAAATTTGGATGATGTTTATGTCTCTTAGTTTGGCCCGCACTGAAGCATCTTAGCTCGGTTACATTTTGATACAAAGGTAGCGCACGTGCCAATATTTTTCCTACCCACCTACTCCATGTTTGTTTAAGGATTCCGGTAATCCGGTATAATATAAGATCCCTGTCCATTCGATGTCCTCTACATCACTTCCATCTCACCTCACCGAGATATTCAGGTGTAAACGTGTCCCATCAAAGAGACGCCGGGCACACGGGATTATTACCTTCTGAACTTTATCCATATGAAGCTGATTACAAGGGAGAATAAGAACAGCGGCTTCCCGTTGCCTTTTGAGTCAGACATTTCAGGAAGCATTTGACTCCCCAGACCACTGTACCCTCATCCAGGTTTACCTAAAGATGTAGAAAACAGTATCTCTTAAAACTCTGTATTCCTAGCTTTACCACGAATACCCTCTGTGAATAGCAAAGTTATAGTAATGTTGCATATTTGAAAATAAAGAACCAGAGGGCACTATTATTTATGAGATTATGTATTGAAACGGCAATGAAAACAATAATATTTTTTTATTTAAATAATTGAAATGACTTCTTTCGCAATATTTTTAATTATCGACCTTGACAAAGATTGACAAAAAGAATAGGCAAAGAACAACACATACTAAAATCAATATCTATTACAATGATAAAAATAACGAAAAAATTACAAAATAGTGTTCTTTAATAAAAACTTATTCGGTTTCAGTTGGCATGCTGCTGCGGAAGTGCCGCTTGCTCATTATGTTGCTCGGCATGTCCGTCATGTGCGAACTCAACATCAACACGTCTGATGTACACACTGATGTTGCTGCTGGTAATGATCACTGCCTGTGTTACACTTGCACCTGGTCTACAAAATGATTTGCGGAAAGTGAGTACTGCCTATGTACACTTTAAGAATACATTGATTGGTGAGATATGAAAGGGTAAATACAGCAAAGTACAGCAAGGGCGACGAAATGTGGTGTTTTTTAGGTTACATTATTAATATTAACTACCTGACTTAGAAGTGTTCATATAGACATACAGGTCAAATTGATAACCTCCTTACAAAAAAACATATTTAAGATATAACACTTCGTGATAGATATGATGATTATAATATAAATATATGTAGGTACTCTACATCAGAATAAAATCATAATTTGTCACATCTTAAAATGTCCGATATACATTATACTCTTTAAATATAAAAATTATTTCAAGTTAAAAGATTACACCCTGTGATAAGCAGACACTGCAGTACAGGCATAAGTGTTTGTTTGCAGCCGCAGAAATTATTAGATATTGGTACCAATATCCTATTACGTTGTGCACTCTCAAGAAAACTAAAAGAAATGAAATAAACAAATTTTAATTTGTGTTTTCTTTTAGGTATGCCTAGTATAATTCTATTTCAATATAATATAATTATATTCTTGTGTTACCTTAGGTCTCATCCATAAATTACGTCACATGTTAAGAGTAGAGGAAGATCAACATAATGTGACATTAAAGTCTAATTATAGAAACATTAAACTTGAATCTTATTTAAAACGAATAGAAAAATAAAACTAGTTTCAGATATCACACAAGAATTCGCGACAATATCGCGCAAAATGAGTTAAATATCCCATTTTGTTTCTGTGAAAATTGACAGTTAATGTGTTTTACCAGCATGAGTGCGATATATAATTAATATCACATAAGGAGAGGGGAGTCATACAAATGTGACAAGTTCTGAGAAAGACAAGGAGGAGGTTACAAAATCACGAAATACGTTAACGTAATTAATTAATAGCATTCATTTACAGATTTGAAAACGTACTCTGACAGAATTAAACATTTTTTGCCTAAGGGTTGCCACCATCACTTAATTTAAACATGCATTTTTGAAAATTGAAATATAAAAGTGAGTTCTGTTTCAGGTACCATTTTGTGCAAATTCAACAGGCACAGCTTTAATACCGGGGAGCCTAAAAGTTGATTGTGATCAAGCTGTTGGCTATTTGGCTGTGTATAGGTAAGTTTTTCGTATATGATATTAGCTTTTAATCATAGCCTCGTTTGCAGTATTATTGACAATTTTAAAAAAGAGTCTAAGGCTTTCCTAACTTTCAAACTGTCTATATCTTTCATCATATAGCAAGACAGATAATTTAAGGGTGAATATCCACCTTGAACGCACGCACGACACACATATGGGTTTCCCATAGCATATAATAAGAAATTGAATCTGTAAAAGTATAATCGATTAGTAAATATAAAAAATATGATCTGAATGTCTCTTAAAAATCAGATATGTTTACCTTAAATGAAATATACAACATTAAGATTATATTGCTTGTTAGAAGGTGACGAGACCCATAAGATATTTGACAGGAAATTCAGCTGATTTCAAGCAGCTTCCTTTAAAGAGGAAAGATATTATTGTTTGTTTGGATCGAATAGTTTCCGAAACTAATTAAATTAATTGAATTAATTGATTCAATTAAATGAACTTTCGTGTGGTTTATGTAGATGATTAATATCAAGAAATTATTCCATACATGAACCCTGAAAGGGCGCAGCAAGTTACATAGCAATGTTAGATATAAATTTAAAATACAATTAAATAAAATACTATTAAAGTAACAGTATAACTCAAAAATAAATTAGATAGAAATTATAGATTTTGTTTCCTCTTGCATATTATTATTTAACAAATACTGTTTTAGTATCTCTTGAACTTGATTTTTTTGTGTTTTGTTCGTTCTTTATACTAGACCAATTTTAAAAATTCTTTCATCTATGGGTAGCTACATTCTAACGGGTTAACATAGGCTATAATTTACGCATGCGAAGTCACACAATAACAGCTAGTATGTATATAACTCAACATTATCAAAAACTAGTGGCCGCCAGCGACTTGTCCGTGTTTTCCATTATTTCTTCGCTCCTAATAGTTGCGCGTTCAAACAAACAAACTCTTCAGCTTTATAATAGTAGTATAGATATGGCTTGCATTAATTATCCTTACAACTATCAACAAGCAACACTGAGTCAAATAATCATTGATGGTTTTATTTGTTGACTATGCAATAACAGTGCTTGTATACTATTTGTTCTTTCCAGGATCTGTTTTGCGGCATGTCTTTTCTTCGTACTGATGGCGCTTATAATGATTGGAGTGAGATCGTCCAAAGATCCACGAGCTGGAATACAAAACGGGTAAGAGATTTTACTCCTAAATATGTACTTATGTTTCTCCATTAATAAAAAAAAACTACTAGAGACAATTTTTTTTAAATTAGTTCTGTTTTTCTGTGATACAATTACTCAAACCCAGTCCAGAACTATGCGATTAGCAGACACGTTTCATATACAGTACTCGATGACAAATAAAAACGTTTACAGCAATGAAATCGCGTCTGGGTACATGACGAATTCGCCACGAGGTCTATTAAAGACCTATAACCGTTCTTTAGTTACTAAATAGCGGTACTTTAATCGACACATACCTGACAGTTTTAATAAATCACTTAATTTTCGTCCCTTTTCATAAAACCTATTTAAGAAACGTATGTATAAAAAGAATCATGGAGTCTTATAAAATTGACGATGCTTTGTTATAGAAATTTAATTTACTTTTATTACATCAGAAAGAAAATCAGAATGCGATATATATGATTGAAAATTACAATTGTTTAAAATACAGTTTTCTACTCCTGTAAAGACTAAAACTTATATTTAAACTGTATGTGAGAAATGATACATCTTCAATATACATATATTGAAGATGTATCATTTCTGATGTATTAATGAATAATTCTTTATTATCCATGAACACCAATAATAGGAAAAAATAACACAAATAAAAGATAGCACAATAGGCGGCCTTATCGCTGACAAGCAATTTTTTCCAGGCAACCGTTACGGACTGGATAAATAAAATCTAGATTAGGTAATCTAACAGCTAGTTGCACAAATGCCCATTAAAATCGTCATTAGTTGTAAGCGACATTACCGATACAAATTTGACATTCATTAAACCTTAATGGACTATACATTACCTAAACATACATGAAATTAAATGAAAATATATTAAATTTATTTTCAATGCAGTTGCTCATAAAGCGCTACTTTTTTTTAATCCATTGTAAACACCGAAAGTGAGTCTTTAAACACGTATTAAATAAAAATGTACTGAAATCCCGAGCACTAAAGAAATTAAAAAAAAATTGATGAAAATATGTCAAACTTTAGAGGCAAAAGTATTTCAAGGAGCCTAGACGAATATTTTCAAATAAAAATGTATGACACGAAAACATGTTCAAATATCACGTTTAATTTTAACAAATAATTTTTACCTTTAATACATACTTAGTTTTATTAACCTATATATTTGTTTTATTCTCGCAAAAAGCATTGAAAAATGTTGTAAGAAACTTGAGCTTAAAACGTTTTTCGAATTCGTGCCAATGAAAACTTTCGCTACGCTCGTGTTTTCAATTTGGCCCTTATTCGTAAAACCTTACTTTCCGCACTCGCATCTTAAATAACTATTATGGGTAGGTATACAAAGTTATTACTAATGTACAGATGCTTCGTACATATGTACATATCAAATATCATATATCTATAATATATGCATACGTAACGTAAAAATTCATAATGACAGATGCATATAATTCTTCATGATGCTCTTTGACTAGATTTTTGAAACAATCTAACGTTTGCGCACGTCTTATATTTTCGGGCAAGCATTCAAAAGACGGGCAGCTTGAACTGAAACTAAAAAGTTCTAAATTAACTTATGTATACGTCATTCTCGTATGGAATGTGGTAATATTTCTGATAGCTTTTCGTTTCGCTTTTCTAATCGGACAGATTCTGGGGCATTAAATACCTACTAGTGATCGGTGGTATAATCGGTGCGTTCTTCATACCGGAGGGACAGTTCGCGCAAACGTGGATGGTCTTCGGCATGATCGGTGGTTTCTGCTTCATTGTCATCCAGCTCATTCTGATCATCGACTTCGCCCATTCCTGGGCTGAGAATTGGGTTTGTGAGTATCATCACAAAATTATATAGCTAGTTCTGTAATCGTTACAATATTAAACTTAGATTCTCTTTCCTTATTAAGACCGTAAAATTAACTCTATCTCCATTAAAATTTACACTTATCAAAATATATCATAATGAGACATAGAAATGCTATTTCTCTGGAGATTTTGATAATTTTACAATAGGGATAAGGACTAATTTTTGTTGTTTTGTCAGTCAGGTAGATTATTGAAGAATTTAAATACGTATTTTTTTGCTTAATCAATAAATTACAGCGATACATTGAGTTGAAATGTTGCATGACGTCACGCTTTTTTACAAAACTGTGACGAAGCAAGCCCCCCCCCCCCACTCTTCAACATTATTGCCTATTGTCTAAGCCATTTCTTGTTTAAATTGAAGCAAAAAAAACGTATCTAATATTTTGATATTATCTGACCAACAGATTAAATCGAATTTCTTTTTTTTTACCCAGTCGTCATCCCTATACACTCGTGGATCAAATGTAACATTCTATATAGAAATCTAGTCAATCGTTTAAATACTTTCAGATTTTCTAGACATGAACATATGGAAATAAAATATTCATACATATATAAAAAAAAATATACTGTCAATTTTGTATTTGAATCTTGACTATAATATAATAATTATTCACTAACAGCTAAATATGAAGAGACGCAATCTCGCGGCTGGTACGCTGCGTTACTTCTGGCTATGCTGACGTGCTTCACGCTCACGATAACCGGCATTGTCTTACTCTATGTATTCTATACCAAGGTATATACATTTATATTATCATTATAACGTACTACTTATACTAATTAATAATTACACTTGACTAGAATGATGTTTGTGCAAAATACAAAGAGCAAATGGTTGTCATTTTGAATGAAATATATATTTTTTTAAACTAAGGTTATTAAAAAACTCAACAAACAACAAAAAACGCCTAAACGAAATAAGAAAATATCTATCTTACTGCAAGAGAATAACTCTAAATTTGTAAATGCCAAAGACACATAATATTTATGCTATCGATACTTAGCTTGCATAGCATCGACTGAGATCGCGCGGTGAAAATGGAGTATAGAACCACGTGTCATATTAATTCGTAAGAGTAGTATTATGTATTGAAATTGACTTCGCAACCATTTCAGGGTCAAAATGAATATAGTGTTTCTTTTGCAGTCAAGCGGTTGTGACCTATCCAAGTTCTTCATTTCGATAAATCTAATATTGGTGGTGATCGCGAGCGCGGTATCGATTCTGCCCGCGGTACAGGAGCATCAGCCGCGCTCGGGCTTGCTGCAGTCGTCCGTCGTATCGCTCTACGTCCTCTACCTCACTTGGTCTGCACTATCAAACGCGTCCGCCGAGTGTAACTTCATCTCTGGCGGGAATCAGGTAACTATATAATCCCAGCTGTACAGATAGTGCTGTATTTACCCTGATAGGATTCTAGCTTCGTGCAATTCCGTGGTATCGCTTTACGTCCACTACCTCACTTGGTCTGCACTATCAAACGCGTCCGCCGAGTGTAACTTCATCTCTGGCGGGAATCAGGTAACTATATAATTCCAGCTGTACAGATAATGCTGTATTTACCCTGATAGGATTCTAGTTTCGTGTAATTCCGCGGTATCGCTCTACGTCCACTACCTCACTTGGTCTGCACTATCAAACGCGTCCGCCGAGTGTAACTTCATCTCTGGCGGGAAACAGGTAACTATATAATTCCAGCTGTACAGATAGTGCTGTATTTACCCTGATAGGATTCGCGAGCTTCTAGCAATTCCGTGGTATCGCTCTACATCCACTACCTCACTTGGCCTACACTATCAAAAGCACCCGCCGAGTGTAACTTCATCTTTGGCGGAAATCGGGTAACTATATAATTCCAGTGATAACAGACAGCGCTGTATCTACCCTGATATGATTCTAGCTTAGTGCAATTCCGTGGTATCGCTCTACATCCAGTGATAACAGATAGTTCTGAATCTACCCTCATAGAGTTCTAGCTTCGTAGAATGCCGTGGTATCGCTCTTCGTCCTCTACGTCACTTGGTCTGCACTGTCAAATGCACCCGCTGAGTGTAACTCCAACTCTACGGAAATCAGGTATCTATATAATTCCAGTAGTAACAGACAGTGGTGTATCTACCCTGATATGGTGCTAGCTTCGTGCGATGCTGTGGTATCGCTCTACGTCACTTAGTCTACACTATCAAATTCGCCCGCTGAATGAAACTTCATCTCTGGTGTAAATCAGGTAACAATATTATTATAGCGGTAACAGAGAGTGCTGTATCTACACTGACAGAGTTCTCACTTATTGCAATGCGGTGGGATCGCTCTACGTCCTTTACCTTACCTGGTCTGCGGTATCAAATATCAGAGTGTAACTTCATCATAAAATCAGGTAACTCTTATGATATAAGCGTTAACAGACAGTGCTATAAATCCTGACAGGGTTCTCTTCCTGCAATTCTATCGTATAGTTTCTACGTCCTCTACTTCACTTGGTCTGCATCTTCGAATATACTCGCCGAGTGCATATTCTCTAACAGCAATCAGGTAATTAAATCTTCCTAAACAATGCCGATTTGCCTTGTTTAAAAATTACTTTTGTAATGAATACAAATATGATTATATATTTCTTGTGGAATACAATAATTTGTGTTTGTGCGAACAATATGTGTCTGTCAATAAATAATATTATACTAATCAGCATCTCTTTTATAAGAAATAGTATACGTAAATTAGCTTTAGATTATTGTCTTATGTATTATATGTTTAAAAACGCATAACCAGGATACAAAAGCGACATATTGGGTATGTAAATATTGGGGGTGTTATATTGCTCACTCTTCATTCGTTCTCTTCAATATTTCTATCATCAGTATTTAACTCTCTTTATCTCGTTTGTTATCCTCATATTTAAAAATCATAACAGACAACAAAAAGATCATATACCATTTGCAAAGAGCTATTTTTTTTTCTTTATTTTGGTCGAATAATTTTATTATTTCAGACATGTTATCATTATTACTTAATTTACACAATTATTTATTACACAATCAGTTTTAGTTTAGGGTTAAAAGTTTAATGTAACTAAATTTTAACAGTTGTTTTACAAAAAAAAAATAATTAACAAAAATCAGAGCTGCCATTTTAACCCTGGACTGATCCCTCAAACAGCACTTCGATCTTTTTCATCTAACATTTCTGATTTACTTACTAATAGAGATCAGTGTGATTTAGTACACTTTAAAGAATGGCTAGAAATCCTCATTGTACATGTATACTAATACCAAAACAAAAATAAAAATATTTTGGTATGGAAGCAGATGCGCCATTTTTTTACCTCTCTCATATTAATGGCCTATCAAAAAGTTTATAAATGTAATAAGCAAAGTCATATATCATCATTCCACGAAGTCCTGTCATGTAATAGCATTACACCTTACATATTTACTCTTCAATCGATTCATATCAAATAAATGTAACGTAAAATCCACTTGTGAAAAATAAGCCATATTTAACACCAAGGGGTTTTGTCGTTTAAGTATTCATTAACGGTATAACTTTTACTAAGTAGACAATTTTTAATATGAATCTTAAATTTACACAATGGTTAATCTCATAATACCTTTCCCGGTAAATGTTGCTAGAACTTTATTTAGCCTGCATGACGGCAAAACAAGTTTATCTTTGTTTCTAGTATTAAAATTGTGTACATGACTATGTTTAACGTAACTTTTCATGTTGTTTCTAACATAAAGTATACAGTTGTATATAAATTTTGAGGCCGCTGTCAATATCCCAATTTCATTAAATTAAACTCTAAATGATTTTATTGAACTTAATTGATAAATAGCTCTTACTCTTGAATAAAAAATATGCCGGTAACATCAAATATTTTTAGTTATAAAGAAGTTTATTTCATTGTCTTAAAAATTTCACTAATTGAATGGCATTATAAGAAATCTGTTTTCTCAATTTAAATCATTAGATATAGATTCATCTATCAGGACACATCATATGTTACTAGGTTACTAACAGTATCCTATACCTCGCACCATTCAAACTTATATCGTAGAATTTGAAAACTGTTAATATAAATACTTACCATTTTGTTCCACACATGAATAATAAAATTTTATATTTGCAGAGTTCCTTCGATAAACAGTCGGTGATCGGGCTGGTAATTTGGGTGTGCAGTATGCTATATTCAAGTATCCGTACTGCTTCCTCTTCTTCCAAGATTACCATGTCCGAGCACATTCTCGCTAAGGAGGGAAGTGGAGGTAATTATCTAGTTTCTTTTTTCTTTTATCTGTACTCACGAAGAAGGTTTCGCTTTTCAATTGATGTTATTCCTTTTACTTTTTAAATGAGGAACTGTGTTGTATTTTACGTTTTTTATTTATTTAAAAAGTATGTACTTAAAAGCGAACTTTTTAACTAATATCGAACAAATTTTAAAATACTTCAACTAAAAAGTACTTTAAAATTTGTCTTACAATTCCCATGAACATGTGGAAGCGTTTTTTTTTTTCTTTAATATTATACACTAACTCGAGTATTATGCATTCCTTGCGGCGTTCGCGCGGTGGCAACGCTGCTAAGGCCAAGGAGGGCTCATTGCTAATGAAGGTAACGTTGTAACTACATAAGCTTGTCCTGTCATTATTCGCCTTCATAAAAAATATTACGATGATCTAAGCCTATATATCATTGGGATGGAAATAAGTATGGTGTAAGTTTCATTTAAGATATGGCCTTTCACTATTTGAGTAGCTCAATGAAATCAAATGCCGGCTGTAGTGTTAAAACGCTTATAGTTTATTGTTGTAGCAATTTTTCATTCCTACGTCAGATAAACACAATATGTCAAATTTCTGCACTTGATTTTGAACTCTATTTGGCAACTTGATTTTGAACAATGTAATATTGATTTTGAACTCTATTTAGAATTTAATAAGGCTTAAAATCAAGTTGAGAAAGACAGTTTTGTATAACCTGACAAGCTGTTGTAAATATTCATTCGGTCAATTAGTAGTGGTGATGGGTTAGAATAAAAAAATACCAACCAAGCCCTGTATTTAATTAGAATTCCTTATCTATACTGTGATGTCATCAGCAGTAAAATCTATTTTTATTTTAAATTAAAGTATTTCCAATATGTCAATTAGACTGAACATTACCAGTGAAGTTCGAATAGAAACTATCTATCTTCATCATATAGCGATAGAGAAATATCAATGCTTTATAAATACAATGACGTCACAATTTATTTTTGATTTTAATTACTTTATTAATTACTGGGCATATGAATTCTTCTCACAATTTAGGTTGCCAGGAAGAAATCGCTGTTAAGCGATAAGGCCGCCTATTGTACAATTAGGATTTTAATGTTTGTATTGTTCTATATATATCTGTAGTGTGTTGTACAATTAAGTGTAAATAAATAAATAATAAATCACTAAATAATTAGATATATTCATAGGAACTGATAATTAATATTACATAAAAAAATATGTTTTGTTAAAATTTATATTTATGATAAAATTTATAGCGCCTCAGTTTTTATATAATGGTGTTTTTGTTTCGGTTTCATTTCTCTCACATGTTCATTTATATAAGTTCATTTATATAGAAAAGCAATAGACAAATAACCAAATCCTTAACACGCGACCTGCGCCAATTTAACACGCAACGAATAAAAGGGCTATTGAGCGAAACAAAGGCTTAAAAGTGTTGGCGAATGATTTGGGTAAAGTCAACTAGTGAGGCTCAGGCCCGGATCCTAGGGGCAAGTGGGTGCACTTACCCCGGGTCCCAGTGTTAGGTGGGCGCCAAAATCATCAATAAATAATACCTACAGATAAAAAAAGAATAAGCTTTACAATTCTCTTCATGCGCATTATAGACTACGGTTGGATCGACATGCTTCAAAATCCTTAAATGAAAAAAAAAAATGTTCCACTGCAAAAATATGATGATATGAAATCCGGTTTCACTGGGCTCTTAGGGGGGCTGTAGATGCGCGCCATACTAATTTTTTGCCCTGACTGAAATCGACAACGCTAAGATAATTTCATCGAAAGTTGAATTCTTGGGAGATTTTAGAGTTTCTATGGATAGTTAGTGATACTATCTATAGACAGAACAAATCGTTCCAGATACAAAATTATTTCATATATTGAAATAATTTTGTATCTATATTTTCATATATTTCTATATTGGATCATATATATTCACTTGACATTTTGCCTTGCTGCCAGCCAGAAGTGCCCCTGAATGGGAGGTGGAGGCTGCTTAGCTGTTACTTATTGCCAAAATTTTGTAATGAAAATTTAAACAATAGTAATAATATATTCTCAATAAAAAATCTTAAAAAGTCCACTTGGTCCATAGCACCCCGAGATGGGACTCGAACCCATAACCTTTTGCAATCCGGGCGATTGCTCTAACCACTCAGCTACCTAAGACCTAACAGGACTGACGAATCTTTCAAGCACTTATTACTTTTTCGCTACTACATAGTGTATTCTCATCAATGTAAAGGCAATCCACCCATACAACCGAAAAAAATATTTTTACAAATATTTAAAGTCAAGGTGTACTTAATTGTACTTGTCTATGTAATTATTTTATGTAAACAGAATTTGAACTAACATTTGTTCTTAATGAGTCACATAGTCTATGATTTGAAACAGCGATTTCATTGAAGTCTAATAAAGCCATAGTCCGGCCTTAGTCAAACGTAAAGTAAATGAGGGATCTGATTAGTTTTTCGAAGATATTGTGCATTTGCACAATATTAAGCATTAAAAAAAAATAGGACATATTTGATCGATAAATATTCTATTCGTAATCAAAATTTTTTTTGTTCTGAAGGTACAGTATCAGTAGACTCAGATTTTTAATTAGGTGTACCTGACTGACAGCTCAATTCACTTTCTTTTATTTTAAATGTTGCCAGCCTTGGTTAAGCATCCAGTTGCACAAATGTATATGAAAATTGTCAATAGTTTGAAGCGACATTACTACAAAATTTCATATTTAGAACAAACACGTATCTAGGGGCGCAAGTGCCCCACTTGCCCGGGGCGCCAAAATCATCATTATATAGTATCTTTTCACAGTAAAAAATTTTTTCTTCGTTCTCGATATTTTCAAATCTCTCCTTACACAGATCAGGCTACCGTACAAAATTATGCTAATATAAAATCCGGCTTCACGATGCGTGGAGGATTGGTGGGGTAGAGGATAGGCGCCATATGAATAAGAGGTCTGCCACGGTTAAAAAAAATCTCAGATCCGGGCCTGAGAAAATTCATTAGACTATAGTCGTCATTAAACCTTAATGGACGTTTGTGCAACTGGGTGTTAGTAACAAGACTTAAATATCAGTTCAGTCAAACTAATTAAAAATCAGAGTTTAGTGTGAACAAGCCGTGAGCAGAGTCCTCTAACGGTTCGTGTCTGTTGACGCTCTCACTGAGCGCAGGGTATGGTTCCATAGAGGGCGGTGACAGCGGCGAGGCGGGGCGGGGAGGTACCTCGGAGGAGGCCAAGGTGTTCGACAACGAGGCCGACAGCGTGGCGTACTCCTGGACATTCTTCCACATCGTGTTCGCGCTCGCCACCTTATACATTATGATGACGCTCACCAACTGGTACAAGTGAGTACATTAAAATATCTGTATGTACAATATACATAAATAAAACTGAAACGTTCGTTACCGTAAATTATTATGTTCACGTTATTTTCTTGTTTTCAACCAACTAACATCAGAGATGGAAAATGGAAAAATTGGTTATATTAAACTATGTTGAAAAAAAAACAATAACAAATTTACCCTGTATTCTAAATATATTCTTCTTCTTCTTCTATTTTAATGACTATTTTGTGTTAACCACAATCCTGCCAATTTCACGTAGGAGACCACTACACGGTATAATAGATTAATATAATCAATTTGGAATAGGTAGTAAATCTCTTTCTAAGTCGCTTTACCCAAAACAACACAACATAAACTTTGGGCGCCATCTTAATTTAAATTATAAACATATACAGGACATAATTAGTGGATATTAGACACACAGATTAGCTATGTTAGAGTTTTAATTTATTGATACAGCTAAATTTTGTTAGTGTTTTTATTATTGGGGCCTCTTTAATAGACCTTAAGAGCAGTTTAATATTAAGCGGACGTGGGATATCTTCGGGTAAGAAATCGTAAAGGGAATGGGGAGTATTTGGGCAATTGAAAAAAATATATAACTCAAAGGTGACTGACTGACACGAGATGTGTCATTTCGAAACTCACTCCACTTATGCCACAAAATATTAATACCAAATCATGGTAAGCGGATGTCGCTTTCGAAGTGAATTCAGACACTCGAGTGAATTCGGTTTTTTACGGAATCGCACTGCCGGCTTCGCCTTGAGATCTATTTTTTAAAGAACTACTCATTTTTATTAGACGAAAAATCTTTAATGAGAAATTATAATAATGTCACACTCAAATCATTTGAGGAATATTGACAACTGTTGCAATTAATATATGTCTTTATAAACTCCTTTTGAGCCGTACACATCTGAGGAAATCTTTCCTCTCTTTTTATAACGTGACAGTATGACAACTATTATATTCACAATCATAATTTGATATTTTTTAAAGATAGACTTATAATACACTAACATCAACCGATGAGTCGTCAGTCTGCCAAGCATACTATAACGCATACTTCGATTTATATGCTCGACGCATGTTTCGTCAAATTTACACTGACCCTGTATAAACCGCTCTCTATAGAAGCATACATGTCTGCTTTTCATTAAACTTGAGAATTGTTACAGTCCAAGCTCCGAATTGTCCAAGGAAAACGCTGCTTCTATGTGGATTAAAATAACATCGTCATGGCTGTGCATCGGGCTATACATATGGACTCTGGCTGCGCCAGCCGTCTTCCCCGATCGCGACTTCAGCTAAACACTTCGATGAAGATATTATAATTAATAATATAAGCTTGATTTATAGTCGATTAACGATAATTTTACTTAATAAATGTGATTTATTGCAAACATACCTAGATTTTAGGCTGACAAAAATTAAAAATTTATATAAATAAAACATGAATTCGCTAGATATTTATAATTGATACTAGATCCTTTAATTTTTCAACAATATTAATGCAACTGTTTAATACATATATATAATGAGTCTGATCCTGTTCAAAACCTGCCAATTTTGAGATCTCATTTTATGTGGAATTGTGTCTTATTTTTATATTTGTCAGTTATAGTTTTTAAATTTATCTTCATCAATAATATTGTCATCTAATTCATTATGTAATGTTAGAAGTTATTACAATTAGAAATCATCAGCTTTAAGTGTGTAGGTACTTTTTATTGAGTAAAATATATTAAATTATTCTCTATTGACTGGTCTGATATCCCAATAATGTGAATGAAATAAAATTACTTTAATTCCAAAATAAACTGTTTATTTTCTTACAAAAGTATTTAAAATGTAATCTGTTGAGAGGTTATTATCATACTATTTCTATAAGATCTTTATCTCTTTGTACAGTATATTTAACTAATTTTGTATATTTTTTCAATAATTTTCTCCAGTAACACTTGACATCTTCATCTGTTAAATTCTCCCAGATATGTTGGAATCCCCTTTCTGCAATATCTCTGGCTAATGCTTCATTTTTCCGAAAATATTCTATATATCTTTTAATTTCATCTTGAGAAGCAGTGGTAGAAATAGGAACGTAGTGAACCCAGGGTTTGAGGGATGGATAAAAGAATTCTAGCCAATCATTTCCAACATGGAATACTAGTGATTTGCATAAGAACAAATGCTTGAAGCGAAAACTTGCAGCTACGCCTCTATAATTGAAAAGATACTTGTATTTGCAATGTTCTTCAAATGGTATTTCTGATGCTGGAGGTGCATAAAGAGTATCCTAAAATATATCACAGAAAATATTAAATAAATACAATGAATGAGATAACTAGAAGAAAGAAACTGAAATAAATATCTACCGCATCAGACTTCCAGGCCTGGTTTTTTGTGTACTGTGCATCAACTAAGTCGGGAGTGCTTCTAGATAATAACACAAGAGCATCTCTTTCTTCACTTGTCCTAGAGCCACGGAAAAAGGCTTTGTTTAGTTTTTTATCCCATGGCCACCTAAGGAGCAATGTTGATTATTCAGTTTTGAAGTAATTATAACTGCAATTAATTAATAATATTTAGCCAACTTATGTTGTAACTAACTTTTCAGCAGCAGCAGCTATTGATTCTCTGTGCTTATCCCATCTTCCAATACCAGTAGGGTATAAAGAAATTGCTGGGCCACCTTCCCAGAAACTCCAAGCAGGATACATAATATCATAATAGTCTTTTGTCTAAAATAAGATCTAAATTTTTATTATAAACAGCTAAAATTACATTAAAATAAATTGTGTACAGAAAATAAGTTTCAAAAAGTATGTACAGAAAATGTATAACCTTACTGAAAGACAATACAGGTGATTTTGGATGTCCCCATACACTATTAACTTGTGGCCAGTCTCTTGTGTTCAATGAAATCTCCAAATCTGGTAATTTTGGCGCCAACGCAGATAAATAGTGTTCTACTCCAGAGCATCTTGCAGGGAAATGGCAATCTTTCTCTCGGTATAACTTGCCTTTTATTATCTGGAATAAAAGTCAACCAAAATAGACATACTTCTTGGAATCAAAATATGAGGGAGTGAATCATGAATTATTTATATACTTTTTTGAATTATTAAAGAACAACTTAAATTATAAAAATATTATTACTAATATAAAAAATGTGTCAAATAAAAAAAATATTCACTTACATGACAAATAAAAATAATCTTATGAGTAACAACATGCATATAAATATGAAAATTTATTGTTGATTAAATTACACCTCTCCCAAAACACTATAATAGGAAAGTTATAAAAGCTTTAGTGTATCTACTTCTGAGAAAACTGCAGCACAGCCTTTTGTCAAAGCATTAAATAAAACATTTTCAACACTTCATTCTATTTTATGTAACACACCTGATATTTTGTACCTTTAGCTCGAGCTAATGCGAATTGATCTTTAGTTATACCATCTGCAAACACCTCTAGGTCTTTATCAATGACAGAACTGTGGCAATTGCAGTATTTATTGTCACATGGGTCGTATTCCTCTAAAGCTAATTGGACTTCTTTGTTAATTTTAGATGATAGTTCATTGATTTCTAAAAGAAAGCATTAAGGATTATTTACAATTCTTGTACATACATATAAAAAATAACCTAATGTGAACGCTTGAACGAAAACTACATTTTTACCTTTACTAAACTTGTTATAAGTATATTCAGAACAATTTTCTTCCTCAGAACAGAATCGTTCTTCAGAAACCGTCTGGGAAAGCACAATAAAAAGTAAAACAATTTTTTTCTGACAATTCATAGCTGTGATTTACAAATTCTTGAGAAATTAAATCACATTTTACTCGTAATAGGCTTTTTCAATGTCCTATATTTCCTGGATAAAATTGTTTCACCCAATGTAAATAAATATTTACATTCATTAATGACAATTTTTTATTTTACCGAACTAAATCCATTTAACAACTGTCTGTCAAGTGTCAATGTCTGTCATACATGACAATCGTTTTAGAGCTTGAATGAATTATCGATCTAAGGAAATATCGATTATTTTATCTCATATATTCTTTATCAGTAATGTAGGTATTTGTTTTTTTATAGTTTAGTTTAGTAAGTGCTACTCCATATTATTCTTACTATACTCAGAACAGAATGATAATCAATGCAAACTGTACCCCCATATAAGTAATGGAACACAGTACCTATACTTATTGTTGTGAGAAACTAATAAATGAATGGCGAATATAATTTTGCTATGAGAATGTAAGCACTCTTATTCCGATTTATTTTGTATTGGTTTTCGATTGAAGAGTCCGTTGAGTTTTGTTCCTATCGAGATGAAGTTGTATTCTACCCAACTAGCAAATTAGTCATATAAGGTAAAGTTTATTCAGCTTTTCGGTGTTATAAAAGTCGAGTAAGTGTGAATTATTCAGCACGTATCGTATAAAAGCATCTTATATAGCTTTTGAGTTATTCAGCATTTCGGTCACATAATGATGCTGAGTAAACGTTTAGTCAGCATCCTTATATGACTTAAGTGTCATATAATATTTTGCTGAATAAGTCGCTAGTATACGACGCTTATGTTACTATTTCGTCGAGTAAAAGCATATTATATAGCTTTCTTATGGCAAGGTTGACTCAGTCGAGTAAAAGCAACATTGTTGCTTTTATACTACTATTATGTAGTATACGTCGCATTTATACGACTATTTCAAGCCTAAAATGTCGTATAATTGTATCCATTTCACCGATCAGATTGTTTTGTGTAAAATGCTGTAAGTAGTTTACAGTGAAGTGGGAAATAATATTTTAGTAAGTGGTTCCGCAGGTGAAATAATTACCTCAGAGAAAAATCATGATTAAAATTTGAAAATCCGTGTTTGGAAAATGAATTGAGAGATTTAGAAAATAGTGTTTCCGTACACGAAATAGATTCAGACGACAGTAGAGCTTCAGAAAACTTTGACAAAGACTGTGAGTTGCGTAATAATATTGCAGAATGGGCGTATGAAAGATATTAATTTCTTTTCAGAAATAAAGCAGTTCCTGTTGTGTAACTTGTTCTAGTTTTGTTGCGTACAATAAATAGTTGATTAAATAAATAAACAAACAAAAAGTCTTTCTAAGAAAACTCTTTAGGAAGTTCTAAGGAACCCTAAACTATAATCAGAGTGGTATCATGGCGCTCATACTGCTAATTTGCTGTATAAGAAGCTATTATACCGCCTGTCAGCAGTAAAAATGGTGTACAAAAATAATATTGATATAAAAATATTTGTTATTATATTCATATTACTAAGAATTAAAGGGGGGCGTTAAATATTTATGATATAACCTAGTATATTTCCTCAGAAAACTTACCTTCGCAATACTTTACAACCCTATGCGTGAGTTTACGAACCTACATTTGGTGCAACCTACAAATTAACATGTCTGCTAAATAAATTGTACTTACCGATGAATTATAATTTTTAAAACACAACACGTCGAAGCACTTGTTTATTTTATTTACTATAAATGTTTTCAGCTGTTTTGTATCCCAGGTCGCTTCAATAAGACAAACATGTTATATAAAAGTCATATAAGTTACAGTTATAGCGCAACATAAGCTTGTAACAGTCACTCTGGCGATAATTACGTGACGATTTACCTGAATAAGTTACGAGTGAATAAGTTATAAGATGTCTATGTGACTGAATTGCTGAATAAAATGGGCCCAAATCGCTTTGTATAAACGTTTTCATTACGTTTATACGACTTCTATTAGGACCCAAAATGCTGAATAATTTTCGTTGCCGCGACTACTATACGACATATTTTTGCTAGTTGGGTAGTGCATCCGAGCATCACCTGAATTTTGATAGGAAAACTTTATTATTTAGGTAGAACTTCTATCGAACGATTTATAAACTTCATGGTTATTGGGATTGCTCATTCCGCTCTCAGCTTTCGTTGCGCGCCCCCGTGCCCGTGTGCGTACACGACTCTCTCCTACCCAAACTGTGAGTACGTCTCGTGCCTTCTGCACACCCCGAGCGCAGGCCCTGCTGTTTTTGTTTTTTCAAAACATTAAAACAGTAGGACTTGACTCACTATCAACTTCTTGAGTCGGTGGATACCATACGGTGGCAACTAAGCCGGCTGAGCGTTCCCGGTGCGCTCGCTAAAGCCTCTCAGGCTTTAGCAACACCGAAGACCCGATCCCAGTGCACTTGGGCCTTGTCCCAAGGGTGAAGGTTTGCCGCCAACTCCATTAGGGATAGTCGCATCGCCGCCGCCCCCCCCCCCCCCCCAACTTCCGCAATGGAGTGTGAAAGATCCATAAAGAGCACCGCTTCACAGCGTTCTCCCCCTCGCCGTCGGACTACAACCTTCTCAGGACGTCTGATTCCGACGAATTCTCCACCAACTCATTTCATACGGTTGGAAGCCGCAAGAAAGCCCTGCACATCGGGCGGGGTGTCCTCGGTAAGCAATACCGCCGAGTAAACCTCCCTCGGCCCAAACCTTACCAGAGGTAATACCGGCAAGAAAGCCACTCGGGAGAATACTCCTAGTATTACTCCCTCCACCCCGCTGTGGCCGCATAATAAATGCGCTTCGCAACCGGGTAAACCCAAACCTCCGCCTCCCGTATTTATACGGAAAAATCAAGATAGGCAGAGGTCTCGAATCTCTGCACACAAAACACATGCCACAAACATGGGTATAGCTATCCGGGTGGAAACACCCCTCACTAGACTTCTAACCCACTACAAGGTGGGTTACCATACCTACGCTCTCCCAGAGGAGCGTAAAGTTCGTGTGGTTCTGAGAAATGTTCCGTACGATCTCGCCACCGATCTGATCCATAAGGATCTAAATGAACAAGGATTCCCTGTGGAATCTGTTCATAAAATGCATAGTAGAGTCGGCAGGCCTTTCCCTCTAGCTCTACTCATCATTCCTAACGCTCGTGACATTTTCAAGGCAAAAGACCTTAGGGTCTGCGGCCTTACCGGGGTTAAAGTAGAACGTCCCCTCACCGACGCGGTACCCCGAGACAGTGCCACCGATGCCAGCTTTACGGGCATGCGGCGGCCAACTGTTCCGCGACTCCGAGGTGCGTAAAGTGCCTCGAGTCACATCCCACAAAGGAGTGCTCTGGAACTCGAGACACTCTCACCCGTCCGGCCTGTGTACTTTGTGGCCAAACCTGCCACACAGCCAACTATAAAGGTTGCCCACGAGCGCCAAAGCCCAAACCCTCTTCTTAGAAGAAGGGTAAGGGCCCTGCGGTCAACAAAGCACCTAAAGCCACCCCCCCCCCCTCCCCCGCCCACTGCGGCGAACTTCCCCGCCTTACCAAAGGCGAAACACTCCGCTCCTAAATCGGCTTCACAACCGATTTGGGGCCCTCACCCTAAATCCTCTCAGACGAAGCCCTCACCAAGGCTTCTGTCTCTCCTCCCAAAACCGCTTCTGTTTCTCCATCTATAGCCGATGACATAAATCTAGTTCTTAACTTGATTCGTGGAATCGACATAAATGAAATCTCCACCCTAGCGGCTAAGCTCGCCGCGCTTCGTCCACACAGGAACGCCTTCTGGCGCTCTGTGAACACGAAGCGTTATTAAGTGCCTTATCATAAGCACTAATAACATGTAAGGTTTCCCAAACCTCCCACAATCCATCCTTTGGCTGACCTGGACCTCCTTACGAGACCCAGTAGGCCAATTCCACCCCCATCATACTGACCCTTCAGGTTAACCCTCTCTACCCTCTCGACCTGACATCCCCTCAGGATGCAGGCCACACAAATTGTTACGGGCATCAAATAGCACCCTTCTAGTGGTATGTGATGCTCCCCTCCCCACCCTCCACAAGCCGACCCTTCAGGTCATACCCCCATATTAGGAAGTACGTGTAGCTTGTCTATGCCTGACAAAATGTATTTTTTTTTTGTAAGGCAAATACGTTAATTTAAATAAATGAAATCCAAGTAGTATAAAAATAAAATTTTAATTGTTTATCATGCATAAAAATGTAAATATATATATATATAAAAAATTACAATTACTGAATCAAAACACTCAATCATATCAGAATGAGACTGTTGTAAAAATATTTATAAGATTTCTTATAATCATTGTTTCATGTATTCTATTAAAATAATCTAAAAATTGTAATCCTTAAAATTACACATTCATACAAATTTCATCATAAACAATCAGTCATCAATTATAAACTCAGTCTTCCTTTTAATTCAATGACATCTAATATTTGAATATTCTTACAAGTTTACCTGTAACAAACAGTGTATACTTATAAATATTATACAAATATATAATATAATGACCAAAGGAAAGTGGAAATGCCATTGTGAAGAATTTCATCGCAATTTTCTCTGTTATTTACTTTATCTCAAATATAATGTCTATACAACATATATTTGTATATGTAAAGAAAATTATTACTTTAAATAATAGAACTCCCCACTTGAGTCGAATAATTATATAACATCAAACGAAGAACTAGTTAAAAAATTATATACTAAATGCACAGTAATACGATAATTCATTCTAATACAAATATTGTACATTAAAAATCTGTTTAATCTCGCACATTTTTAGTTCAATGATGGAATATTCAATTTTATTTAACTACATTAATGACTTATTATGAGACCAATAATTATGTTTTTAAGTATTTACAGTTTAGGCAGTTTTTCAATAAGTTTATAATGGTTCCTGAGATTTAAGGATGACTTTTTACAGCAAATTAAGCTATGACAATGTAAGGTAATACATTAATTTTTTAGTTTACGCTCCAATTGATCGGCGATGGCAAGAAGGAAGTCTTCGGTGTGCAGGAACATGCCTTCCTTGGTATTGGCCAAGCCGTGGATGCAAATCACCAAGTCCTTTGTCATTTTTCCACTGTCTATGCACTCCACGCAAGCCTGTAATCATAAAGCAGATTAAAATGACAAATTAATATATTTCAGTTTAGACATTTTTATGCTGATTTACGTTATTTTCAGGATCAGTAGCTAATAAAGTCTCCGGTAGCCTATCAGAAACTAATCTGCCAGACAAATTGCAAATGGTTTCACAGGTCTTGGATAAACGTATGTGTACAGATAAAGTCTCTGATAATTAATCAGACGAATCTATTTGCTGACTATATTACGTAGGTCATCTTCAGGACCAGTTGCTGACGCTACATATCAGCACAAACAATTGTTGACTTCAATTAAATTATATAATTGATCCCCTTCATAATCTATTTTATTTATTATAAGTTTTAGAAAAAACATTTCATTAATAGAAGCCCTATCGAATGATAATTGTGATACTTGGTGGGTTGAAGTAATGTTGAAGTCTTGCTCTTTAAAAGAAAACTTAGGATGGATAGAAGAACAAAAAGAATAGGATAAGATGTAGAATCGGCATTTAATACTAGTGATATTGAAAGAACAACACTTTATTTTTTTATCTATGTATGTTTCATTTTTTTTTAATTTCTAAGTGGAAAAATAGTTTTCAATATATTATCATACCAATTTATAGAAATATATATTGACAGCTTGATAGGACCTCATCGCATTGACACAAACACGCCATCTAACGGAAAGCCCGTTTAATCTATATCTGACAACGTTCTCACACAATAACGCAAAAAAAATTGGAGAGTAGGCTCTCTTTTCCCTAATACATACTCTGCTTGCGGAGTAGGCAGAGAGGACCGAAAGCCACAAAGTACGGTCCGGCATAAATCTTCTTTCATTCCTCTTTTCATACATACTCGCCGGCTTTTATAGCTCCTGACATCACCTTCTAACAGTACGCGATTTATTTGATGGAGAAAGGTCTGTCGTGGCCGTTCCTTGGCTTCTGCATCCTGCTTCCTACTAATACTATATGTATTTTATCACGCAAAAACTACTGAACGGATTATGATACTATTTGTTGTACAGATAATGCTAAGTCTGGATCAACACTTAGTTAATTCGTATCCCACGTGACGGTTCCCTAGGTATAAGACATATATTGCACGCGGGATAAACCGCTGGCGGAGAGCTAGTGATAAATATTAGCAGATCCAAAGACCTATCCATATTTACGCGTGAATTATACGCCGTTTATCACTTGTCGGTAAGGAATAATGTTACAAATAGATAAAACATGTAGCCTCGAACTTGAAATCGCATCTTAATGAGGTATTATACTCTGGTTGAAATAATAATTGTAACTGTTTATTTTAATTTAAAAAGTAATAAAACAAATATTTCGATAAATTAACACGTTTTATTGCCTTAAAATGAAATCAAAATTTAAACTTTTTTCATCATCAGCCCTCTTTACGTCCTCAATATGCAGGGGCTCAGGCCTTCCTTATGGATGGTTAAGGATGAGGGGGCGATGACCCTCCACGCTTGCCCAATGCGGATTGGAGGGTATTAACGGGTGCAAATACAGCCGGGACCAACGGCTTAACGTGACATCTGAAGCACGAAGTAGCTCGAGATAATTTTTTTTTTGGTCACCCATCCTGTGACCGACCCTTGCGAAAGTTGCTTGACAACAACGATCGCGGGCCGCGGCGCTTATCCTCTACGCCACCGAGCCACTTTTTTATAGTCTTTTTTTATACCCGCGGAAACGCTGTCCGTCATATTCATGACGTCATTGTGTTATGTACGTCACAGCCAAGCCAAGTGGTATAATTAAGCCGACCAATTAGGGGCGACCAGCCCTTTAATTGAATGGAGCCATTCAATTTTATTGAAGGGAAGCAGCGAAATTGGTCGGCTGATTATACCACTTGGCTGCGACATGTACACAAAACCTTATATCTATGAACAAAACAGATGCATAGAGTAGAAGATTAAAAGATGTCAATAAAACAACATCAATGCCATCTAACGATCGATAATGAAATAAAAAGACATAAATAAGCTAAGAACAGCGCCATCTAGTAATTTAATCTATAATTAACGGTTATATCTTTAGACTTATCTGACAGCTTTGTCGCCACAGTGACGTCACAAATGGCGGAACGTGTTACAAATGAATGAAATGAAAATAACAAGCACTTTTGAATCGTCTAAAAAATTTTTTTCCCCTACCACTTGTGTTTAAATCACGTGTCACACGGACAAAAAAATCATGACTTTTAATTTTAAGATAACCGTGCCATTTTAAGACTCAAGACCAGAATCTCTATATTTATTACGATTTAAATTTTAGTTTTTGTGCAATGTCATTCATGAATTATTTTTCGCTACCTAAACTCACTTCGCAATGAATTCGTTTCTTCCGAACAGCTAAGTCAGACCATCATCTCCACCCAACATATAAAACGTTGAACATGTGGTAAGAAAAAAATTATATAATCATTAAATATCAATATTAGCATCTTCGATTATTATATCTTTATGCTTTTAAGATTTGATAACACAATGACCAATATTTGTTTTCATATTATAACACTAAGTTTTATTATCTACCGCTTTTTTATCTTATAGATTAAAAACTTATTTAAAATTATCCATTGACGTCAAAGTTAAATTTTATCAATGCAAATACATTATGTAGTTAGAATTAGATAGTTGTTTGTATGTACTCTTTTTATGACTTATATTTCTTCTTCAAGTGAGTCCGAAATTCGTTGATAATATTACTGATAATAATAGCACTCGTAAACACTAGTGTTCAGAAAATTCAGTTCATTCATTTATTTAGTTACTAGTTTTCTGCTATCAACTTCGACCGCAAGGAATTCGGTTTTTCAGGATAAAAACTATCTCATGAAAAAGAAACTATAAAATGACTCCATTAAAAATCGAATGTGGCATCAAATATAAAGATACGCCGAGAAGATGAAGATGAACATGTATTTCATGTATTTCAATATAAATCCATCCATCAAAATGAACTACCCAGGATGGAAAACTGCTAAATTTATAGCGTTCCATAATATTGTCATGAAAAGGCTTCACTAAAAAGACTTCGATAAAAAGCTAAAAATAAACTTTGAAGTGATTCTAACGACCGGTTTCCGAATTGAGAAAAGTTCAAAATCTCAACTGTTTATTCCCAATAAATTAAGCTTTTTTCGTTTAACATAACAAAAAGTCCAAGATTTATCAAACTGTTATCGACTTATAAAAAAAATAATAATCAGAAACGAAAACCTGTTTAAATGGCATTTGAAATGGCTTAAATATGGCTTAAGTTTAAAACGTGCTTAACTTTAAATTTTCAATTCAGAAACCAGGTGTTAGCCAACAATTTCACTAAATTCTAATGTTTTACATATACAAAAGCGACTACATAAATATAAAATGTTTTAAACTATAGGGGCATATAAGCAATATCCTTACTTTTCGAGAGATATTAAAATAATACATGACTGTCGGTCATATGTCGAATAGTGTTTCCCTAATATCCTACTAAGTAAAAGTAAAGAAGGCATAAGTGGTATAATTTCCATTATCCGCCTTTTGTGTAATATCTAATTTAATGTACATTTTGGATTTGTTATACTGCTATTTATAGCAATATCAAAACATTTTCAATTATCTCACCTCTTCAAGTGCTAGTGCGAATCGCGCCAACTCAGGCGTGTTATCCAATTTGGCCCGGTGTATCAGTCCCCTGGTCCACGCGTATATAGAAGCGACAGGATTGGTAGAGGTCGGTTTCCCCTGCTGATGCATACGGTAGTGGCGCGTAACAGTCCCGTGAGCAGCTTCAGACTCAACTGTTTTGCCGTCCGGGCACATCAACACTGACGTCATCATTCCTAGAGACCCGTAACCCTAAATACAATATAATAAAGGTGTTACTACTGCGCCCATTTGTACACCAGGTTCACATTATTCTTAATGGAAAATGCTTACTCAAATCTTCTTTCCCCCGAGGTTTGGGTGGATTGCCTGAACATTGATAAAAATACGCTCGTTAGTAGCGTAAAAGAAAAATGTGCTTGAAAGATTCGTCAGTCCTGTGAGGTCCTAGGTAGCTCCGTGGTTAGAGCAGTCGCCCGGATTGCGAACGGTCATAGGTTACAGTCCCATCTCAGAGTCATCATCATTAGCATCATTACCAGCCCTTTTACGTCCCTACTGCAGGGGCTCAGGCCTTCCTTACGGATGGTTAAGGAGGATGGGCCATGACACTCCACGCTGGCCCAATGCGGATTGGAGGATATTAACGACTGCAAATGCAGCCGGGACCAACGGCTTAACGTGCCTTCCGAAGCACGGAGTAGCTCGAGATAATAATTTTTGGTCACCCATCCCGTGACCGACCCTTGCGAAAGTTGCTTAACGACTACGATCGCGGGCCGCGGCGCTTATCCACTACGCCACCGAACTACTTCACAGAATGCCAGAGACAAAATAAGCATTTTTCATTAAGAATATTTTTCAATATAGCATTGTGAATGCAAAATTAATCAAATATAATAATAATTCGTGTTAATTATAGTCCGTGACCATGTGTAATACGTGTAAAACGTTAGAGTAAAACCTTTTTGCACAAATTTAGAAACTTAAAGCTTTATATTGTCTATCTTCACTATTATTATGAAGAGAGAAGATTTGTTTGCATCGAAAAGGCTCTGAGACTATTGGCCCGACGCTAAAAATTCTTTCACCTATAGGAAGCTTCATCATATATGAATAATTTATGGGGGCGAACTCACGAGTAGACAACTGGTAAGAAATATATATAAAAATAGTAGGCTAGATAAGATACAGTCAACATCAACGTCAGGTTATATAAATCTGTCAAATTTCTCCATTTAATTTGAAACCTTAATAAAAACCGAAGATAGAGTTTAAAATCAACCCGAGAAATTTAACATATTGGTAGGTAGGATAATAGTACATTATGATATTAGTGCGTTATGATGCATTCAATTACGCCATCATAACGCACTAATATCATAATCGGCTCACTAGCAACAGTGTACATTCACAGATTGAGTTTATTTAATGTTTTTTTTCCGTTTCCTCGCAAATGTGTAAATGTGTAATGTACGACGTTTTTTAACACATTTGCGAGGAAACAGAAAAAAAACCTTAAATAAACTCAATCTGTGAATGTACACTGTTACTTTCCCGCCATTTTAACAGCGCGCTAGCCCTGCCTACTGATTGGCGCCGCGCGGCGATTAGTTCGAAATTTGAATAGCAACAGCGCGCGAAATGGCAAATAATACTGTTATGGAATTCGCATGGACTATAACTTATTATAATTGGACTATAACCTATTTGCTTTGGTAACACACGCGTTTTTTATAACCCGCTTTACATAATTAAAACCGGTGGAATTAGATCAGCTTTACGAGCAAAGGTGTTAAAAAGTAACTTAACATACAGCAATGTGTACATTTATATTCAATATTTATATTATTTTGCGCAAATATTATCATCATAAAAATCAAATTAATAAGTGCAATATTCAAGTTCTACTGCCCTATTAACTTGTATTACATAAAAATAGTAACATCAATTTGCCTTTATCGCATCTCGGTGTAACGCTTATTAAAACAAAGTGTGACCTTGCTTAATAATTACATTTTATAAATATTCAATGATAAGTTTTATATTTTTTAGATTAAAATACTTTTTTTATCAACAGAGTTAAAATAAAAACGAAGAAAAGTTAATGGGTCGTTGATTTATTTATTACCTAGTCATAAAAAGGTTAATCCTCTTAAGATATATCGAAACATTAAAAATCAATAGGCGGTATTTAAAGCAATTCTTATAAACTTCAATGTCTACATTTTAAAACCTAAAATGGTTGCTTAAAGACATTTTGTAATAATCTCTCATTCGGCTAATGTTTAATTAATTATAGTCATTCATCGTTTCATTCTCTTAATTCCTCTTAATGGAAAACGCGGACGAAGTCGCTGGCGGCCACTAGTATGTGATAAAATTACATATCCGACGAACATAGGACCACATCTTTTTCGACTTTGAAGCGGTTAAAAGTAAGAGAAACACCCACTACGTGTAAACAGAGCAGTACCGCAGGAAATCAAAAGTTGATTTTGAACTTTAAAATATTGTCGTTTAGGTTGAAAACCAAGTGAAGAAATTATACAAATTCTGTATTACCGGACTCTTTTGTTAACTGTATTAATAATACTGGGCTACAGCTTGTTATCTACCTGGACAGGATTCACACACTTTTGAATAGTCCCTTTTTGGTCCTTAGACACAAGATTACATAAAAACGGGCGCAAAAAGCTCCACAATATTTAATAACAACACAACATTAACAAAAGAAATTATGTTGTTACAATGTCCAGAAATTACCTCACCAACGGCTCAAACAATTTAAGTCCAATCCGAGGCCATTGAGAATGACCAAACGGCACGAACAATGTAAGTCCAAGGCCATTGTGAAAGCATTATAAACCATAACTAGGTTCCTGAGGTGGTGCTGTGCATGTCACATGATCTTATTACCTAGCATAACCCTAACATACGATAGCTTATAGTCTAACAAGGCATTAAACTATTTCTATTGTAATTTTCAGAAGGGGCTTTGCAGAGCTTAAACAGTTTTAGGATAATTTTCAATGTATATTCATGATTTAGGAGAGCCAAGACCGTTATTCAAATAATTTACAAAACCTTTCAAAGTGACTAGCGATATGACACTACAGTAATTTTAATCTTCAATAGGGTATTGCTACTCCGTTTGAAATAATACTTGTTACTCTTTATTTTAATAATAAAAAAATCATAAAACAAATATTTCTGAAAAACTAATACGTTTTCTTGCCTTAAAATTAAATCAAACTTTAAACTTTTTTTATACCCGCGAAAACGCTGTCCGTCATATTCATGACGTCACTGTAAGATGTATGTACACAAAATAGATGCATAGAGTACAAGATTAAAAGATGTCAATTAAATCAAGAATACAATGCTATCTATCAATCAATTACGAAATAAAATGTTATAAATAAGCTGAGAACAGCGCCATCTAGGTATTTGGTTTATAATTAATAGGTACATCTTTAGGACTTATCTCACTGTTGTCGCCACAGTGACGTCACCCAATGGCGAGACGTGTTTCAATTCACGTCTTTTAATTTTAAGATAATATAAGACTCAAAATCACAATCTCTATGTTTATAACTACGTAAATTTTAGTTTTTGTGTAATTTCGTGAGTTATTTTTCACTAGCGAAACAACCCTATTATTTTGTTTTTTTTTAATGAACAAAGAGTTTGTATGCCACGTATAAAAGCTCAACAGTTTTCCACAATTTTACCTGTGCTACAATATCTGACTGAACATCGCCATCATAGTTCTTGCACGCCCACACGAATCCACCAGAACTCTTGACAGCCTGCGCGACCATATCATCGATCAAACGGTGCTCATACCAGATTTTTGCATCTTCAAACTGTTTTTTATAATCACTGTAACAAAGTAAATCTTTAACGAATAAACACTAGAGAATGTCACTCCAACAGGCAAGTTGACTATTTTTTTTTTAATTTTAATAAACAAATCTATTCAATCAATCCATTAATATCTGAGAAATAATATTTTGGAGACATGGTACTATGTTTGTGAATGCATGGTACTGCTGCTAGATAGCCGAAAACCCTTTCAAATTCAAGCCACAAAGTGGTGTCACGCCTTTGTAATTAATAGCTTTGTTATTTGTTGTGCGTTTATGTTATCTATTTTCCCTTCTTTTTTCAAGTATTTAGAGAGTATTACATTCCAAATATATGTAATAAAATTTATTTCCTCAAATATGTATGTATAAATTGAAATGGTTCATATTTTACGAACATATAACAGAAACCTGTATTTTCACCAGTAGTACACAACCCTATTAAATACAACAGGCCTACACAAATCTGTGACTTTTCTCATGAAAAAAATTGAAATAAAAACACATTATAAGATAACATCACATACATTGGTCAAGATTCCACATTAATAACACTTAAAATTATCTGAAACAATGTATATGTACACCTAGATCCGAGACATTATAGAAAACAATATTCTACATTGGCGACACCTTAAAACAGCCGTGCGATGCAAGCCATTCATCGTCCTTATAAAAAAAAAAAAAACAAGTTTTTACAAGGATGACAAGAAAGAGTTGATGAAAGTTAATCCACCAACTACTTTTCGAGTTCTGCACCCACAGCATATTGATATTTTAAAACCTACCTCTGGTATATCTCTTCAAATATGTCCTTGAAACGACCGTCGTATCGCTTCAATATTGTGTTCTTCGTTGACAAATACAGAGGCCATTTCTTTTGTAATGCCACCTGAACAAATTTAATGTTATTCGCATTATTTCGTAACGTACTTAGTGTACGCACTAAAACAATTCTCTTTTAAATCACAATGCCTACCTGAAAACTGGAATGTGCGAAGCTTCGGATAGAATCGTCCAAGTTATACATTCCCATAGCGACACCCGCTGATTTGAAATCATACAGCAGTTGTTTTGTGACTGTACCATCAGCTGCAGTATATACCATTTCAACCTGTATAATGCATAATAATCGTTATATTATAAAAATGAAAAAAAAATTTTTTTAAAACTAAAATAAAGTAAATCCATAGTTAAGTACATTTACAAAATTGTTTTGACACGCAAAGTATATCTATAGTATATTAAAGAGGAAAGATTTACTTGTTTGTTAATCTTTCATCGAAGTCTACTAGTAGCATACTAGACCGATTTAAAAAAAAATGTTTTATCTACGGGAAACTAATAATTTACGCGGGTGCAATCGCGGGAAAGCAGAGCAAATTAGCTGGGTATAAAAACCTAATGGACAGACAGACATATTTTTGAAATGTTTTTATTGTTTACAAAAGATATCCTCTCAATATAAGGAAACTTTTAAGCTTCATGTGGCCACATCCATATATATGGACGTTTTGGCTAAGACCTGCGAAATGGTGAATATCTTGATTCTCCAGTATTTATCCAATATCACACGTATTATGATACTATCAAATATACTACAACTAAACGTACTAACCTTCCCCGGGTTCGGAACGACGAAGTCTAACGCCTTGTACTGATCACCGTGCGCATGTCTTCCAATCACGATTGGCTTGGTCCAGCCCGGCACCACGCGTGGGATACTCTTACAGAGGATAGGTTCACGAAACACTGTTCCGCCTAGTATGTTCCTAATCGTGCCATTGGGGCTCAACCACATTTTCTTCAGTTTAAATTCTACGGAACAACGTGAGACAGGTTTTTATAACTTTAGTGCATAATGAACTTTATCAGATGACACTTAAAACTATGACGGAGAGCTCGTGACAAAAATGTGGACGGAATTTGTAACCGCTGGGACTTCAGTATGTCGAAGAGAATAAGTCCTAAAGGTGTCGCGTATCAACATCTAGCGATTGCAGAATTTGTTTGTTCGACTAAAAGAGCCGGAGTATTTATTCTCAACTAGTAATAAATTAGTCTTTGACCAACATCCAACTTTTTCGGAGCTGATTTTCGCACCTACTTTTGAGACCTCTAACACTTCCCCATACTGAACTAGCGACCGTTACAAAACTATTGAATGTTTTTATCACGAGCTCATGTACTACTATCATAACTACTGCCTAACATCATGTATGGGAACATGAAGTATGACACTTGGGTCTTGGCATTAATGCTAAGTTGTGAAACGGAGACCAGACATGTTACTGTGATATACTCAGTTGCTTAACAGTTTGAGTGAGGTTATGGATTCGTTTTACAAACTTTTGCTTATATTACACACATCAGTTTCAGAGGCTCAGCCTGGAAGAGATTCATATCGCGTTAGCCCCTGGCTTCTAGGAACCCAAAATAATATTATACAAGTTAAATGGGCGTGTTCCAATTTTAAATAGATTGAAAACGAAAAAAAAAGTTTATCATTAAAAATAATATGTAAATTTCTAACTAAAACTAGATTAATGATTCAATAATCTAGTCAATAACAAGTGATAAATTTCTCGAAATCCTACAAATAAAAAAAAATTGATGTAGTATCTAAACAAATTATTAATTGTTCAGAACCAATGGGAAACAGAAACTTGTTTCTGAACTTGTTTTATGATTACAGTATTTTAGAGCGAGGTTGATAGATAAATTGATCACGGGTGGGTGTTAACAAGCAACATTCCTATTAATTTCCCAAGTATATATTAAATGATAAATCATTCGGAAAAAAAATCTCGAGTTTTCATGGATAACTGGCATTTATATCGATTGATATTATTGTTAGTTTTTAATATTGTGATGGAAAATGCCTTTATAGTCTAATGAAGTTATTTTTTAATTCCACATTTCTGTATGAAATAAAACGGGGAGCCCTTGCCGTGTTTTTTGCCGGTTCTTTCTCGGTGCAAGGTCTCCCGCCGTAGGATTACTGATGGCATCGAATTTCATGAGTGCTTATAACAGTCTAGTTAGCCTGAATAAATAATTTTGATATTGACGTAGGTTTCCAATATTTTTACTACGTGAAAATGTTTAGCAAAGATATTTTACTAATGTAATAATTACAAACCTTCTACTCTCTGCTCGTCGGGGGTAATGGTCGCACATTTGATGCCTACGTTATGTTTGAGAATAGCTTGCGCAGCATCTACGGTCACTTGGTCGTCGGTGGCGTCACGGTGAGGCAGCCCGAGGTCGTAATACAAACAGTCCAGCTGAACAAAAAAATATCCGATATAAACATATACGAAATGAGACGGGAATTCCCATTCAAGGTAATATATAATCTTGGAAAATACAGATATTTGCAAACAAGTAAAATCACTTTGACTCTGGCTACATCAGAAGTGGATACAATGCCCGAAATGTCCAATTCCTATGTTTGTTGAATACACAAATAAATAACATGTAGGTAGGTTACTAATGTTTAATATTTTTAAGGCAGGATATTAACGACTTATTCAACGAGCTTGCCTGCATACTATTCATCAGTGTTTCCAACAAACCCATCATGATACTAAACTGTACATATCGGTAATCGAACATTTTGAAACCGTTATACATTTTGGGAATAGGACATTTTGAAGGGATTTAAATACTTATAAAGTTTGGTAACCTAACTTCGTTAAATTATAGGTAAGTATGAATTCATACATTTTGAATACATATTTTCAATGTTTTTAGACTAAAATAAAAAGGTATATGAGTCCTTGACGATAGGCGCGAGAAAATATAAAGTAAATCATATAAGACAATACTCAAACAAACACTTCTCTCTGCGATAATAAGATAGGATTATTAAATACCATATGTAATGACTGAACTAACAAACACGAAGATAACTATTTAGTGATCTTTGTGCACTTATGAATTATTTCTGATCCTAGTTGCCGAGTGTGAGATAAACGCAATTTTATTATCAAACTTCACACATTTCGTTTCTCATAACTCAAAAAATATTTTATTCATAAAACGATAAGGTTGATGGCTTAAAAAAATCTATTTAGATAACAGAAAAATTAGATACGCATTTTTTTATTATATTTGATCAATTTAGCAATCACAATGCTATACTGAAAAACATTCTTAATGGAAAATGCTTAAAAAATCCACTTTGTCCCTGGCACTATGAGATGGGACTCGATCCCACGACCTTTCGCAATCCAGGCGACTGCTCTAACCACTGAGCTACCCAGGACCTTACAGGACTTTTTTGTTCGTCATTGTAACAGGAAATGGCATAGAAAATGGACATTAAAATTAAAAGAGTGGAAGCTTGCTACGTCACAACTATATAGAAAATATATAAAAATGTGACGTCATGCGACATTTCAACTCAATGTATCGCTGTAATTTTATTAATTACCCAAAAAAAATAAGTGTTTAAACCTTCATATTTAAAAATGTATTTTTGTGGTGTTTTATATTCTTCAATGAAGTATCTACCTATCAAACAGTCATCATCCCAATTTTATTCATTTGAAAATAACCTGCAATAGCTTAAATCTTGAACAAACACACACTTTCCATTGAGAACAATAGAAGAAACCATAATTTATAATTGAGAGGGCATGTTGGGTAAGGTTTCGAGACATTCACCTCAATCCTTCGGTACTTGCATCCCGCATTACTGGATATTTCCAGTCTTAAGGCACCTAACGAGAAATCGAGATGTAATTATCAGTCAGGCCAGTGAGTGAGACGAAATATTGTAACAGAGAGTCAAAGTTAATTTTAATTTGTCGCTCGATGATAATTCGTTTATATGATAGACAACAATCAAATACGACAAACTTAGGTTTAACATAAACTAATCAAATTTAGATTAAATCCTGAACTACTTTTCAGCTTTGCAGATAACGAAGACAAAAGCAGGATCAGCCCAATTACCTTAGGCATGTGACATTTTTCACTTAATAAATTAAAATTATCTGGACTATTTTCACATATAAATTTAAAAGGAATTATTTTCGGTGGCGTCTAAAGCCCGTCACACACGTAGCGGTAATATAGATTAATATGCCGTGCTATAATATATATCATAGTAAGCTATCACACACGGAGACGATGCTATAATATATATATTTTGCCCTCATTCATTGATGGTCAGCCTATATTAATATGCGTTAATATGTATATTCGTTGGTGAAGTCATAGAAATATATATTATAGCTGCGTGTGCGGGAATTTGAATATTTGTATAGAAAATATATCGTAATATGCCTTGCTATAATTTATATATATTATAGCTACGTGTGTGACGGGCTTTAATACTTGTTCTCTCTTATCTGACATGAGACCCATGTAAAAAAAATACTTATATTTATTATGGAAAGTTAACTTTTTGCGATAGATATTTACGATAACGATATCATTTCATTCCAAAATATCTGTTGGTTGATAGCATGTTTCCGCAGTAGCGATAGCGTACTACAGCTTATTATAGCTGTTTGTAAGACCAGTTAATTGAGCACAACAGATGCTCCAATTGTATCATTAGTGAGGTCATGGTATCTAAGTTTCTCTATAATAAATGACGATATGAAAACAGCTTTATATACCTAAAGTATATACTATGAATTCACCACAGTAAAACGGTAATCAATTCGTTTAGTTTTCCAGTATTTTGTGCACAGCAATACATATTAGGTCAACGTCCTGCAAATGTCAATGAGTACCCATATTAGGATCCTTTTATTATGCCCAAAAGCTGTTCAGCAAGTTCAGAAGCCGTTCGATTGCGAATACTGTATTCAGCTTAAACGTTATATTTATCATGGTGTACTATTAGCAGACGTAAGCATACACTGAATAATCTTATCGAGAAAACAAGATGCATTCTTGTTTCGAGTAACGTATGCGTTAGAAACTTATAATTGACTTTGTAATTAAGAGTGTGTGTAAAGATAAAGGAAAAGAAAATCTGTTAGTAAGGATAGGAATATTACAAGCTAAATTTGACCATCTTCCCGTTTTGTGATTTAGCTGAAATTTTCCATGCAAAACTAAGATAACAATGCAATGTTAATATGGATGCAGCTGATCTGATGATGGAGCTAGAAGGGAACCACGGGCCTTTTGCAATCAAACGAAGGAAACCTGTCAAATAAGGGCTGGTTTCATATGTCTCGACGAGGACTTTGGTTCGAAATAATATCCAAAGCTAGGAGAGCCAAAATGTGATAAACAAACCGGAAGGAGGCCTTAAGACCTTATTAAGTAATCCTGTCGAGCTTGTGCAAGATCCCTAGCAGTCTCTAGGCCAAGATAACATAGAATCATACTTTTTAAAGTATAGAATTATTTTCAGTTACAGCTTATTTGGAAGTTATCTTTTGTACAAAACCAAGATAAGTTAATACGAAATCATTAAAACCAAGTTTACGATCAAACACTGCTCGCGTCAATTATAATTCGCATTAAGTTCATAGTGCGCGAAGCTCGATAATTATAAAAATAAATACGTAACATATTTAAGATGAAATGTATTCGATAAATCGTCTAAAAACTATTTAGACTATCAACTCTCTAAAAATCGATATTGTGACTAGTTTTGTGATTTTTTTCTATATTTTCTTTCAAGTTTTAACCAAATATAAATATACTGTTAACAATGTTAACAAAGTCAACATTGTTTCACACACTACTACAATAAAATAGGCCTGACATTAAATAGCGCCTACGTTACGAATACACGAGTTATTGACGCATGCATGCCCTTGACTGTGAAGTGGTCGTCCATTATTGGTGTAAAAAATAATCCTGGGTCAACAACCTAACTGCTCGTGAGTATGTTGTGTGTGTAGAATATATTACTGGGCAGATTACAAAGCTTTTCGATGCTAAACGCTATTTGTCTTTATTTATTATTCTAAATGGAAATTATTATTATTTCAGATCGCCTCTTTTGGCGATAGAACTTTTTTGAAAATGAAATATTTACATAGAGCCGTAAATTAAAACAAAAACCGAGCTTTTTGTGTGACTAATGTTTTATTTATTAATTTTCCGCTTTCGCTTCGCCCGCGTCATCAGTCATCGTCGAATTACTCTATCTATTGTTGAATACCGCATTAAAATCTGTTTTGTAGTAACAAGATCTTAGGGTACACACAACGAGAAGTAACTTTGTTTTATACAATGTAAGTACAGATGAATTATTTGATGAGTGACTAGTGACGCCCATTTCAATTAGGTCTCGGGTTCTTAATTCCACCATATGCTTTACGAAGCTCTAGGCCTCCACAAATCGCTGGTTTGAGATATTTTAATTCATAAATTCAATTTGTATATGTTTAATATACTTGTAAAGCATATAGCTTCATATGGTGAAGTCAAGAACCCGAGACCTAATTGGAATGGGCGTGCAAGTCTCTCATTAAATAATTCATCTATACATTGTATAGAAAAGTATGTTTGTAATTGACAAAGTCACTTGTAATTGTATTTCACATATTCATTCACCAGTAGAATAAGTAATTATCACTTAACAGCAAGCTATAATTATTATTTCAAAGTTTGTTGTTGTTTCCATGTTAAAACAGCAGCGGAACTTGACCAGATATGTAGAGCTGATTTATAAATTTAATGTATATTTAAGGAAGGAGAAGTATAAAAAAGCATACTTAGTATTATATTTGATCAATTTTGCGTTCACAATGCTATACTGATAAATCTATAATGAAAATGCTTGTATTTTTATGTAACTGCATTTCTACATGTAATGGTGTACGATCACCATCCACAATCAGCAATGAAAAGCATTGCCCCAATAAAATATTGATAAGCTATGACACATTTATAATGTTATGATAACCTGCTGAGATAATTTAAGAACAACTATTGTATTATTTTGACACATTTCACATTCAAAATGTACTTGTATCAAAATGTAATACTCGTACCATCCAATTTTGAGATAAGATTTTTTTTAATACTTTACTGATTTTAATACTTTACACATAAATAAAATTATTGCAAAATTTAGATATCCCAACTTCATTACTTCAAGACAAGTGTCATTATGGAATATCAGAAAACCTGTTTTTAAACACTTGAGTAAAAAAAGATAGAAGGAAGAGAAAATTTATGAAATAAAAAGTAGAATTGAGAGAAATATTGCTTCAATGGCTTATCATGACTGTTCTTCTTAACAACTATGGGTAAATCAAGCAATATGGTATTATCCTGGGGGGATTTTTGGTGGATGCAGTGAGGGCCTTTTTCGTGTAAAAAAAAAGTGTATTAGCACTATGTGTAGTGCGGGATATCGTGATAGCTGTGTGCCTTTATTTAAAAGAATAAATATACGACCGCTACCTTGTTAGAACATTTATGAAATCTGCATTTTTATACTGAAAAATCTAGAATTGTTTAAAAGAATTTGTGACATTATAAAAAAAACTTGCCGAAATAAATATAGATTATAATTATGTCCCATCTCAATGATTGCAAGTTAACAGGAAAAATATAAATTGCATGGCCATTTGAATCTATGATTTACCAGATGCTTTGAAAATTGGGACTCTCCGCTCATTCAAAACTAATTTGTAAAATACTGATTCACAATATTTTCGGTGACTTGATTTAATTATGTATTGTTTAATTTAATTATTAACATTTATTATGAATTCTTGATATAATTTAATCTAATCTTGACTTGACTATAGAACCATTGCATATGTTTGTATACCCAAAAATTTTACAAATAAATTAATTTGATATTGTAGCAAAAATGTGTTACTAGATATAGATTAAATAATATTTTTGTCCAGAGTGGTGAAATAGCTAGATTGATGTCTGTCTGCCAGTTTAAAAATAGGACTACACCAGAAGTTCTCAAATGGATAGGGCACCTACTAAGGGACGCGAAAAATGTTTGAATTTTAGAAAGAAAAAGAATTTTATGAGTATATACAATATCACATTAACTTACTCTGTCAACCACTGTTCCAAAACATTATTAAGTGTAGATCATTTTTATGTTTATTTATTGAAAATGCACAGAAGAAACATAAAAATAACCCAAATGACATTACATTATTATGACCTTTCACAAACCAAGTGACTGCTCACCATCTCACAGTGCCAGGGACAAAGTGGATTTTTTAAGCATTTTTCATTAAGTTATATAGTTTTCAGTATAGCATTGCAAATGCAAAATTGATCAAATATAATAAATAAAAACATTTATTTTTAATCAGGAGAAAATCAACACATGAAAGTTTGGGAAACCCTGCATTAGACAAATCTGTATAATTAAAAGAGTAGTTGTTTCCTTGACTATTCCACTGTTCATTTATTTGTATATTCCACTATTATTCATCAGTTCAATTAAATAAACAATATAGCAATATACCTTTTATTTAATTTAACCACTTTTATTTAGATAACATTAAGCTCCTACCTTGACATAAGGGAAAATCAGTTTCTCTTTGATTTTTGCCCAAATGATGCGTGTCATCTCATCACCGTCCATTTCCACAACAGGTTTTGAGGCCACAACCCTTTTTGCTGTTCCATCTAAAACAAATAAAATTGTGAATTTGGATATACCATTATATATTTACCTGCTAGCATTCTGTATAATATAATTGAATAAATAAATATAGTTTCAAATATCTATGAAAATTTGTGAAATTACTATTCATTTAAATTTACTTGAGTGGCAATTTTTTCACATAGCGTAGAATTGATTATTTTCAAATAAAAACATTTAATTAAGGGTTGAATCTGTTACTAATTTAACAGATTTAAATAACCTAACAAAACCTACACTACCCACGATAAAAATTAAATATCAAATAAATGACAGTCAGTGATAAGTGTTTAGAATCAGACTTTCAAGAACAAATACAAAAGAAAATCGAAAAAAGGCATCGAGGATTCAGACTTTAGTCTTTCGTGAAGTTACCTAACCATAAAGAGTATCTGAAATATTTACTTACAGTTTCTTGAAGATTGTACCGAAGCATCTGTAAAATACCTAAATAAACGTTTAGAGCCACTGCTAGCCATATTAAAAACTTTCTCAAAACACAAATTTCGTGTGTATTCGAGACTAAACTCACACCACCAATGATACCTACCGTTTTTTAACTTAAAAAAATGACAGCTAGATAACTAGAAATGCGTGTTAACTTACTAATTTGAGATATCGATTAATCGCCTATATGTTTTAGTCATTTTATGTTCCGTTCGTTTTAATTTCAATTTTGAATGATACGGCTATACATGCTATTGACAAAAAATTTAAGTTTTTAAATTGCTAATTGAGGTACTTCTTTAAAGAGGGAGCCATTTTTTAAAATTTATTTATTTACAGTCGTTTTACTTAATATGTTTAACAGATAATTCAATCGTTCAATCGGTTGGTAAGTATTTAACATTGAATCTTGATTTATTTCCCGATCATATCAAGAAACGATAATTTATTTATGATTTTATTTCCATTAAACTTTTTATAAATACCACTATCAGTATGACGACTGGGTAAAAAAAACATTTAGTCCGTTAGTCATAGGTATAATATAAAATATTAGATAGGTATTTTTTTGCTTAAATTTAAACAAGAAATGGCTTAGATAATAGGCATTAAAATTGAGGGGGCTCGCTACGTCACAGTTTTATAGAAAATATATAAAAGCGTGATGTCATGCTATATTTTAACTCAATGTCGATACAATGATTTATAAAAAAATATTAAGAAAAAATACGGAATTAATATTCTTCAATAATCTACCTGACGGAAATATAAACAAAAATTAGTCGTCATCCCTATTACAACAAAAAGTCTCAGTTACAACACCTCTACTGTTATTAATAGTTATCGTTAAACATTATTAAGAAAAAATACTCATCACCACCTTTTAAATACAATCCTTCACGTTCTGGATGATCTTCATCATCGTGTTGCCTTTATTAAGTACACTTATCTAAAACTTGTTGTAGACAGAAGAGCGTGGAATATAAAATAAATTATTCATAAAAAATACATTTTCACCTTAAGGGTTTTGACCTTGATTATTTTCATTTTTTCCCACCTAGAATATATTCCGAAAAGAAATCAATATCTAAATATGAACAAATTGACATCGTTTATGTGATTATACTTTCCAATATCTTTTTAGGATAGGAACATTTAATTATTGTATATTTTAAACGGACAATCGACTACTATTACAAAAATTAACTAACATATAAAATGAGTTACATGCACATCACTAGCTGTCAAAAATCAGGATTCCGCCAGCTGGGCGCCGGCAAGCCGGTGGCGGTGACGTGAGTAGTGGAGTCTTTCGTGTTTGTTTTAGCAGGTTTTTGTATTGCTTTCGATTTTTTTATTATTTAATTTTGGTTACGCCGGTTTACGAAAAACCTGACAGCGGTCTCTACGTCTCAGGTTAGTAATACCATTTGTCATAATATTTTTAGTGTTAATATGCAGCTAATTGAACACAAAATTTAATTATTTCCAAATTCATACAACTTTACTAGGCGGCGACAGAGATAACATATTTTATGACCTGCGATAGAGCTACAATTAACGCAAGAGGTATGAATTTTGATACATGTGTCATTAGGTTGTACCTACCAATTGTACTGTACTGGATTTCAAGTATTTTTTAAGATCTATGCGTTCGCGTAGTTTTATAATTCCGAGTTGACAACACCTACTGTATTCTCATTATTGTTTGCATACGAAGACTTCTATACTTGAGTATTTCTTTGCGTAAGATTATATTAAATAATAAGTATATTATAAAATGATAACTAATTAATCCTTAGCTACCTATTAATAGAACAAAAATACCACGCACACCCGAGTACGGCGCCCGCAGGGGTATTTGTTTCATACAATAGAAGTCTTTATTTTCGCACGATATCATAAATGCAACGTGCGAGCGTTCAATCTAAAACAACATTGTAAGATTTTATTTATTTTTGTCTAAATTTGCAAGTTAGTTTACAACCGCGGACTTGCCATTTGCTTTTTGCGATAAGGCCACAAATTGTTTCTTATGTTATGTGTATGGTAGGTACAGTGTACAGGCAGGCACCTATGTTCTTTGATTTTATCAAATAGAATCTATGTATCAGTAGATAATAATTTATTTGATTTCATTTTAGTTCTAGCAAATTTTGTTCTAATTAACACGTTCTTTATTTGACTCGATGTCTTATGTAATCAATGAAATATACTTTATATAAATGTAGTAGGTACATCAGTTTTCATGCTCCAAACGTAGTCGTACAATCAGCAATGACAATGCGTGTACGCCAGCCAGGGTTTCTCAACTAGAGGACCGAATAAAATTCGATTTCATTGGTTATTACCTTATAGTTATAAGAACTAATGTTACAACTCAATCGTTGGCATGAGCGACGTACGGCATTCAATGGGCTTAGTTGGTCCTTATTCATATGGGTATATGGACCAACGAAGCTCAATTATTAGCGTTCGTTTACAGTAGGTCCGGTCGGTTTTGTACGCAGTGGAAATCAGCGTTCTGCGAACGTGCGTGGTGCGTGGGTCGCATAGCACAGGTAGACATTTTGGGCTTAAGATAGATGCGTGAGCAGAAACCGCACACGAAATGTCCGAATTGACACAATTGTTTTTTTTGGTTGATTCGTATACACAACGAAGCGGAAAACCTACAAAAAAATACCTAACCTACAAAAAAATCACCCTACACCTATAAAACACCTACCAGTAAAGTGCTCATTAATTACGTACCTACCGATTACTTTGCTGTACTATTTTTATTTATAATTTCAAATTTGTTATGAAATTTTTCACAACTTGTTTTTTCGAAAAATATTTGTGCCAATCGAACGCCCAGAAAATGCCGTATAGCACGACGTTTCAAAATATTACGAATTAGGTATTTATGTTGTTTTTTTTTATTGACAACGTTTCTATTGGCACTAGGCTGTAGCTACAGCACAGAGATGTATGTTTATTAGTACGTCATCTATCTATATCCAACAGCACGCCATCAATTTGATCTTGAAACATGTGTTTGGGTCTTCTGCTACTCCTACATATACTTTCACTTTGTAGGTATAACAATTTTATCATTCATTCATCCGTAATTTTTCGACATATCTGAATTCTGAACGAACCTAAAATAATGGCTTTGATAATTTTGTTCATTTTGATTTAATATTTATTCTAAGTATTAATTTTGATCAAATCATGATTTTCTTGTTAATGTTCTTTCTTAATTTGTTTCAGATAATAAGTAACGATGTGTGGGTGCATACGGATTCTTCGTGCTTACAGGCCGCTGCCTCGCACGCTTCATTGTAGACTCTCTAGCTCTTCGTCAGCACCACCACAAGTGCCGGGAGTTCCATATACGAAACTCAGCATAGGCGTACCTAAAGAACTGTGGCAAGACGAAAAAAGGTATATGCATTGTTTCTAACTGCGCGATCTGTAATTGATTTTTAACGACTAGTTTCATTATATTATAGGTTCAAATTAGTAATCACTTACTTTTATAGTGTAAATAATATTATCTACACAAAACGCCAAATTATTACATTTATACGGAAAGTGCATTCCTGTGTTGTGCGGCTGTAGTTGCGGCTTTTCGTGTGGTTTTGATATTATATAGTAATTAATTAATAAGAATAACACTAGGCCTCAAGCTAAATGCCAAGATGTTTTTGTTATTTTTTAGAGTTGCTGTAGTACCAGCTGTAGTGAGCAAATTAGTTAAAAAAGGCTTCACTGTTAATGTAGAAGAGAACGCTGGAGCTCTAGCAAATTTTCCAAACAAAACATATGAGGAAGCTGGCGCTAAAATCACCACAGTCAAGGACATATTCCAATCCAGTAAATCAATACTTTAACATAATACATTCATGGTTCATTTTATTTATTTCAAGTTTCTAAGTAAACATTAAAATTTTTACAGATATAATTCTAAAAGTAAGACCACTTATAGATAACGAAATTAAAAATGTTCAAGACGAGAGCACGCTTATATCGTTCCTATATCCTGCACAAAATCAGGATCTGATTAAGAAATTAGCTGCTAAAAAGGTCAATGCATTTGGTAAGTAAATTAAAATCTTATTTTCTTTATAAATAAAGGTAAATAGATATATCTATCTATCTAAACAATGAGAACTGGTAGAAAACGAGAATCATATTCATTGAAAATTTTCAGCGATGGACTGCATCCCGCGCATTAGTCGCGCGCAGGCTTTCGACGCCCTCAGTTCTATGGCTAATGTGGCGGGATATCGTGCAGTTATAGAGGCAGCTGCACATTTCCCTAGATTCTTCTCAGGTATGTGTACAGTTCACTAAAACCTACTTAATAGCAAGGGGAAATAAGGCGAGTAGTTTCCCAATACATCGAGGATTTCAAGAATCTTTTAAAATACCATGCATAATAGGGGTGTAGACAACTTTTTATATTTTTACTTTATAGATTATAACTAACATAGATGAAGCAAATCTAAAAAAATATTGAAAGAAATATCATCAGTATCAGCGAAAACTCCACTTCTGTCATCGCTATAACTTCACGGCATTCTGAAACGAATTAAGGTTGATTTCTCCAAGTGAGACGGGCGTGACGTCACGTGACAACGCATAAAATATTTGTATTTTTTGATTATACACTAAAGTGTGATTAAACAATACCAGAAAATAAAATAAATATGTATTTATTTTCGTTTAATGTCTGCACCCGTATTGCTAGATTGGAAATAATTTTTTATCGCTTTTGTCAATAGATTTATTAAAGTTAGGGAGTTCTAATTTATCTTTTCGACTTTTTGAAGATTTTAACGTGGAATTAAAAGCATGCAATATTCATAGTATACTAAATGCAGCTTATTGTACATGTATTACACGTGTACAATGGATATTTTATAGAACAACGTTATAAATCTACGGACATGACATGGGAGTTTAGACATCTTGTGTAAGTTTTGTATGTGTTGATGACCTCCACTTTATCAAGTTATTTCCTGGCCACATCTATGTTTCTTCAGAATTCCATAAAAGCTTGAGATGTTTAAAGAGTCTTCGGGCAATTAAGGCACGCGTTGTAATAAGAACCTCCTTTGATATTTCGTGCTAAAATACTTCTTTTGTGCAAACTCTACTCACACATGCATAACCACCGATTGATACGCCATGTATAGTATAGTATAGTGCATGAGTAAGTAAAGGAAGTGTATTAGAACTTAATTTTTACGAAAAGAAGTGTATAAGAACGAAATTTCAGTATCAAGGTTTTAATTGCTGCAGACATTTACTAATTTATGTGTGTAGGTCAGATGACAGCTGCGGGCAGAGTGCCGCCTTGTCGCGTCTTGGTAATTGGTGGCGGGGTCGCAGGCTTAGCTGCGGCCGCGCAAGCACGTTGCATGGGCGCCGCTGTTAGAGCGTTCGATACACGGCCCGCTGTACGCGAACAAATTGAAAGCTTGGGTGCACAATTCATCACTATGGAAATGAAGGTAAAGGATGAGATCTCTTTAGAACTTGTAACCATGTAGCCTATCCATGTAGATGTTATATCATGTGGTCAAGTCATGTTTGTAGATATAAAAACTGCTGCTCGATTTGATCAAAATCATTGAGTGATGAATATGAATATTGAAATTCGACCTTTATATATTCAAGAAATTTCTATTGAAGTCAGACGGTTAGTATTAATAACTTATACCACCTCCGGGACGCATCCTCCTTGCATAGTTTTCCTCCCTTGTAAGGGTTATGGTCTCCATTATAAATTGCATCACAGACCAAATTACGCCACCCTCTTCGACTTCGCTGAAGCTAGAATCAATATTTGGACAAATATCTGTCTCGTTGCAAAAAAAATAAAAAATGGGACTTATTAAATTGTTGGAATACTAATTAAATATATATATAAACGCATCGACTAGAGACTACCGACCTCTATTTTTCGTTGGTTAAAAACCCGTTCCATCAGTTTAAACTGATTAGATTCAATCATTTCGCGAGATAATGCGAGATAAATATACAGCTGACATCTTTCACTTGACATATTGCTCGTAATCAATAATGTTTTGATATCATACTGCATTGTATACCTACTAATATTATTCATATTTCCTATTCTCAGAAGATTTGACTATCCTACAGTGTATTGATAAAGTATAACATTTTATATAGCTATTGTTTACGCATCCAATTCATAATGATATTGTAAATGCATCGGTATTGATATGACATTGGCGTTTTGTTACGGTTATTTACTTGTCCACTACTCAGCTTGAACATAATCTTATAAAAGTTAAACAGATACTTATCAAACATTTAGTATTTTCCTTTGTCGATAAATAATTCCAATATTCTTCATATTCTTATCGTCGTTACGTGATTTTTAATATGAGTTGCATTGTTTTTCTAACGTAATTATCAATTACAAGGGATTTATTATAAATCCCTGGCACGGGTGTGTTTTGACTTTTGACGTCAAATATTTAGATTATATCGGCTCGTTAACGTAGGCTTAAGTTATCTATAATATTAATTTTTAAGTCTATATAGAGTAATGCATTTCGGTTTTCCTATCAACTTTATTTTGTAGCGGCTTCAATACAATGTGATTATTATTTGATTATACGCATGTTCGCGGGTGCTACGATAAAATATTTATATAACGCGAACAAGTAAATATGACAGAGTGTCTTATTTATTTAAACAATTGCGAGTAACAATGACCTTGTTCTAGCTTTTAACATTTTTATTTTACATAATGTTTTATAGCAAAACCTTATTAACAAATTTAATTGTTGCTTTTGAAATATAGTACTTATGATTATATTAACTACAAAACTTATGATCTCCAGATCTATCTGTACTTATAGTATAAAGCTTCCAACTTGGTTTGTTTGTAATCTTCAGAAATACTGATCTGATCATTAAATTATAGAAAGACATGTGAATGTTACCAACAAATTATTTTTTATAGAAACAAAAAACCGTGGTGGGTTTTCCCGCCTTGTAACAACGATGAATTACTAATTAAATATTTACACAAATACTTACTACCTACAACAGAATATTTTATAATCTATGGCACCTGTTTTAAAGATGAATGTCATTTGTACTATTTATAAAACTGTAACTGTATATGGATTTGATCAATTACGGTAGAGTTATAAAAAGTAATTGATATTGACACCAAAATTTTATTTGTCGAATATTGAAAATAAGAATACTACTCCACTACAAGAATATACTACTTCCAAAGCCCTACGCTTTGGAACATTAACATGTTGTAAAATAGTTTATTTTGTGTTACCATTACTCGGCCAAATATCATCATGTATAACACAAAAAAAATGTTTCATCAACTGACACAGCGATTTGAAGGCATAGCCATATCTAAGTTACAAGTTCGATTCCCAGTCTACACTGACGTAGAAAATTAACTGTTCTGTATTATCTCTTGTCTGGGTGACATTGTACCTCCGAATTTAAACAAATCGAAATTTAATTATGTGTGACAGTTTTAAAAGGCATATTTTATTTTATTTACTCACATTGTAGCAATTTGAGCGTATTTCATATGCTGTCATATAAAGACATTTTCGTTGCATATTGTAGTAGTACGCCAGCCCCACCTTCAAGGTCTTTATGAAATCTGCTGTGTTTTTCGACCCTACATTTAGTACCATAAACGGTCATAATATGAAAAGTATTTTTATTATTATTACATAGGAAGAAGGAGCTGGCGAAGGAGGTTACGCCAAACAAATGAGCGAAGAGTTCCTTAATGCAGAACGAGCACTCCTCGGTAGAGAAGCCAGGACATCAGACGTAGTCATCAGCACTGCTCTTATTCCCGGAAAACCAGCACCTGTACTTATAATGGAGGTTAGTAATCCATAGAAACTAGTACTCTAAGTGTACATATACTTATTTAATACTTAACCTGGAGTTCCCGTGCGAATTTCCTAAAAATAGTAATTATAAAGGCAATTTTCTTCTCGAATCGAAAGATTAAAATATTTGCAAAAATGTTCCTTTAGGGTTAGGCTGTGAAGGTATATTACTAAACATTGATGCGAATACAAAAGTTGTAGTAAGGAATTCATCAGTCTGTTTAGATTTTGGAAGTAGTTGGTTATTTTTGATATTATTTCTTTAATTACTTCCCTTTCATTGCCATTAACTCTTTCTTAAGCCACACTCAAGTCCCATTTTTGTTAAAATATAACATTTTAAACAAAATAAATTATGTTAATACATTACTATATGTCAGAAGTAAGAGGCACTAGATACCGATGTTCCAGGTCCACAAACTTATTCGGTAACGGATGTTACCTATAAGCAAGATGTGTTTAAAAATGTAAAATGATAATAAATAATGATAAAAAATATAAGTATAGTCAAATAAAAGTGTATTATTATTTGGGTACACTATATTTTTTTTTTTAATGGATTTTAAAGAAACCAATATTTCCAGGACGCAGTTCGCGATATGGCTCCTGGCAGTGTGATAGTTGACTTGGCCGCTGAAATGGGTGGTAACGTGCAAACAACTAAGAAAGGTCAAGTGACTAAAGTGCACGGCGTCACTCACATCGGCCTCACGGACCTGCCGAGCCGTATGCCTGCGCACGCGTCCACGTTATACGCTAACAATATTTCCGGATTCCTGTTTAGTTTAGGTGAGTGTTTCTGTTCTTATAGATGGCGTGGTCGATCGATGTTCGATTATCGACCTTATGTAAGTTTAACAATGGTTGAAAAATTCGTCAGTCCTGTTAGGTCCTGGATAGCTCAGTGGTGAGAGCAGATGATGATGTTTCTGTTCTTATAGAAGTCGTGGTCACCCAACGTTCGATTATCGACCTTATGTAAGTGTAGCAAGTGCTTGAAAACTTCGTCAGTCCTGCTAAGTCCTGGATAGCTCAGTAGTAGGAACAGACGTCCGGTATTGCAAAAGGTCATGTTCGAATCCCATCTCAGAGTATCAGGGTCATTTTTAAGCATTTTTCATAAAGAATATATTATATTGTGTTTTGTATTTATAAATAAATTTTTATTCTGCGCCAGATGATTCTATCCTGGATTATCGGATCTGGAAACTGGGTGGCTAGCTTAAGATCTCTCTTGATTTTCGACCACCAAGTCTAAGTGAGGGCGGCCTCTGTCACTTGTTATGTTAATATTATATTATTCTCTGGAAAACATATCTCAAGGTTCTATTTACAGTAAAATTGATTAAAGTTGTTTCTTCTAATACCGCCGACGAATTTTTATCTTTAATTATCACTGAATTAAAATCGCTCGACGTTATCTTGTCTTTGCAATTTTCATAAAATATATTAAGCCTTTTAAATACCTACACAACAATTAGCTTTTCAATATGTCTTACTAGCTAATTTGGTACGCCAGCAAATGTAATAATAACAAAGCACAGACTGCTGTTAATTTTCTTATATTACCGATTGAGTTTAAGAGACAGAACTTTTTATTTTTTTCTTATATTACCGATTGAGTTTAAGGGACAGAACTTTTTTTCTTTAATATTTATATTGTCTACTATTGAATTAAAACATTTAAATATCGATCGAATTACTAGGAAATAATCTAAAATGTAGTAAATCTACTGACCATACTGACACGGTACTGTCCTACATATTTCCTGCACTTTTTTACAGTATAATAGCACATACATACATTGTTTATACAACCGTCTACATTGTTGTACGATTATATACGGTACAGTAGACGTAATAAAATTCAAAAGTAGGTATACTACAAAAATACACACAGGACAATTACGTTGTATTATGGTCCATTTATACGAAGCCAATTGCCAATAGCAAACTTAAAACAAATTATGTCAAATTTTGGGACACAAACGGATAAATATTTTCGTTTTTTTTACTGTTTAAGCTGCACAATGTGCACATGATTGTTAAGTGTAAATGACAGAGAAGGTCTTACTTACTTAAATTAACGTTGTGTATTGATTGTAGGTACCAATGATCACTTCCATATCAACCTTGAGGACGAAGTGACTCGCGGTGCTATAGTTCTGAAGAGTGGCGAGTTACTATGGCCGCCGCCACCGCCCCCCAGTATGGCGCCCACGCAGCAAACAGCTAAACCTACCGCCGTCGCCAAGCCTGAACCACCCAATCCCTTCAATGAGACGTTGAAAGACACCTTTCTGTATTCTACTGGTAAGTATAATTTTGTAACATTTACATACGATATTGACGTTTAGTTTACTGAAATGTGACGTCACGCGATGCTCCGTCGTGGCCGCTTGCGCTTCGATTCTTGTAATCCACAGATTATAAATCGCAAAATCTTTTTTCTATTTCATAATTTATTGTTAGGGAGGCATTCCCTATGGATAAAATCGAATGCATAGAGTGAATTGGCTATGAACCACCACTATGTACCGATTGGTACGGCTGTTACCGAGTGCAGATGAAGCGAGGGCCAGTGGCTTAACTTGCCTTTCGAAGTAAGGCGGAACTTGAGATAATGAATTTTTGATCACCTATCCTATGGTTATAAGCCAAATAGGTCATTGTGAAAGTTGCTTAACTTCCAACATAGTAGACCAGAAGCGCTAACTACGGCGCCATCAAGCTCCTCAATAATCTTATACTACTTGATAATGTGATGTTTCATTTGCTTTAAGAAGTGCGTTTGCATTTTCTACCTTGACCCACCGACCTAAAAATTAACTTTAAACTAACTTATTTTTTTTACAGGTTTAGCTAGTTTGATCGGTCTTGGTATGGCATCACCAAACCCCGCCTTCACTACTATGACAACTACCCTCGCCTTAGCTGGTAAGTAATGTTCGAATTTGTTGAATACTCTTATAGGGTCAAAATGACCATATTATAACTATAGTTAGTTCTGTTAAAAATACACATCAGGTCAAAGAACAATTTTTGAACTTAAGTATCAATAGATTAAGGTTTAAAATCGATAGGAGATATCAAGCTTTTGCTAGGAAAGTGCTTGCCATTCATTGTACATAAATAGCAATATTATATTAAGACGCTTCTATGATGGGTCTTTAAATAATGAAAATAATTTCTTCTTCTTCTTCTATTTTAATGACTATTTTGTGTTAAATTTATGTCACTCAGCACTTCAAACACTGACAGATTGTTACTCGGAAGCATATATAATACATACTCATTATGGGTGACAGAAACTCATTATCTAAGTTCACTTTTACGAATTATCTTTTTTCCAATTTGCCTTGGAATTGTCATATGTTTGATAAATTACAATTTATATATTTCAACATTTCACATTAAAAAGAAAAAAATTGCTAGTCATAACCTAAAATTATTACCACTTATTAAAAAAGTAATTTTCTGTTTTTTTTTTCTGATATTGTCTATGGAACTGTAAGTATGTGGCGTCGTAGCTACTAAACGGACGAACCGACTTTGATCTAGTTTTCCTTTGTTTGTAGTGACTTAATAGAAAGCGTTCTTATCTATGATTTAAGAAAATCTATTTGAAGATCTTTTCTAGTTCAATTTAAGATCTTACAGTTTTAAGAATGACGGAAGATATTCGACCATTATCTTAAATGATTTCTGCTATATATAGGTAATGAAATGATTGATCTAAATGTCGTTACTTCTGATAAAGAGCTGTCATTTTTCTTTCACGTCTTCTTCTTGTCAGCCAAAAGATGTCCTGAACGAATGGTAGGGAACATTATTTTAATTTAAGGAAAGCTTATTGGTACAAAGAATTATTCATTTACCTTATTTATTAGGGGTGGTGGGTTACCACACCGTGTGGGGTGTAGTACCAGCTCTTCATTCGCCCTTGATGTCTGTTACCAACGCGGTGTCTGGTATCACGGCAGTGGGAGGTCTACTGCTTATGGGCGGTGGATACATACCCGAGACACCAGTACAGGTATAGATAGTATTTTGGTATTTTAAAAAGTTTCAGTCTTTTAACATTCAGTATTTATGTTGAAGAATTTTAGGAAAGATACGATTATATTAATATATAATATTCTATACTATGATTTAATATAGTCGTATATACATATAACAGAACTAGTACATAAATCAATCAAGTTTTTACTGTGGAGAATAACATAGATATATTTCTGAGCTACACATAATATATTTATGTGTTAAAAAAATAAACTTATTTTTCCCTCTAAATATGATTTTTGTAAGGAAGTTTCGGTTTCGGTTTCAGATGAAACTGAAACCGTTGCCGAAAATTGGTTTTGGTTTCGGTTGGATAAACCAATTTCGGTCGGACACTACTTGACAGTTATAACAATAAATTAAAATAATTTTTTTTAATGAATTGTAAGTATATTTTATTTTTGTGTGGATCGCAAGAACGCTGGTCATGACGTACCATCGTTTGACGTCACATTACAAAAAACTAAACGTACATACAATTAGTACTCATGTTTATTGAAATGTGACGTCACGGTGCGAAATGTCACTTGACTGATTGTTTTCGTAATTTCATTCATCATTTCTAATCGTAGCAGGTTAGATAACGTGTAATCTGTAAGTGAACAACCTGTTACCCGTTACCGTTACGGTAATTAAATGCAGGCCCGGTTAAGTAACATAACAAGAAGTAGGAACATGAAGTAATACTAAACCGATTATTTGTGTGTATTATGTAAAATCAATATTGGTTAATACTACTAGGCATATGTTGATCATAAAACTTCTCGATTATTATACGTTGCTCTAAGAAACCGACGGACGTCTGGTTATTTGTATTAAAAAGCATCTCTGTAAGAGACGTGTTTCCTTAAATTTGTGATGATTGACACACTACACTTCGATTTCTTTCAAAAGTTATTGAATTATATTTATACTAGCTTTCCGCCAGTGACGTCGCCCGCATGGTCCCTAGGGAACTGTTTATTTGGATAGCGATGCATGGATATAATTACAATGTCATAGAATAGTAAACGATGGTTACTATAGTAACGTAACATTTTAATTCCCTGCACAAACTTCCACTTCCATTTTCATTCTTTTATTTGTTGTTTTTCGGGATAAAATATAGTCTATGTTCACCGCATATGACATAGCTTCCCATAGATGAGTATTTTTAAAATAGGTCCAGTAGTTTTAGAGCTTATTCGTTGCAAGCAAACAAACAAACAATCAAATCAATCCTCTTCATAATTTGTAGTAGAGATATCTAAACAGTAAAGGTGGCTGTGAGTATTACGTATTCCATTGAGAATTTTAGTACAAGACGTTTATACAATTCCAACTACGTCCTAAAACTGCAGGTTTATATAGATGTTTTAGAACATAATCTGATAATATCAGTTATTCGCCCTTTTACATCTTGAACTCTTAGAGTTCATTGACACTGGTCGATGATAAACGTACCTCCCGTTCTTTCAGTTCTCCGCTTACCATGGTCGGTCATTATTTTACTGAGATGAGCGTACAAAACTCGCTCTACGCGCGCTGATGTCATCGGCCAGAGTAACTGAGCTATTATATTATACGAGCATGATTGTGATATTATTATAATGAAAAAAAATTTTTTTCAGTGGTTAGCTAGTACCGCAGCCCTCATTTCGTTCGTTAACGTATTCGGCGGTTTTCTTGTCACGCAACGCATGTTGGACATGTTTAAGAGGTCAGTATAAACATATTAAAAATTAATTGTGTATACACAACAAAAAAAAAATACTCGTTTTAGATTACCATTAGTCTCATACTATAAGTAAGATTCTAGATATAATCAGTATATCACCATCCTCTGCCCCATTATTATTAGCACATTTTAGATTAAGCTCATTAAAGTCGTATAATTCTTCATTATTATCACCAATCTATACACGTCCCCACACACTGGAATCATATTAAATAAGGACATGTTACACTGCGCTTCGAATGGCACGTTAAGCTTTGGTCCTGTCTGCATTAGCAGTCGTTAATACCCTCCAATACGCATTGGGCCAGCGTGATCCATCCATAAGGAAGGCCTGAACCTCTGCAATGGTTCCTGGTCTGAGCTGATTGTCTGAGATAACCAGGCAGACAGTCAGCCGGGACCAGCGGCTTAACGACCTTAACACGGAGGATCTTGAGATAATAAGTATTGCTGCCGCATCGCAGAGCTAACGCACTAACCACTGCCATCGAGTTGCTCATTTTATTTTTAGATGGAATTTTATTTACCTGCATTTATCTTATAATAATATATAATAATAATATTTACATTATAATAATAGTTGCAGGAATATAAAATGGGAAAGCTGTCGGTAACTATTATTTTTAATCTGTGCAATTTTCGATTGTCATCTAGGCCCGGTGACCCACCAGAATACGGATACTTATACGCCATCCCCGCAGCTGCTCTTTTAGGAGGATACATTACCACAGCTATGCAGGTACGTGTTCACCAAGCGTTTATAAATATTACTAGCTGTTTTCACGCTACGACGCTCACCTATTTAAAATTGAGCACAAATCAGAATAATTTATTCAGCTGAGACTGTTACAAAGCACTTGTGAAAGTCAAAACTCTATGCCATCGGTTTGTTAAACTACGCCAGGAGACCTTGTGCCAAAAATAACGGCAAAAAACATAGCAAAGACTCCTTTTTACTTCTCCCTGTTTTATTTCATGTCAAAATTGAAAAATAAAACAATATTCAAATTCTCTATTAGAACTAGGCTATAGAAGCTCTATTTTTGAATGATTCGTCTCACGTCCAGCGCTCGTTTTCTACTGATTTTTGTTTATGGCTGTTTTGTTTACATTCACACTTATTTTGTTTATATATGTATATTGTTTATATAGTAACATATTTTTTCCTACAACTTTAAGAACAAAATCTAATATTTCGAATCATGTTCGCCATCTCACTACGCTTAATGGTCTTGCTTATTTTTATAGCGCTAATGCGAATCCGAAATAATTTAATAATAACTAGATCTTGCCCGCGACTTCGTCCGCGTGGTAAAGTTACTTTGAGCAGCATTTCTAACAAATATTTATTTATTCGTTCCATAAGGTACCGATAAGTTCAAACTAATACATTTACATCCTCCATCATTCCTTATTTTATCCCCATGGGGATTGAATTAATCAAAATCCTATTCAAGCGGACGTCTTCATCATAGTAGCTCCAATCTTTAATTTCAGTTCAATCAGGCGAAAATCTAAGAAGATTTATACAAACTTTCATTCCCTATTTTATCCCCTTAGGGGTGGAATTGATCAAAATCCTTTCTTACTGGATGCCTATGTCATAACATCTACCTACATGCATGATCCGTTCAGTGGTTTGGGCTGTGCGTTGATAGATCACTATGTCAGTCATTCACCTTTGAGTTATATATATTAAGATAATAATATTTATTGTCTAAAACATAAACATTCTCAGTACATGGGTTCCTTTTAAGTGCCAAAGCAGGCGCTTGTTCAAGGAGATCTTGCTCCTCCTTATCAGAAAGTGAATCGAATTGCGAATCCGAAATCCTATAAATCACCGATTGCGATTGCATTTCTTTTAGCTTTATGATAATAAATTTAAGAAGAATTAGCCTTTATTTCTATAAAAAAATTCTGCCTCTTGAATAACTCTGTTGTTGAAAATCGCATCAAAATCTATTGTGTACTTTAAAATATATCAGCGTACAACAGCGGGAAGCTACTTTGTTTTTTACTATGTATATATTAATAAATACCTTTGTTTTTATAGGGTTTTCCCGAAGTACACCAGATGGCGTACTTAGCGTCATCTCTATGCTGCGTAGGCGCTCTTGCTGGGCTCAGCTCTCAGACTACCGCTAGGAAAGGAAACTACCTCGGAATGGTATGTATTAATAGACTATTTTCGATTTCAAGTTAAAACGCTCGGTCTGTGATGTTAAACAACTTTCGCTATGATCGGTCATTGGATGGGTGACCAAAAATTTATTATCTCGAGCTTCTCCGTGCTTCGGAAGGCACGTCAAGCAGCACCTGCAGACGTTTTATTTCTGTTATAGATATTTCAATTCTTAAATTTTACGTTTGATACAAAGTGTTGACTTATTTTCGTCGAATAATGCTTAAAACCTGATTTTAGCATCCTAGTTTTATAATAAGACTAATTAGGAAAAAAATATTATGGTGTTATACTTTCTCTTCTATGTTATAGTCAACATAATAAAGGGAACTTTCATAAAACAGGTGACAGACGTTACGAGTGAGAATCCCTATGTAACGCTTTGGTTTGTAATTTTTCAGTAAAATAAGCTCTTTTACGATCAGTAAGACTTATTTAGCCAACGAAAATTAGCTTGTAGTATTAATGAGCACAACTTTATCGTAGTAGTTTTACCGTAGCTAGACGTAAGTCATAGTCACATACTACCTGTTACTATTGAAGTGAGTTATCTACGGAATTGCTATAGTGTATATATTTTCGGCACTGATGCCAGTGCCATGATCACGGGTTAACTGAAGACTTGGAAGTGGATGGACGTTATCAGGCAGATTTATATATCTACCCTCTTTCGAATCCTCTTACGTTTGATACCCGCACCACTGCTCAATAAGCCCCGTAGATAAAAATTATTTCAATGTTCATAACCATAAAAGTTTGACATTATTGATTGCTATATTCATACCATTGTAGTTAGTTACTAAAAGTTATAGTAACCTTTTGTAGTATTCCACTAAAGCAATGCTGGATAAAATTTAATATGTACTCTTCAAAGTCTGAAGATTCTCTTTCTTATAGAAAGAAATATAACAAAATTTATGCGACATTTAATTTAAAATTTTTACACATTATCAATACTGATGACAATTTTTATGTCCGCCATGGCGTATTGTGGCTGTACAAAGCGACGTTTCAATTTTATTGTCCTTTTAAAAAAATAAAGCTATTTATTTAAGAGATGTCGGATAGTTTGACACTGGTATCTTTGCCTATTTTTTGGTTTAGTGTCGTTATCTACCATAATGTAATCCTGAATCTGATCTTCAGATACACGGTAGTGTAGCTGTCCAGACTACCTAAATCTAGAATCTACTTTCTATCCATATTTTATTAAGATGGGATATTCGTTTGTTAAGATCGGAGTAACGGGAGGAATTGCTGCTACTCTAGGCCTACTAACACCCAGCGCCGAAGTTTTTGCTCAAATGTTGGGTGTAGCTGGCATTGGTGGACTGATCGGTGGCACCATAGCCAAGAAAATTGAAATCACTGACCTACCACAACTCGTAGCTGGCTTCCACAGGTAAATGACTTTGAATCGTAATATATGTAAGTATTTGGAAACATACTAAGATTATAATAACATGGAACAAAATTTATGAACATAGTTTTTTTTTTAAACTAGAAATCATACTTACTGGTTGATTTTGTGTTTATTGTATCTAATTTAATTTACTTTTTGGATTTGTTTCACAGTGTAATAAAGAATATTCATATCATATATCATATCCTAGGCAGTTTTTGTATAAACTATTCTGAAAAGAACTTAGGCGGAATAATCTTAAACTTACTGACGGCTCGGCTTCGTCGTGTCTTAGTTAAAATTTAATACAGAGAATAAGCAAACCTAGTAACCCCTAGAGTAAATAATACTCCCGATGAACCTCGTATTAGGTTAACTTTTGCTAAGGCTCTGTTTAATAACATGAATTTTGACTAATACTAAGTGCAGTCTCAGCGTAAATTTATTCCAACGCTAAAACTTGCATATTAATAATAGAGTTAAGTATAAACCACAAAACAACAATTTAAGAAACACTTATATTATAGCAGTAAATAGTGCAATAGGGATGACGACTGAATATTACATACGTATTTTTTTGCTTCAATTTAACAAGAAGCTCGGTGGCGTATTAAATAAGCGCTGCGGCACGCGATCGTCGTCGTTAAGCAACATTTGCAAGGGTCGGTTACGAGATGGGTGACCAAAAAATTATTATCTCGAGCTACTCCGTGCTTCGGAAGGCACGTTAAGCCGTTGGTCCCGGTTGCATTTTTAGTCGTTAATATCCGCCAATCCGCAAAGGGCCAGCGTGGAGGGTCATGGCCCATGCTCCTTAACCATCCATAAGGAAGGCCTGAGCCCCTGCAGTGGGGACGAAATAAAGGGCCGATGGTGATGATGAACAAGAAGTGGCTTAGATAATAGCGTGGGGGCTAGCTACGTCACAACTATCTAGAATAAAAAAGTGTGACGTCATGCAACATTTCAACTCAATGTATTGCTAAAATTTATTGAACACGCAAAAAAATACGTGTTTAATATTCTTCAATTATCTACTCAAATGACAGACGAACAAAAATTTGTAATTATATCTAATGACATGTTTTCCTGGTACAGTTTGGTGGGTATGGCGGCAGTGTTGACATGCATAGCTACGTACATGCACGACTTTCCCGCTATGGCGCTTGATCCCACCGCCGCGACACTCAAGACGTCACTATTCCTCGGTACTTACATCGGAGGCATCACATTTACGTACGTATTTAAAAGACTTTTTCTATAAATGTAATTATTTTCTTAGCTGCTCAATTTGCTTTGCAAAGACTGACTTACCACAACTACTGTGGTCACCTTTAAATGTAGCAGCAGTACAGTACTGAAATTTATCTGCTAGTTAATATATATTTTGGTATTCTTAAATAAATAATCTTCTTACTTTGTCAGTTAGAAAGAGAGAGATCATATCATAGATAAACATTTATGATCAGGATGTTCTGGCACCGTCATTGTCTGAGATTTCAATAATACTTACAAGTGCTAAAAGTTTCTTTATCTCTCGATCTCGATGTATGTGATGTTTTCTAATATTTATTTATTAACTGATTTTAATAAAAGAAGATTCTCGGTCGGTTGAATTTTCTCTATTTGTATGTAGTTTCCACTATATCTTCGTCAATAGTGGACTGACAATCCTTTTTTTTTTTTTTTGAAAGGGTATATTATCGAATTAGTCTCTTTATCGGATTGGATGTTTTATATCAAATTAAATGGAAGAACTATATAGTCCAAAAATCAGGTCAGGTCACTAATAATCAAAAATTAAAACGTATTTTATTTTTAAAACTAAACCCGAACTAAAGACTGTTAAAAAAAAAGCTACAAAGGTGTTTCCACGCCTTTGTAGATTTGCCGCCAAATCATTGCCCGGATTCAAACGAAGTTTACTAAAGTTACTATTAACTTTAGTAAACCTTCATTTGAATACCTTTTACAAGTAGCGAAGGTTACTGTTAACTTCAGTAACTTTCGTTTGAATACCGTTTACAAATTTCCAATTTTTTTGGAGTCAATTTTAGTTTTTTTTTTATATATAGTGGGTCGTTGGTAGCATACGGTAAACTGCAAGGCGCGTTATCATCCGCTCCGCTACTGTTGCCCGGTCGTCACGCTATCAACGCTGGTCTGTTAGCGGGCGCGCTCGGTTGCGGCGGGGCTCTGCTAGCGTTTCCTGAAGCCCCCGGACTGCCCCTGTTATCCGCCGCTGCTGTACTCAGCGGTATACAGGGACTAACTCTCACCGCCGCTATTGGAGGTAAATGTTGTGTACGCTTGTTTATATCCTCCTCAGTCTAAACCTTAGTAACTGCAAAATTTACGTTTTTTAGTTTTTAATATCGTCTCAAAGCCCAATTCAAATCCTACAAGCCTAAGTTATTCATTTTTTTCTAGAGTGTTTTCTCTACAGTATTTTTCGTTTCTTTTAAAATCTAGTCGTCATGAAAATATACTATGATTACCACCTAATGTTAAGTACGAATTTGACTACTAACTGCATTTTAGTTAGTAAATATAATACCCAAACACTTGAAATGCAGTAACAGCTCACTTTGCTGCATTTTAAACAGTATAAAAAACTATTTAGAAAAAATACAATGGCTATAATTATTATAATTTTCATGTTTTCAATTTGATTTATTAAATATGCACAAAAATTTTAATTCGACGAGCGTTTTCTTGGTTTCTTGTTTTTTGCTATTACTGCGGTTTAGACTCGGAACAATGTCCGCCTTAAGGACTCATTACATTTATTCAGCTCTATTTGCGTTTCGTATAAGATGTCCGAAGTATGTGAGATTAAATTTGCGGCACATGGTTTATATGTCCTCATTTTGAGTTGAGAGAAATATATATATATAAGGTGTCCACAGAAACATATATACTTTATACGAAAAGGCGATGAGAGCTTCGAGAAGCTCGTCATGGTTGGCCACAGAGAAGGCTCTAGAAACCGATAACCAACCCGATGGACAGATTAAATAGGACTCATTTATCGGCACGTTCCACATGATAGAGATGCGATGTGTACATAAGGCGATGGAGACGAATAGAGTAATCCAAATGTGGGTTACTCCATGATGACCACTATCCTCAGTCACGAGGGGCCGACTACAAAGAGAGAGACATTTGCGTTTCGCTGAACAATTTTGGTCACAATTATTGCAGGATTACTACTAGCTTCTGTCACGCATACAGCCAGTTCTGTTTCTATCAGCCGCGTACAGCGTTGTAAGATTCTGAAAAGGTGTCGTAGCGTGTTATCTCCGCTTAAGCGCTTCTATCTACTATTAAATACATTTGTCCCTTTACATATGTTTGCCGCGTAACTGAATACACTCTGAAAGCATAACGGAGGAGCAGTGGCGGAATAACCCTGTCGGTGACCCGGGGCGACATTAAATCGGTAACTACAACTGGTGCAGAAATTTGATTTTGTGTTTACACCGCCTCCCTTGCTAAGACGCCTGCATAAACTACGAAACTAAGAAAAATAAGGCACTTCTGATACGTGGGAGAGCCACGCTTCGGCATGTATGGGCGGCTCGATCGGAGTAATACCACGGCTCACAGAAAACCGACGTGAAGCAACGCTTGCGTTGTGCTTCGTCGTGTGAATGAGGGTACCGGAGGCCCAACTGTCCCTTCCCTCCCTATGATGGCGCAATTGAATAGAAGCAATTTATTACCCCAGGAATTTTATTTCCAACTGCACTAGCGTTGGGGATTCCCTCCCTGGACGTCCACTTCCAGGGTGCAATATACCTGGGCGTGGACGCCCGGGCCGGCCCTCGTATTCTGGGGGGGGGGGGGAATCGCGCTCATTTATGACCAGGGAAAGAATAAAGTCACGGCACCCCCCTCCACACTCACACATACAAACCTAAACGCTGTCCATCACCACCTGGAAACAGCAAAGCCGGCCTTACTCTTTTTGACCGAGACGCAGATATTGTCTCATGCGGACACTTCTTACCTGTCCTACCCGGGGTACGGACTGAAGCACACTTTCGCACCAAAGGCCGGTGTATGTGTGTACGTTAGAGACTTGTTCTCGGCGCCTTGGTCACCTTGAAAGTAGGGTCTATCCTATGGCTTCGTGTAGACGGCGACGACCGCCCCCGCGTCTATTCGTACCTCTATAGGTCCCATGACGGCAATGCCGAAACTGACCGACTCATCGAGCACGTCCAAATGGCTGCAAACTCTGTGCAGCAGCAGATCTCACTCGCAGAGATCGTGATACTGCGCGATTTTAACGCTCATCATATCGAATGGCTTGGTTCTTGGTCGTATCACCTCGTTTTCAAAACATTCCCCTAACTGCCTCAGCCAATATTAAGATTCTTGGTATCGACATATCGAGCGAGGTCCAGTTCCGTAGTCACTTAGAGGGTAAGGCTAAATTAGCATCTAACAAGCTTGGTGTGCTTAATAGATCGAGGCTGTATTACACTCCAGGACATCGCCTGCAGCTTTATAAGGCGCAAGTTCGGCCCCATATGGAGTTCTCATCTTTGGGTAGGGGCACCCCAATACCAGCTTCTCCCTCTAGACCGCATTCAGCGGAAAGCGACTCGAATCGTCGATTGCCGGGACACTTCAAGTCGGCTTGATCCACTGGCCCTGCGTAGAGATGTTACTTCACTGTGCATCTTCTATCGCATCTATTACGGGGAATGCTCCGAGGAATTGTTTGGACTCATACCTGCCGCTAACTTCAGCCGTGGTTCCACGCGACAAGAAATCCACGCCCATCATTTGGATGATTGGAAGTCCTCAACTGTGCGTTTTTCTAGAATTTTCCTGCCTCGCCCAGTCAAACTCTGGAACAGTTTGTCGCCAGCGGTATTTCCGGACCGATACGACCTTCAAACTTTCAAGCGTAGAGCATATTGGTCCCTCAAAGGCCGGCAGCGCGCTTGTAGCCCCTCTGTTGTTGCAGGTGTCCATGGGCGACGGTAATCACTTACCATCAGGTGATCCGTCTGCTCGTCTGCCCCTATTCCATAGAAAAAAAAACAAAAATATGATTTGATCAAGGGAACTTTCAGCCATTTGGAGGCCCCCCAGGATAGGAGGCCCGGGGCGAACCGCCCCCTCCGCCCCCCCTTAGTCCACCACTGCGAAGGAGCACGCATCTCCATATAAAATCGTTATTTTGTATGGACAGAAGCTGCCTAATGAATACCTAAATGGCGTTGTTCTTACGATATTACTGATATAAATCAATATCTATTTTATTTGCAATTTTGTAAGCTTGATTGCTGTTTCAATGCCAGTAGTGTAGGGAGGAATCCACATAATTTGTACGTAACGTAGTAATAATTACTTACTAACATTACATATCACTTATAAAGTAATAGTAGTTTATGCAACTGTCATATAAGAAGGGGTATTAAAACACGAGTGTCTGTTTATCGCATGAGGCGAAGCCGAATGCCATAATAGGTTGACACGAGTGTTTTAATACCTAAATTATATGCAGTTTCATACACTTCTTTATCTTCACCCATAGGCCAATTTGAAATTAAACACAGTAGGTAAACAAAGAAGGTAGGTTACAAGGAAGTAATTTATGCGTGCGTTTTTTTTTTCATGTTCAGCCTAAAATCATAGACTAGTTTAATGAATAAAAAAAGGTAGCGGTACTATAATGAGTTTTATGATACAGTTGGCGTGGCGGTACTATAATGAGTTTTACTTTTAATTTTATTTATTATATGCGTTTAGAAAGTGCGTATGCATAGACTCGTCTTTATATTCTTTATTCGAATTTTTCGATTAGATAGTAGATAAAATAACTTTCTTGTCTTACATCATTAAATCCACATCACAAATGGCCATATTCGTAACTGACGTAAATAACGCAGTTACATCAAAAATTTGATTGTTTTTATATAACTCAAACTTAATTCCAAAACAACTTACCACCAACTCTATTCCATATCATAATACTAATTTCATAAACCAATTGTGTCATCGTGATTCAATAGACTACAGCGACATCTGTTGAGCTTTTTAAAATAATGAAGTATATTAGAATATTGTGATATTACTACTTTAATGAATACCTTTCACCAAAGCCAATCCCTTTATGAGCCTTTTTGTAATATTAAAAAGTCAATAAAAATTTTACTTTTTGTATAGAGAAAATATTTTCTCTTGCCCCAATTACGATGAGAATATGTACGTATTGGTAGAATGAAAACTAATCATAGGTATATCGTTTACTTGAAAGCTCTATATAAGTAACCTGAAAAATGCGAAAACAAAATTAAAAGAAAAAACGAAATAGGACAAAAAATACTTTAGAAACCTTTTTATTGTAAAAATCATATCAATAGCACATAATAGATATGAAATGCCCGACTCTAGAATAGGTATGTAGATAGGGTGCCATAAGACATAACTATTATTGATTATTTAATTGTTAATGATATAGATATTTATAGTTACTGATGCTATCATCATCATCATCAACAGCCCTTTTACGTCCCCACTGCAGGGGCTCAGGCCTTCCTTATGGATGGTTAATGCAGATTGGAGGGTATTAACTGCAAATACAACCGGGACCAACTGCTTAACGTGCCTACCGAAGCACGGAGTAGCTCGAGATAATAATTTTTTGGTCACCCATCCCGTGACCGACCCTAGCGAAAGTTGCTTAACGACAACGATCGCGGGCCGCAGCGCTTATCGACTACGCCACCGAGCTACTGATGCTATGACTATTTACAAAGAAAAATTAAAAAACAAAATAATTTAAAAATACGAAAAAGGGAAAATTGCTTCTTATTACTTATTTGTGTGATTACACGTACTTAATTACTTAAAATTAGGTTCAAATTTACTTACTTCTTAATTACGTAAAACCAGCCTTAAGACGTCCCATTACGCATATCGTATCTTTACTAGTTATTAGTGAAACGCATTTTCACCTTAGGCCTAGATTAGTTCGGCTTTCAAGAACTTTATTGAAAAAAAAATTGCCAGTCTAATCGGACCATTAGACGACCAATTTGGTGTAAAATCAATCCTTGATCTTGATCAGATTGATGTCAGATTGAAATTGATAAGGTACATATTATCCAGAATATTTTGATTTTTGTCATCAATCCGTAACTTTGATCTGACCAGATTGTCGTCTTGTGATCTGATAGCGGGATAACGGATGTGATATCTTTACTAGTGATTAGTGAAACGCATTTTCACCAGCGCGGGTAGCATGACAAACTCGAGAAACGCTTTGTCTACACTCACTTGTCAGTTTGTCGGGTCAAGAGGCCGATATGGTATGGGCGCACCCGAGTAAAGTGACATTTGAGTGTAGACAAAACGTTCTCAAGTTCGTCATGCTACGCGCTACGCGTGCAAGTATAGTAAAAACGGGCATTGTATACGCTACTGCTACCGTTATTGTTTAAAAAGGTGTCGACTAGATATAAACGTTGTTGTCAGGTGCCGACATGCCCGTGGTGATCACCGTGTTGAACAGCTACTCGGGCTGGGCTCTGTGCGCGGAAGGATTCATGCTCAACAACTCACTCATGACCATCGTCGGCGCCCTCATTGGCAGCTCTGGTGCTATCCTCTCCTACATTATGTGCAAGGTGAAAAAAACTAGGAAATCTGTATTATACGCGTTTACGTGAATTACCTATCAATCCGCATTATGGACCATCTTGTATAATATCAATAATTTTGTCATACATCTGGCTTCTGAATTGAAAATTTAAATTTAAGCACGTCTCAAACTGTATTTAATTGTATGTATTTTTCTCAATTCAGAAAGCAGGCCGTCAGTCACTTGCTTCTTCTTTGAAATAGAAGATGAAAAATGTCAAAGCTTTACGCAGATCTACTAAATAATTGAGTTTTAAAAGTGCTGTTACATATTAGCCGTCATAATATAAGGTAATTTTGTCCAGGCAATGAATCGATCCTTACCTAATGTGATCCTCGGCGGGTACGGTGTAACCTCAAGCGGCTCCGCTAGACCCGCTGGAGCCACGCACACGGAACTAAACGTAGACTCTGTGGCGGATCTGATACATCGCGCCTCAAATATAATTATTACACCAGGTGAGTGTCATGTATAGCTACATAAAAAAATACACAGCTTAATTTTAGTATAGTTATCAGACGTTAGATTGTACAGAATATAGCAACGCCTTTTGTATATTTTTTTAATATATTATAAAGATGTTGCACGTTTATTAAATAACGGGTAGGAAAGGCAATATTATTAATTTCGAGTTGGACTGATCAATCTGTCTAATTTTCTTACAAAAGAGGAAGTTTATTTCTCAGAGGAATACCAGTATGAATTCACTTACTGAGAAACTATAACTTAAAAATAATTTTAAGCAAATAATATAGAATCATGACACGTTTAAATGATTTCTTAAGTAAATAGGATTTCTGTCGGAAAAGGTCTTCCAAATTTTTTTAAAAGGTTACCTAGTCCAGAACTATACTTTTCAATGGTTTTTCTTTTAATAATACTTACCAGAATTTAAATGTTTGTTTTATTATAATCAATGGTTCTTTGGTTTCCCCAGGTTACGGTCTGTGTGTAGCCAAAGCCCAATACCCAATAGCGGAACTCGTCGACATACTCAAGGCAGCCGGAAAGAAAGTACGCTTCGCGATCCATCCTGTTGCTGGTGAGTTATAATTGTTTCAGAGGCAAATTCGAGGTAGAAAAAAATATTAAGCAAATATTCTAACGAGCTCGATAGCGCAGTGTTTGGCGAGTTCGGCAAGCAATAATAAGCAACTTCAGTAATGGTCTGTAATGAGATTGGTGACCAAGAATTTGTTATCTCGAGCTCCTCCGGACGTCCAAAGGCTCGTTAAGCCGTTGGTCTTGGCTTCATTTGCAGTCCCTAACACCCACCAACCTGTAAAAGACCCGCGTGGTGGGTTATGGCCCGTTATCCTTACTGGATTCCATCTATAGGGAAGTTCTGTGCCCATACCATGGAGACCGCCGTAGTCACTATAGTGGTCTTTGAATTTAAAGTTTTCATTAATGTCGAAATTCGGTCGAATGAATATAGAAAATGATCTTTCTGTATTGATTCGGGTCTGACACTCGTATCATAGTAGAGAGAATTAATTACATACTTAAGAAAATATCATAACTTAAGCAAACATTTTTTACCAATAGACGAGAATTTGCATTATAATATTCTAACTAATAAATTCTGACTTCATTCAAATTCTAGTTTATTTGGTAAAAATATCTGCTTAAGTTATAACATATTCTCAAGTATCACATCTCTCGACTATAGATACGAGTGTGACTATTGTGTTATCTACATTGGTTAAAACATTCATTATTCAAGTGCTTTAAATACTTACGTAAAATCTTTGTTAATTAGTCTGCATAAACAAACTGGTGATTGAGTTAATGTAATAAGCCTTTATTCAATTCAAATTCAATATCATTTATTCAGTCTAAGCACTTCAAGCACTTGTGAAAATCGAAAGCTATGCCATCTATTAGTAAATCTACGGCGATGGACCAGCAACAAACTCAGCGAGGGCTGCTCTTTTCTCCCTGTTTTATTTCATACAGAGATGTCAAATTAATATTAAAAAGTGAAGTCACTTTTCATTACATAAAAGATTACAAAAGAGATAATAATACAGTATAAAGTCGATGTTGCCTGACGTATTATTAAAATATTTAAAGATTGTATTATTTTTGCAAGGTCGAATGCCTGGACAACTGAACGTGTTGCTCGCCGAAGCAGGAGTTCCATACGATGACGTTTTCGAAATGGAGGAAATCAACGACGAATTCCCTGAAACCGATCTCGTATTGGTTATTGGTAAGTTAATACACGTTTATTATCTAGAAAATTGACAATTACATCTCAAACATGTCGCAATATGTTTGGACACACTGAAATTAATATGTTTACCATAAATAAGTATTTCAATACATACTTGTTTCACACATTGATTTGGGTATGATCGCCCGCATGGTCCCTATGGAGCGGTTTAGTGGGATAAAAAGTAGCTCATATGTTAATCCACTCTCATAAGTATCCGTATACCAAATTTCATCAAAATCCGTCTAGTAGTGTTTTTCGTGATAGAGTAACAAACATACATCCATTCTCACAAACATTTGCATTTATAATATTAGTAGGACAATCGATATATTTATTTATAATCGATTACTCGTTTTACTATATACGATATGAAATTTGAAAGAATACTCATCTCTTGCCCATACCATCTTATCAGATTTTGTTGTCTCGAGCTCCTTCGTACTATATCCTCTCATACTCCGTAAATGTATACCATCGTATATACATATATAGATAACGTAGTAACACAGTGTCTATTGTAAAATCCTTGAATACTAACTATACCGCGCTTAATGATTCTAATGTTCCTAATTAGGTGCCAATGACACCGTGAACAGCGCAGCGGAAGATGACCCTAATTCTCCGATCGCTGGAATGCCCGTACTCAAAGTATGGAAATCAAATCAGGTCAGTTTGTTTTATATTAACATTATTATTTCTATGGACCATTATTCGTCGATCTAATCTCCGGCTTTATTTAGTCACTATTTAATAATAGAAAAAAATCTGAAAAATTATAACTGTTACTGCTTTGCCTTCTTGCTATACCGCAAGGTAGTATTTTAGGGCCTATCCTGTTTCCTATATAAATTTTATGAATGTCCTGTGCATATTCAATATACTAAATGATGAGGCCAACTCTTTTGTATATGATAACTAAAACTCTAATACTAATATATTTGACAAAGACAAAGAAAATAGTTTAAATTCATGCATAGTACCTAATATCTTCATTCGAAGATCCAATTAATAAAATAAAAACGAATTCTTTTTTAAATTTTATTTAAAGTCATTCTTTAGAATAATAAGTTTTCTACTTTTATCTTAGTTCGTTAAAGAAAACTCATCACAAGATAGAAATTATTTTTTTGTTTATGCCCTACAGAATTTTCACCAATATATTTTAATTTAACGTAGTTTTGTTGCTCATAACTATTAATGGACTTCGTTATCAATGCTAATTCGTTTATGATATTAAGAATCGTGGTCGCCGTTATCATTTTGTGTAATATTATGCTATCTGACCACGGATATCCGATGATAGCATTTTTTTTTTGTATATTAAAATTTATTCTATAATTCGGTAGGTGGTGGTAATGAAACGTTCCATGGGTGTTGGTTACGCTGCAGTCGACAACCCTATCTTCTACAATCCCAATACAGCCATGTTACTTGGAGATGCGAAGAAAACATGCGATGCCCTCCTAGAACGAGTCAAACATCTCGCCGCGTAAGATAAACACAAAAAGAACTCTCATTATAAGTGATCGGAATAGGTAGAGTTATTTCGGTTCGATAACCTCTAACGTACACGTTTATGTGGATGAACGACTATGGGATTCGAATTACAAAATGCAACGATATTTTTAATTAAACAAAATCGAAGTATATTTCAAAAGATATTAAAACATTTTCATTAAACATTATACATCTAATTCTATGACCGCTGGCATATCCATACTAAGACAGCATATCCTCAGTAGCGAAAATAGCTCTTACTTTTTCTGATCTATACTCGTAATTATGCTAACTAGCCATAAGTGTTCCTAAAATAAGTGAAAAACAAGTTTGCTAACGTATACGTATTTTACTTTAATAGTCTACAATATACACAAAATCTGAAAGCAATTGTAAAAACTAACCTTTTAAGACTGAGAGATATATCAGTACGAGTTATATAATCATTTTAGTCATTGTTTTATTGTTGAAAGATATGAAATTATACTAAAATGTATTTGCATATCTTATGGAAAATAACTATTATGCATGTAGGTGAGCTATTGTGTTCATTCTCGATAAGGTTAAATGTATTATTTACTAAAATAAATTTTAAAACATAAATATATATATATATACTATTTTCATATCGATTTATATACTAATTTTGATATTAGTATATTGTATTAAGATTAAATGGAGATTTTTATATAATTTATATTTTTACACTAGTATTATACATATACTTAATGAAATTTTGTATTGCTGTCTGTTGCATGATTATTCCTTATTAAAGTTTTGACCTCCATTGACATTCCATTTTCAGTATGTTGAATTCAATATATAATGTACATATTTTGGATCTGTGTGAAATTTAAATAATAATGAAGTTAAAAAATACAAGTGGATGTATTTTATAAAGACTACTTAAATATTTTATTCCATATTTAATTATACAATATTTAATTGGCTTATGATGTTTCTAATGCAAGTTACAGATTAAGGATATTTAATGCATAATTCCATATTTATTCAATATTTTTTTTTACATATAAGTAGTGGATTTCGCTAGGAAAAGTTATTCATAAGTATTAAATTTGAATAGCAAAAATGAAATAGTTTTGAGATTTGAATTCTTTTTTTTTTTGCCATATAATATGTGCTATTTGAGTAATTTTCTAACATTGGAATAATTAAGATATTAAAATGTATAATTTCAAAATAAACACGAAATTTCATAATAGACATTGTTTTTATTTACATTCTTTTCAGAACTCCAATTATATATTAAGTTTTTGTATAGCTCGATGATATTGCCATCGTATTTGCGACAACTGACTTTTCAAACTGTTCATTTTGTCTAAGAATTCAATTTCTTTTGCTTGAAAACATGTATCATTACTTTTTAAGTCTAACTTGTCAATTGCAATAATAACTTCGAGACGTAATTTTTCACATATGCCTTTATAAATATTCTTTACTGAAATCATATCTGTATTCGAATCCTCATAAATTTTCAAATTCATTATCAATTCGTCTAATTGCGATAATATTTTTGCAAAAGTTTGCACCATTACATTATGCCATCGTCGCAATTTTGAATCTGGTGATATGTCTCTATTTTTGCGTGGAGCAACATCCACCGGTACCAAGTTATGACTAGAACTAACTTTTGTATCTTCGCTTAATTTTGAACGGTTGCTGTAATGAATCCTGCTTCTTATTACCGGAGAAACAACTTCAAAGTTGGACAATTTTCTAGTTTCTAACTCATTCTGTTTATTTTTATTAAGCATGTTTAATAATTTAATAATCACCAATGATTATGATAACATTATACGATATGAACAAATTTTCTAAAACTACGATTTGCTAGAGATTTTTAATATCATATTTACGATTTCCAACTTGTTTTCAACATTACAATTTTGTAGAATGAATGACAATCAGAACCTTTGATATAAACAAAGATTAGACTATACAATTTTCTACAAATTATGGTCCAAGGTTGTTTTAAATTACTAAGGCTATGCCAATATTTGCCAATTAAAAATCATGTTATGAATATTAAACATACGATCGATCGACGTCAGAAACACTTAATCTAATTTTAATTCACTTAATCTAATAAAATCATATCTTTCTGCTAGAATTCAAAAAGTAGTAATTAATGAAGCGAAATCTGCAGGGGCACCAGTTACTATGGGCGTACCTCAGGGATCGGTATTAGGACCACTGCTTTTTCTAATTTATATTAATGATCTTCCTCAATTTACGAAGAATTTGTGCGAGAGAGTATTATTTGCAGATGACACCTCTTTACTGTTTAAAGTTGAGAGGGGTAATGATTGTTTTGACGATGTAAATAATGCTCTCGACAATGTTTTACAGTGGTTTGATAATAATAATTTAAAGCTCAATTCAAATAAAACGAAATGCATAAAGTTTGAATTACCTAATGTGAGGCATGTCAGTACACTTATAAATGTAAATAGTGAAAAAGTTGAGTTAGTAGAATCGACAAAGTTCCTTGGTATTACACTAGATTCCCGACTGTAATGGGATCCTCATATTGATAGCTTGTCAAGTAGACTGAGTTCTGCAGCTTTTGCTGTTAAGAAAATTAGACTCTTGCAAATGTTGAAACGGCAAGATTGGTATATTTTAGTTATTTTCATAGTGTAATGACGTATGGTATATTGTTGTGGGGTTCTGCGGCTAGCATTCAGGATATTTTTATTCTACAAAAGAGAGCTGTCCGTGCTATATATAATTTACGGTCTAGGGAAATCTCTCAGAGAAATATTTAAAGAAATAAATATTCTGGCTGTTGCCTCTCAATACATCTATGAGAATATTATGTACACAAGAAAACATTACGATTCCTTCACAAAAAAAAAGTAGTGTTCATAATCTTAACACAAGAAATACGCTAGTTTCAAAGCTTGTCTCGCCATTTATGAGTCCCCGTTCGATTCTCGGTTGGGTCAATTTAGAAAATGAACTTTTCTATATGCATTTTCTCGGGGCTGGATGTTGTAGTACCTTCGTTGTTTCAGATTGTCTAATGTGGATTGGTAGGGCACTAAGGTACAGGTATTTCTGATGAATGGTATGTTACCAGTCCGAAGCAGTATTCCGTACTGAACCTGTGTGATGGGCCCTATCTGAATTTATGGTGCTAGATCACAAATATTCGTGATGTATAGAACCGGCCCTCCCAACATTCCGCACAGAGCCCGCGTGTAGGTCCCAATGCGATTCGTGGTGAAAGATTAGCACAGGTATTCTTAATGAGCTAAACTAATCTAAACAGCAATTAGTACTGGGCTCACGTGTAGGTTCGCAATGCAGATTGGTAATGCCTAAACATATTTGATTTTGTAAACCAAAAAGCATTGAGAATAGAGTCTAAAAGCCACTGTAGAAAGACATTCCGATTTGGAAACCTGAAACCTGAATTACAGTGCCGTAGCGTAGTGGGGGCGGGGCGGGAAAATTCACAGTGAACAATAAAATATATTTTTTAAACATTTGAACCAATTCATATTATTAACGCAACTATAGATCCGGACCGAAAGGAATTTTTAATAATTATTCTGCGACGAATTGGAAGAATATTCTTTCTTTCTTCGCTTTTTAGGATACAAGTCCTGTGTTGCGAGGGACAAAGTGCACCCAAAAATTGAATTGCGACAATTAAACCACTCCACTCGCCGTGCAGTCAAAATCTAACCTGTATAATGTAATCATTATTATAGATCTTGCCTAAAAATTCTTTAAAATTAATGTATAAAAATACCTCTGAAATACGTAATTAAGAGGGGCAACAAATTGTCTTCCGCGGCAGACACCCACGCTATGCCACTGGTTCATTACAAAAAATATATAATTAGGCTTACGGAATTCTTGAGAATTAATTTATGACGACAACTAGCTAGACAAAAGCCAAAAGTAACCTAGAAGAAAAAATAAAAATCACACAATTTTTTTTTTTAAACAAACGCTCCATTATTTGAACTTGACTTACGTACGATCACTTATAAGAGGTTTCCTTCTTGCGACAGTAAAGAAAATACGGTACACATGTACAACCGTGAATGTAATTAATGTTTTGCTCAAAAATTTCAAGTATATGAGTAGTATAAAAACCGTAGTAAACGTAGATTTTGACAATCGTGTACATTTTATTTTGCAGCACTTCTATGATCATTTTTAAAGATCAAATATATTAAATCTTGATTCAAATTTCTATATAATAGTTTTTTGGTAAATTAAAAATGCTTATTTAATTTTTGCACAATCAACAGCACGTCACATGATGCAATCGTAAATTATAATTAGGTAAGTAGTAAAATGATATAACAAATAAAATATAGTGACACTCAATCAATATACAAAAAAATTTAATTAATAATGAAGAAATAATATGTTGGTTTAAATTTCCACGCTCATTAACAACAGAATGATTGCTAAAAACTGGATTGCTTCCATATACTTTATATTTTATGAGTTTCCGATATTTCGGCGTTGTTGCGCTAAACGCCATGATCACGGAGTAACTGAAGTTTATGCGGGTGAACGAACTTGAGAACGTCCGTGAATTTGGACACAGGAGTGAATTTGAATTCTGGTTCGGAATTTTATGAAATCGCTCCCCAGAGACGACAACGATTTTGCGGCTTCAGACTACTACCTGTGCTCCTTTCATGGCTTACTGCCTGCGCATACTCTCCTCCCTTCACATCATAGCAACTCTTGTCTGGACCACATCATGTTAAGATCCACATTCTCATCTAAAACACTAATGACTAATTCTTCCATCCAAATTGTAAATTACCTAATGTAATACGTAAACAATTTATTTGTAAAATAAACTTGGAGAAGATTTATGCAAACTTGACTTTGACCGATCTAAAAGCTAGGTCTAGTTCAAATAATTCCATAATACAAGTAATATAGGTATTAAAAAAGATATCGGAACTATTGCAATGATCTCCTTAAAAAAGTCAAAAATAGTTATGAAAAAAATAAATTTCCAATAGTTCAGAGTTTACCTACTTCCAATGTTGCCGAAACTTTCGGTAATTTCAACACTAATGTACATGCAAATATGTCTCTAATGTTTTATTGTAGGGCCACTCATCACGTAATAAGTGTTAAAATTAGATTAGTAGATATATACCTATTACTGACTAACTAGTCAATCTTTTATAGACTTAAACATCGTTTTTGTATACTTGTGCCTAACTACTTATGAAATCGGGCAGTGTGATTGATTATAAATAAAGTATAAAATTGAAAAAATAGTATGTGAGCATGATACGTGTATGAAACCATGACCTCTAACTCTTTAGATTAACGTCGAAAATAGTGTAACTTATAGAAATACTAGATGGATAAAGTATTTAGAAAATTATAGCCTAGTATTGTAATAATAATAATACTTTATTGTCACACCATTTTACAGTTACAATTTTAATATAAAATTTACAAATAAAATATAACACGATGATGTAGCAATTGGCGGTCTTATCGCTAACAGCGATTTCTACCAGACAACCTTTGGATGGAGAAGAATGAATAGCAGTTATGAAAAACGGAGGTGTAGAGTAAAAGTACGTAAATTCAAGAAAATAAGTAACATTTAGTAAAGATGCATTAATACTTATAAGATACATAAATTTTGAAAATATATACATAAATACAAATAATATATACTAATAATATACTTTAGTGAAACGAGGAAGGGTTTTAGCAACATAGAATTACAAAGAGAAATAATGATTTTTTACCAGTTCTTTGAAAATAGTGATTGATTGTGCCTGTCTTATGGAAGCCGGAAGAGCATTCCAAAGGCGAACAGCTTGGACGGTAAAGGAGCCATCATAAAAGGTAGTCTTATGGAGAGGAGTTTCAAGTTTCAGGTTTTCCGATGATCTCAAAGAATGTGTAGTGGAACAGTATAGAGGATTAAATCGTTCTTTCAAGTAGCGCGGGAAACGGGGATTAAACAGAATATTATACAGAAGAGATAACATGTGAGCATTCCGGCGAAGTCGAATAGGAAGCCACTTGAGCTGAGTACGAAATTGAGATATATGATCATATTTACGTAATCCAAATATAAATCTAATACAGAAGTTTTGAAGTCGCTCAAGTTTATTTAGTTGGTCTTCCGTAAGATCAAGGTAACAGGTATCAGCCTAGTCAAGTAAAGGAAGCAACAGAGATTGTGCTAAAGCAATTTTAGTGGTAGTCGGCAAAAAATTACGTAACCTCCTTAATGATGCAGCAGAAGCATACAGCTTCCGACTAACAGCTTGCAATTGTGATCCCCAGTTCAGACTCCGATCTATGATTATACCCAAGTTTTTAACAGTATCACTAAAAGGTATGTCAGTACCATCGAAATGAATTTTTGGTAGGAGGTGCCAGTCAAGTTTAGCGATCAGCCTAGAACTACCCACTATGATCGTGTTAGTCGTTGTTGGATTTATATAAGTCCAAAAGACTTACTCCATGCTACTATACGGTCTCAATCAATATTAGTGGTATGCACTGCCTCATTTAGCCGTGAAGGAGGGGCTTGACTGTAGATTTGTAGGTCGTCTGCATAAAGGTGGTAGGAAGAAGAAAGGTTCTTAGAAATGTTGTTAATGAAAATTGCGAAAAGAAGAGGGGATAGAACGCCACCTTGTGGGACTCCGGCAGTCGTGTCGCACCAAGAGGAAAACTTCTCGTCAATACGTACTCGTTGCCGGCGTCCGTACAGATAACTGTGAAACCACTCAGTTGCGGATGGAGATATGTTAATAGAGCGCAGAAGGGAAAGTAGGATGTCAAAATTTACAGTGTCAAACGCACAACTGAAGTCTAACAAAGTTAGTACGGTTAAAAGACCATTTTCCATCCCAAATCGGATATCATCGGTGATTTTAATCAATGCAGTTGTGGTACTGTGGCCCACACGAAATCCAGATTGAAAAGGGTTTAAGAGTTCATGACGAGAAAGGAAACAATTCAATTAGTTATGGATAAGACGCTCGAGAACTTTGGATAGAATAATTGTATCCCAAGATATCGCGATGTATAGTTGAGTCATTATAATAAGTCACATTTGACACTTCAAAAGAAAAATAGAACGTAACGTTGTACAAAGTCGACGTAATAATAAAGAAATTATTATAAAGTAATTTGATAAATAGATAGAATAATTAAAAGACAAAAACATTGTTCAATAGCACAAAACATTTTTTGAATTATTTTTATGCAAATTAAAAAAAATATAAATAAACCTTTAACGTTTCAAAAACAGTTAGGTCCTCGATTTTTTATTTAATAGTGTCGTGGCCAAGTTCATCACCTATTTTGCACACAGTTTATTCGTTTTTAGAACGAATCGGTTTTAAATACCATATTTGATATTAATAAACAGAAGAAAACGTTTTATGTAATAAATAAAGATACTATTTACCTGGTACCTTTTATCAAACTCGTGTTCAAGTTATTTTCCGCACACTTTAAAAATATTCACTAAAATATTGATAAAACTGTGTTTTTATTTATTAACGAATGAAAAAACTATTTATAGTCTTCACAAAATAAAAGGTCCCTTTTGGCACATGTCGCGCAGTATAGTAACACTGCCGTGTCTTGCGAAAATCAGTTATCTATAGATGAGTTACGTCCTACAGGTTTCAAATGCATTATTTTACTTCAAACTATATAAAACTAAAACAAATTTTCTTTTACTTTGCGTACTTTTTGAAATAGCATAGTTCCTTACTCATGCAACTAAAAAAAAATTGCGAGGCTCTTAACGCACATTTGAGTTGCAGATGCGCATTACTTCCGTCAAATAATGTATCTGCTACTAATAATGTAACTGATAGTTCGGTGCGTGCGCTTGCTTTCGTTTGTTTTTTACTGTATTTTATATGGGGTCACCACTTTACCATATTTTGGGTATTTATTTATTAATATATAGGGTGATTTTAAACTTATTGGTAAGTTGACCTTATGACTCTATTTATACGAAGGGTCGGTAAAATGAATAAACGTGTTCACAGGTATGAGTTTACTTTCAGACTTTTTTAATGTTGAATGACGACTAACAAATGCATTATTGTTTATATTACAAATGTCACAGATTACGTCGCACAAAGTGGACGACAAAGATTATTAAACAGATGTGCTACAGTCCTCCTCCGCTTAGACATATCATAGAAACTAATGGCAATAAAAAAATATATAAAAACAAACTGAACAACAAAAATAACATACAAAAACTACCCATAATGTTGTAAAAAAAATTAAACTATAATCGTACAAATGAAGAAACGCAGCTTACTACATATTGTTATCATTTTTCAGTACTAGCGTGGGGTCCACAGTGGCGTTTGCTACGATGACTTGCTATGGAAATCAATTTTTAGAATAAAGGTATGCTATAACTTAGGAATAAAGATATGCTATGCTATAAGTTACAAAATGATCCAATTGATTTTTTTTTAATAATTAAAGTATCTTAATATAAATATAATTAATCAATTTCATTTCTAGATAAACAAAATGGCTTATCTATCATGACTTTCGAAGTACGGAAAAGACAGAAAATTTTAACGCTGTAAGTATTCTGCCTTGTCGAAAAAGTGAATTTATTATACAAATCTATTACAGAGTAACCTCTACATTGCGGCATTTTTCCATTTCTTTTTGTAATATTATTACTATGTTTTTATAGGGGAAAGCAATAAATACGTAAGACAATAATCGTGATATGTAGTTTGCGAGTAATTAATTAAACCATTTTCGCATCACAATTCTCTTTACTAATCTATTTGCCGTGGGCAATAAGATAGATAAGTACAGTATTTTTTTGCAATCCTCGAGTCTGAAACAGTTGCGCAAAATGACTGTGTTTTTCAACAGTTCTGTTATTCTTATTACAATTTAGAGAGAAACGATAATTTAATAGTCAATCTCGTAAATAATATATTGATTTTAATTGATATTATTTTTTGCACAATACATCGATTAACAATTGCTTGAAAACCATATCGATTTGTTATATTAATCGAAAATTTTAAGCAGGAACTCAATAAAAAAATTAAATTGATAGATGTCAAATGTGACCTATTCTAATGACCACGAACTAATGAACTAACATAGTTTGTGCAAAAGCAAATAACACTATAACTACAATATTTAAATACATTGTCCTTTTATGTATGTTCCTATGTTGTTTTTTTTTTAGTAGAGAAAGAACAATCTCAAGGAAGAATTGATTAATTACCGTACATATTTAATTATAACTACCGTTCAGTCTCTTAAATCACGTGTCTCTCTCACTACGGGATGTTGGCAAAATTTCCGTGTATAACAAGTCCATATTGAAAAAAAAAAAAATAGTTTGTCCAACTGACAAAAATATACACTGTTTCTAAGTTTCTAAACGATGATTTTCTTTTTTAATTCTTTGAATTAGCTAAAAGTAAAAGAATCCCTGTATACCTGACTTATTTCTTAGAAATAGCTCCACATACTCATCTTTTCGGTTGGTTCCAACCGAAAAGACTAAAAGTCGCTGAGGATAGACCTTTATTTTCCTTCATTGCGTCACGCTCAGAATTTCATTAGCTTACCAATCGCTTACATGCGGTGTGCTCGGTTAGTCGTATTTGTGATGTGTTTTACAATTATTAGTTTATAATTATTACTGCACCCTGAATAAAAACACCAAGCATGGTATGTTTTCTAAAAAAAAATATTTTATTTTTTTAATAAACTACATACATATTACTGTTTTTTATATATTTAATTCTATGATACTATAAATAAAAGTGACAGTGCTTTTAAAGTTTAGATTACATGTTAGTAATTTACTATATTCAGTTTGTTTGCATTTTGATAAAAAGAGTGCAATTGAGTGTTGTCAAATTCTGTTTAGTTTCATCTTTACGCCTTAACAGCTCTGTAGAGGTGTCATGAAGTGATTTTTTGAATACGTTCTTGTAGCGAATTTCTTGTTATTTTTAAATACTACTAAAAATATTAATATTTTGTAGGCGACCAACAATAGAATGGTTGCACCCAGTAAAACAGCACTACCGCCAAGTAGTGATGATGAAGTCAATGTGTTATCCATAATCTACAAAATTGTCAAGAAGGTATGAATATCTCTATTGTATTTTGTATTACTATACAAGTATAATATAAAAGTCTTTAATTTATATTTTTATATTGCATACTAGTTTTCTTACTTAAAAAGTTAAACTTAAAAAATACAGTTTTAAATCTTTTTATATACCATCCCTCCAACACCATAACAGTAATAATAATAAAAAACCTATATATATTTTAACTCTTTTTTTTTTCTTCTTACACAGTAAGTTAACCTTGTTGTAGCAAAGCCACTTGAGTCATAGAATAGTTATTTGACCTTCATATTACTTCTCATAGATCTGGTTTTAAAAATTTGTAAACATTTGTTTATGATTGTGTTAATTACATTTAATTAATAATGACATAGATTCCAAGTCTGTATTTCAATAATCAAAAATAACATTCATTGCATGTATCTACTTTTAGTGGTTTTTAATAATTTACCTATTAGTGTTTGAATAAGGTTAAATATAAATATGTCAACATTATGTTAAATTAGTATGTTATTAGTTTTAAATACAAACTGCTTGATTGATTTTACTGATAACACTGATTTACATTAAATTTTGCATATGAATTGTGTGGAAATAAAACTTTAGACAATCATGACATCATTCAGGATGTATTCCAACTAGAAACAAAATTATGTCTGCTTGATAATATTTTAGTGCAATATTAATGAATGCTTATTGCCTTGTAAACAAGGTTCAAACTGTTTCACTCTATTGGTGGTGTATTAGCAATTCAATTTATTTTATGATTATCAATAATAGTTTTAAATCAAAATTATATTAAAATTAAATTTGTAATTTGTAACGCTACTTTATTTCATATGATAGTATTTCTGTGTTATAAGTATAAACACTAAATATTAATATAAAAAACTATTTCGATGTATAGAACGGAAGAAATTCATATCCATTGTTTTCTTTCAATTGAATACTATCACTGGATGACTGCCATAAGTGACTACCAACATGTACTCACCGCAACACAATGCAGTTACCTATTTGAATTTCATATATAAAGTAATGAATAATGCAAATTGTGCAAAATGTTTACGCTCAGTATACACTTTTAACAGTTAGGTATCTAAGTTGTGAGAAATTAGCTACTTAGTAATTCAATACATAGCAATGTTTTGTATGCATTAATCAAATAACACATGTAATATTTTATAATAATTCACATGAATGAATTCACTGACAAAGATTATTATTTAATAATGTCCATAGTTCAAAATTTTAAAGAAATAAAATTTGAAATTCTGTTGTTCTGTTTTACTAATTTTATTAATTGATTTACACACAATCTAAATTATTTTTATTTAGGTAGCAGTTGTTGGAGCAGTATACCTGGTGGGTTATATGCAATGGAGCGTGGCATGGCTAATAGGGCCTGTCATCCTCTCTGTTATGAGGGATCAGTGGCGTAAAGAGAATGAGTATAAGCGAAACTTGGCAAAAGCAGCAGCAGTATCATCTGAAAAAGATGTTGTTTTAGCTCGTTTGAGTGATCTGCCATCATGGGTAAGAGACATCATTATTGGATGAAATCATATGTTATATTCTCTACTTTAAAAAAAATCTTGTAAATGTCATTAGTTTTCATTACTGAATTTTTTATTGTTATTATTGTCATCATCATCACCGAAATCTAATAAATATAACAGTCTCATACGTATTCTTCTCACAATGTATTAATCTGCCTAAAGGAAAACACATAATCTGACAGTTTATGGAGATAATCATACACTAACTATAAATGGATACCTATGAAAGCTGAGCTGTAATGTTCTGTTCTGTTTTAATCCATTTAGGACTCATAAAGATTAAGTACGCATCAACACTATTTTAAGCAAAGATGACTCATTTCTGACTTTTGAATGAATTGTTTGTTATAACCTATATTTTATGAAGCAGGAAGAGCAAGACCAGCAAAAATAAAAGATAATTAACTAGTTGTTTCCCTAATCTTCTGAAGCATATCAAATTTCATAATTTACTGTGAAATTCCTACTTAATAAGCACATGCTGTGTATCGACATTTTAATATAAATAAATGCACTAAAATGTATTACTACTATAATGTAAGGTTAAGCATAGTTGAAGTACAATTGTTACTTCTTTGGTCGACGGTACCAGATGATGTTTCTATGCCGTCATTTAGTAATACAACTCAACGAAAACGTCTAGTATTTACAAAAAAACTGGTTTCAAATAATTAATATCGAATTGATTTATAATAAACAAAACATTTATGCATTCCAAATGCTATGCTGAAAAATTCTTGAAAAATCCACTTTGTCCCTGGCACTCCCCGCCGCCCGGATTGTAAAAGGTCATGAGTTCTAGTCCCATCTCATGAGTGCAAGGGATTTTAAGCATTTTTCATATACCAAAACAACTATTTTAATATTCAGAATATATGCACATTGATTCAAAGTGAAGTTGATATGTAGGTACACATTAAATTTAGACCACTTGAACGTTATCTTTGTAGTGGCATACAATATCAATTTAGCTTTTAGCAGGGCTTGCAAATGGTTCGAAAAATACCGGATTATTAATTATTAAAGATTATCAACCAGATTTTTTGAAATGCTCATATGAAGCGCAATCGTTTCACGCATTATAACCACTGATTAACCTAACCTGAATCGAGTGATTGCTTTTCATTTAAAAAAATAGCGCGAGAGTGAAATGAACAGATGAGACAGAAACGTTATCAATATCTAAATTTTGGGGTCAATCATGTTTTTGTCATCTTTCTTTCAGCAGAGCTATTCGGTAAAAATCCGAATACGAATTTACTCACGTATCCGAATTCATGTTATTTAGACAAATCCTGTTGATACCATTTTTTGTATTAAAGCACAAATCCAAATTGATTAAATTATACCCGTCTCAGTTATTCTATTTCTATGTCATTTCGAAACTCACTTCACTTATGCCACGAAACGTTATTACCAATTCGAGATTAAGCGGATGCTGCTTTCTGTATAAGAGAGTATTTTTAAAGAATCGCAGGGCAGAACTGAAATTTCGAGTATGATTAATCGAAAACCAAATAGTTGCACTTTCAAAAAAACTGGTATAGAGTTTTTGTAAGCTGGTTAATGATATTTACTGAGTTTACGAACCCTGTAGTTTTACTATCGCTATCAAATCTGAAAGCTTCTCATGTTCCTAATAATGGCAAACTGATGTGAAATGAAATGAAATGAAAATATCTTTATTCAAGTAGGCTATTACAAGCACTTTTGAATCGTCCAAAAAACTTTTTTTCCCCTACCACTTGTTCAGGACGTCTTTTAGCTGACAAGAAGAACAAGCGAAAGAAACTTATCAGCTTTTTATCATAAGTAATGACATTTACATAAATCATGTCATTACCAAAATAATATGTATTATTAATTTATCACAATAGTAAATACAACTTTCAAAGTCTGTAGGACATAAGTTGAACATATAATTAGTCTTTATAGAACAAAGCGAAGGCTATTAATTCCATGCATTGCGATCCTTAAAATAATCATCAACTTTATAATAGCCTTTACTCACAAGTACATTCTTTACATGAATTTGAAATTTATTAATGGGTAGGTCAAGATGTATTGGTAGAAGAAAAACATCTTGGTTAAGAAACTTCAGAGTAGATGAGGAAGCAGCGACAAACAAGTTTTTTGCTTGGTACAAGACTACCGGCACTAGTTATCGTATATAAATATTATATGTCATAAGCAACTCAATAGAATCTAATATTCGTGCTTATTTACAGGTATTTTTCCCGGATGTTGAACGGGCAGAATGGCTAAATAGGGTAAGATATATATTTTAATTAATGAAGGTTGAATATTAATTCTTATAATAACAAGCTCACACAAAAAAAGATAATTATAAATAAAAGTATACAGTCAGCACGTCAGGTTAACTTAAACTGTTTTTTAAATCAATTTTAAATACTAACAGCTTATTCAAATGAATTGTTGATTGGATAATATAATCATTATAGTTGCCGACTAAAAACAATATTCAAGGTCAAAGGTCACATTATATAACTCTTGTTATAAGACGTAATTTGGGTTAAAAAAATGACTAAACCGATCGTGACCATTTTCATTGGTTCGGTTATCCATTAAAAAATGGGCCCATAGAAATCAGGCATACTCTGTAGGTCCTATAGAGAAATGTAAATGAGCCATAAAGCGATAATAATTAAATTAAACATCGCTAATGAAATGCTGCTAATGTGTATGTATAAACAATGATTCTTTATATCCGCACGTAGCACAATGATATGAGCGTATTTTGTTTTCAGATACTACTGCAAGTGTGGCCCAATGTCAACCATTACGGTAGAAGTCTATTGAAAGACACCATCGAGCCGGCCGTCGCTGAATCTCTTTCCAATTACAAACTGAACGGATTCAAATTCGAAAGAATGATCCTTGGAACTATCGTAAGTACTGACACATCCTCTTACGTAGACGCATAGTACGTAAATTACGTACGACACGTCGGTACTGTAGTTGTTTTTGTTTTTACATACTTTTATTACCTGACTTGCTGTTATACCGCGACTTCGCACGCGTAAAGTATAGCCTATGTCAACCCCGTATGATGTAGCTACCCATAGGTGAAAGAATTTTGAAATAGGTCCACTAGTTTCGGAGCCTATTCAATGCAAAAAAAAACCGTTAACAAAATTAATGTCACTATTGATAGATTGATCATCTATTTTTATGAAATTTGACATACAGGGGCAATAAGTCGATCTAAGCCAATTAAAATTATAGAAAACAAAAAAATACTGAGCGGCGCTCGGTCATCCAGGTACTTCATTCATAATGTCTCATTTTTTTCACACTACCCGTGCGAATTCAGCACAGGCAATTGGTAATAATTGAATATTACATAATATCACATACAATGTTCAGATGCCAAATAATTAAAAAACCAAATAAATAGAAAAAAAACTTGCACTATAGAAATTTCAATCAGCATAGGTATCAAAATACACAGATACGAGACCGGGAATCATACCCGACCTCCAGAAATAGCAACTCCTTTAAACGGGTCCGCGAACCCCTCTGCCACGTTAATATAATATTAATAAACTTTTGCATAACATAAAAAACACAATTATAGCTGAGAATATGGCGGCATTATCGCTTAAAAGCGATCTCTTCCAGGCAATATGGAAATTAGAACAATTCGGGCAGTGCATTTGAGCAAAAGGTATAATGTCTATTGAATTGTATAACTAAGGGAGTAGCTCTGCAATTATATTTAATTTAATGGGTGTTTAAAACACTTGTGATGTAATGTACCTAATTGTTAACATTTTGAATATAATCCAAGCGTTTGTACACTTGCAGGCACCTCGCGTGGGTGGTGTCAAAGTGTATGATAAGAACCTCGCGAGGAACGAAATCATTATGGACGTAGATCTATTGTGAGTATTAACAAATATTAAGCACCAACATTTAATTGGGTAATGATAATGAATAAAGGAGTTTCAATATGAAATAATTATTTTAATATAAAATTTTGGGTAATATGATGCGCTATACTTTGTGGAGTTACAATCTTTCACAAATTGTCTTGAATATATTTCAACAATTCATATTAATTGTTGCAGCTACGCCGGCGACTGTGATATATCTTTCGTCTTGCAGCGCATTCGAGGAGGCATCAAAGATTTACAGGTAAGCTTTTAATGTCACGCCTCACACTGAGCACGTAAACTGAAGATAGTTTTTAAATTTCCTCTAAAACAATTATATTCTTATTTTATGTTTAAAATTGATAAATAAATGCGGTTCTTTATGATCGACGCCTGATATGATTTTATGATAATTATGACATTTCAGAGTGATTAATTAAAAATAATTTTCATTATCATGTCTCTATGACTGGCGTATTTATTCCCTTTATCTTTATGCGAATATATAGTGGCCCCTATAAAAAAATAAATTTTACCATTTTACTAATATTTTAAAATGGTAAAAGTTATTTTTTTGTAGGGGATAATCCTCGAAAATACTGTCCTATCATGAAAATTGGGGAAGCTTAATTATACGCGGATGTTGGTTGTAATTTACACGAGCGAAGTTGTGAGAAAACAGCCCATTATAAACGTATTTAGGTGCACTCGCAGAGAATGTACGAAAGAATAATTATCACTGGTACAGGCCTGTGCCGGAACTGTGCTGGAACTGATACGTTAATTATAACTGTGAATCAAGCTTTATCAGCTTCGAATGTAACAGATTCACGGTATGGTGCGCGTGGTGATGAAACCCCTGATCACCAAGATGCCGCTGGTGGGCGGACTACAGGTGTTCTTCCTCAATAATCCATCCATCGACTTCAATTTAGTCGGAGTCGCCGACGTACTCGACATGCCTGGTTTCAGGTACGCGGCTTGATTAATAAGTATTTATTCAATAAATCATATTAGGCACTAGTTGCCGCCAACGACTTCGTCCGCGTTTTCCATTATTTCTTCGCTCTTAATAGTTGCAGCGTGATGTTATATAGCCTAAAGCCTTCCTCGATAAATGGTCTATTCAACACAAAAATATTTTTTCAATTCGAACCAGTAGTTCCTGAGATTAGCGCGTTCAAACAAACAAACTATTTAGCTTTATAATATTCGTATAGATTAATTACTTAACGATTAGTAAGTAAAAAATACAAAAGTTAAGATGGAAGAGAATTTTGAGTTGCTGTATAGTTGTAGTCAACGTTGAGCAAAGTCATAAATAGATGACCCTCTTATTCGCATTGGGCCATGGCCCATCCGTAAGGTCCTGAGCCCCTGCAGTGGGGACGTAAAGGGGACGATGATGATAAACATATGTACTAACATGTCGGAGCCAAGTTTTACATGTTAATACATAATCTGTTTGTATTAACAATGCGGTCATCGGGACGTTCAATATACGGTAACGCCCACTTATCGTATGGATCATTCCATGTGAAGCGGACAGGGGAAAAAACTCTCAGTAATATTTGAGTATGTTACAGATCTTCGCCACTGTTCGGCTACGGTCGTATTTCCCGAGCGTCGGGAGACGATATCTATATAGAGTGGAAAATACATTTATTTCTTGCATAATTTAGTAGAATTATGGAATTTATGGGAAAAGAGATAAATATTGATTTATCCGTAACGATATGTGATTCGATAATTCCATGTATGTAAATAGCGAGGAAAGCCACATAATTACGGATATTATGTTACAAACTTAGTCGGATTGATTTGCTTTGAAAATTTTATATTACTTTTCAAGTGTCTTACTGAAGCTGCTTTAACGATGGAAGAAAAGAAGGTTTAGATGAAAAGAAGAAAAATTTAATCAGAATCGGGGAGATTCTCTATTCCTGACATCGTAGAGTCGTCGGAACTTTCATTATGGTCTTCATTGTCACTTTCCCCACTATCACCTGTGTAAATAATCATTTCATCAGAAAAACTGTCCATTCTTGTGTCATATTTCCTATACTCATCTTCGCATTTGATGGCATGATCCCGAACTTTTTTTCCATTCTTCCTGTCCTATATTGTTGATTTTTTCTAATATAGCATCTTTAACTGACGTGACATTCATTGCAAAGTTTTTTTTGGCAATGTGTTGTTTTATTTGGGCCCAAATGTTTTCTATAGGGTTAAAATCAGGATGATATGGTGGCAATCTTACAATTTTATGTCCATGTTCCTCCATTATACGGTCAATGGCAAATTCTGTGAACTTTTCTTTGTGTCTTTGTATAATTTCATACAATTCGGGTTTCAGTTGATTTGGATCATGCGGAATATTGTGTTGTTGTATCCACGCTATCATTTGTGGTTTCGGTGTATTTGAGTTTGGTGGTTTCACAGACAGCTTATTATGATACGGGGCGTTATCAATTACCAACACACTATGGAGGCAAATTGGGAATCAATTGATTGCGTAGCCAAGTTTGATAACGTTCCGCGTTTATTTCTTTATGATAGTCACCTTCTGAGTCGACACATTTATGTAACATTAGAGCCCCTGGTACGAAACCTTTTTCATTGCCTGCATGTACAATTATAATTCGCTCTCCTTTGGAAATAGGTTGTTTAATACCTTTTTTGCTGCTATCTTGCCAAGTTTTACCTTTAGTATGCGATGTATGCACATATGACTCATCCATAAACACTATGTTTCTACCAGCATCCCTCAGCTGTTGTATTTCTCTTATATATTTGATCCTTTTTAAACGTATATCTGGCTTTTCCATAAGTAACCGTCTGTTGGTATCCGTTTTCAAAAACCTAAACCCCATGTCTTTCAAGATGAGCCTTAAAGTCTCTGCACAGCCATTGAAATTAATAGCTTCGATTAACTTTCTTCTCAAATTATTTACAGTTGGGAGTTCTTTTTTAATTTCTATCATATTTCTAATAACACAATAGTCGAAATCATCAAGTCGCAGCCGAAACCTACTTTTAGGTTTTCCTTTTTTAGGTGTAGAAAATTTCATTGATTGATTTCGTTTTTTTTCGTTCAAGATATTAGTCAAAGTTCGCCGTGAAACTCCTGTAGCTTTTGTAACACGGTCCTGAATTTTATTAAAATAACCATCATGGTCTCTTTTGAAGACATTGGCTTCATTTAAGAAATAAAGGTACACATTAAATACCATTTGCCGTGCTTGTGACTTAAGCGGCTGTCCACGTTTAAATTTATCCATTCTTGAAGAATTCGATCTGAAAGAAGATGAAATGGGCGGAGTTAGGTATATTTTTATTTAATTGTTGCGTTATGCATGTATATATGTAAATAAATAACTGACATCATCCATAGACACTCACGGGTTATGTTTATGCAGCCAACATAATTAAAAACACGTTACATCACGTTAGTTATAATTTTTAAGTAGGTTATTTGTAAATATAATGATTGTTAGTTTTTTCTTCTTTTTCTTAGCAGTTTTGTATACAACTAGCGACCCGCCCCAGCTTCGCACGGTGCATGTTATATACATATCTACCTCCCTCTTAAATCACTCTATCTATTAAAAAAACCGCATCAAAATCCGTTGTGTAGTTTTAAAGATTTAAGCATACATAGGGACAGACAGCGACTTTGTTTTATACTATGTAGTGATGTGGTAACTTTAATTGGTTATATGTACATTAGTAATTGTAGTTATAGTAACATGTAATATAATAACTGTTGTTATCCTTAATATAATAAAATAAAAATAAACTTACCAAGAAGCTCTATATAATTCCACATGGAGACAACACGTGCAGTCAGCGCCAATAGTTAAACACGACTGACTAATCTGTGCGACTCACCGGCGACCGCGAATTGTATTCGATTGAGTACACATGATATTGACTCCTATTTCTTTCGAACAAGGTGCATAATGCAAGTGCATTGTTTAGGGTTCTTACGATTCAATGATTCGGGCATTTTCGGGAATACGGCTACTGGCGAAGATCTGTATGCGCATTATTAAGTTTGGAGTACTGTACCTATACGTGTCCTTGGAGTGTATGGTAAATATTTTTGTAATATAGTGTCTAATTAGAGAGTTAAGGGATTTAGAAATTTTGACCAACCAATGAGCATACATTACTAATTATTAGTAAAAATTCATTCGTTCCAATTTAAATATAATATTATATCAAACTACTTAATTAAATATATATATATGATTTGAAATGATATATATATATATATATTCTGGCGTTAATTGTTCATTGATATGACTGATTGTGTTGACAGCGACATTTTGCGGCGTTGCATCGTGGAACAAGTGGCTAAATTGATGGTGTTACCCAACAAGCTGCCTATAAAACTGAGCGACGAAATACCTACTGTGGATCTGCGAATGCCTGAACCAGAGGTAATATTTTCGTCATTAGTTTGTTTAATATGCGGGTGGTATTGGAGGGAATCGCAAGACCATATTGAGTCCGATTATTTGATGCTTTTTAATAATACGGTCGTAAAGAGGAAAGTGTGATTTCAATTCGGCGAGGGAACGACAATAAGTCCCTTGGACTTTTCTGCATTCTTACGATTGACTCATCGAACACCATCGTTTTACGGAAAACAGAAAAATAATTAATATTACGGAAGGCTATATAAGCTAAAGTCCCTTTGCCTTCAATGGACTTACTTTTACTCATAACGTCCTCGCTGCTGAGAGGCGGGCCTTCTCCGTGGTTAAATACACAGATCCCACTACCGCGCTCAATGCGGCTCAACCAACCGCTTTTAACACCTTTCAAAATACAAAACCATTTTTCACACCAATCCAATGACTTGAATTTCAGCAATCGCAAAATGAATGAATTCGAAGCGGTTGACATACATCTGTCAAGTCAATTATTTAAACATATTATTGTTAATGAAATAATAGCGTATTGAAGTAAAAAAACAACTGTGACGTCATAAACGTCGTACGAATCTCTTGTTACTGTGAAAGTCTATAAATCCAGAATTAATAAAAGATATTTACTTAACGATCTGTTTGCTTCAGGGCGTCCTTCGTATCCATCTCGTTAAAGCCGAGAATCTCATGAAGAAAGATGTGTCAATGATAGGTAAGTTTTATATCATAATTTTTCATCCCCTCTATTTAGAATTAACGCAAAGTTTTTCTTGCGAAAGTATATTTAAAAAAATAAAATAAAAAACAAACATGATTAATAATATGCTCAGAAAAGTTTGTAAACCAAAGGTGATCTGAAAACTGAAACAATCCAAATTCATAGATTAAAACGTTAATAATATTGTGTGATTTTAGCTGTCAAAAGTTTTTTATTCTTCATTTTTTTTTCTCATTTCTTTTCTCATTCTCATTTTTTTCATCATTTTTTTTTTTTCATTTATTTTGGCATCAAACAGTCATGTAAAATAACAATAATTTCACAAACAGTAATGACTACATGATATAAACGTGGGGCAGATTGCTAGTAGTTTCACAGTCTGTATGCCACGCTTTGTAAATTTAATTATTTATTGACAATAATTAAACGGGGTGGGATCCCAATAACTTTTCTTTTAGTCTTTCTCTAGATTTCATGATAAAACTACTTTAAGTGAAATTTCACTGTCATGAAAATCGTGTCTGTCTCTCGGACTATTCAATTCATAAAATATGAAAATTTGTGAACATGAATCAATATGTATGTATTGTACAGGAAAGGGTAAGTCTGATCCTTACGCGATCATAACTGTCGGCGCGCAGCAATGGAAGACGAAACATATCGATAACGACGTTAATCCGAAGTGGGATTACTGGTGCGAGGTGAGAACTAGACGCATCTGTCTCTTTTCAACTTTTTATAAATATCTCTATTTATTAATGTTTTGTTTCACGTGACGTTTTTTCTATCGCCGCTGCCGTTTAATTCCAATATTACAATGCAGAGTAGTGAGCACCTTAACTACAATAAACTACTTTTGGGAAATTATGTTGATTAATCTGTTTCTTAATAATATAAATAGGTAAGTTTGTCAATAACATTGTTTAGTTTTAGCTCATTTCTGATTTTTGTATCACCGTTTTTGTATTTGAACTGCGAATCATTTCATTGCCTCAATTGAAAAAGCTCGATATGACGAGAAATGCTATCAAATCTTCATGTTTATGAAATATTTAAAACAGTAAATAATAAAAACAAGATGGCTTTAATTTTTTATATTAACAGAGTTTGAATTATTTATTGTTTTAATTAAAACAACATCAGGAATGAGCATGGTAATTTTAACTTAATATCACAATAGGGATGACGACATATTTTAATGTAAAAATATACACAGGTTAGACAAGGATAGAAAATAATATGACGTAATTAGCGACGGAGGTACCTTCTCCTTAAGTACTTCTTTGCCAATTTTGAAAACCAATTGGTGTTAAACATTTTCTTCCAAATCGTCATCGCTATTATCCATAGACCGATTGCACTTATAAGATGTAATAATAAAATTATGCTAACAGTTTGTTTGGGAGAATCCGGCGCTTCCTAACTTTGTCTTGGCGTTCAAAGAATATTTATTGATGGATATGACATCATTTGAATTTCAATGTAATGCAATAAATTAACGTTTAATGATTTACTCTTCAAAGACAGTTTACATCATTATTGTACTAATATGTGAACATTAATTATGATGGCGATTGGTCTGTATTTTTTTTTTTATATTTTGGCCTGTTATTGATTTGGAGGAGTTGGAAAAATCTAAGGTCTGGAGAAAGTTTTGTAATTGAATATTAATTTAAAAATATGCGATGTTTTTTTTAATAATATTTATTCCGGATATAATCTCTCACTGTTTAAAAAAAAAAACTTTCTTCTCGATCTGGAACTGAAATATAAATACTGTTTTTAATTACCTTTCGGTTCGGCTTACTATCTAATCTTTGTGCTTTACTAGCCAATTTTATTTGCGGTTTCCTTTTTTCCAAATTTACATTTTTAACATTAAAATAAGTAGTTGTGAAAAAAAGATTTTGTTTTCCCTTAATGTATGTTTGCGTCGGAATGCGTTGGGCATAAAGGCGCGCGTTATGCAAGCGTTGGGGCAAACGTTGGATATAGAGGTGTACGACAAAGACGACGGCAACAATGATGACAAACTCGGCAGGTGAGTGCACTGCAAGCAGATACACTCACACATACGCAGTCACACTAGACCGAAACGAACACATATCGTAACATTGATCGTAAGCCAATATTTACAATTGGCTAATTAATAGAACAATAAATAATGTAATATGGAAAACAATAAAAATGGCAACTTATAACTATGTAGTATTTTTTGTATTAAAATAATTTGTGAGTATATGTTGAGAGTGCAACCAGTACTCGTGTTTATTGAAATGTGACGTCACACGTCGAAATCGACTAAAATAAAAGTGATCTATTTAGAGAAGACTTATTTTTTTAACTTTACGTCAGAAGAGTGTTCGTTTCGACTAGTTTTACTGAGTACTCTTTTAGTGGGAGGTGAGAACGGGACAGAAGGGGGAGCACATTGGAGTGGGGTGCACGTGTATTGGTGGTAGAGCTTCGCGTATTCTAGTTGTATAAACAATAACAGGGACGGGACAACAGTGAATTAAAGTAAAATAAATATTGCTTTAACTTGTTAGAGTAGTTTCACGTAATATTTTTGATTCTCTGTTGTTCCAACTTTGTGCTGCATGATATCGTAAGTGGAACTATGTAATTATAAATGAATTAAAGAAAATCGTGTTATTTAATATTTTAAAACATAATTACATCGTTGCCACTAGTTCGATATTTAGCCTTTATAAGAAGAAGATGCAAGTATCTGTACGTATAAAAGATGTAAAACATTACAATAAAAATACGTCCTTGTACTGCATCTTTACACTTTCGCTTGCTATTGTATTCATGGTAACCATTGTTATCAATGCTATATAATCATGGCTTCTATATTTCTGTTTTGATAAAAGGTAAGTTATACAGTTTCAGATTCAATATACATACTTCTTTACTTTAGGATTCTATGATTACATTGTATATAATGTGAACAATATAATTTTAAATTGCAATATTATATTCTGGCAACATTGAATCAGCAGCATGTCCATTATGGCATGCGTTTGCACATTATGGGTAGGGACAGGTGTAAGAGTCATCAATCCATATCACATCGGGTTTTTCGTCCGTGGAAATCCAAAAACTATTTACTTATCGATATCTAATATCTCGATATGATTTGTCCCAAGGCGATTATAAACTCGTGGAAGGGCCAAATGCTGGAGTGCGAGCTGTGGGACTGGGACCCAGGCATGGGCATTCAGAACGATGACTTTCTTGGCAGGTCCGTTACGGCGCTATATCACGATAGTGAAACTTCATTCCCGTGTTTAATTTTTTTTTTTTTTAATTATTGAAATAGTTTTTATTTGTAAAGAGTCTATATTGATAACCTAGTAACAAAATAATGTGTCTAGCGATAATCTTTAGTGACAATAAAAATTATTTCATTACTATTTATCTAATTGTTTTATGTATTTTTATTATAATTTTGTTCACATCTAATAGTCAGTGTGGTGTTTTAATTAATTTTATTCTAATATGTCCATTGTTTACGAGAAGTGGGTCGATAACATCGAATACAATAGCGTGTACTTATATGTATGTATATAGTATGTACATTTTTTATATAGATAAAGCTACATTAATGTACAACACACCCGTGATTTGGTGTTAGGTATGGATGGCGAACCTTTAAGTATCAATGTGTCATTTTTCTTAAGAAATGTTGATTGAGTTCACAGACGTAACGTCTAATAATTTTACTTCCAAATAAACAAAAAAAAAATATCTTTATCGTTTCCAACTTCACATTTTTTTCGAAGTGCATGATGAATTTTGTGATCAGGGATATGCCTAAAATATTGTGTTGTGTGTCATTGGTTTGCCGTCCCTGGTGTAAGGGACCACGTTGAGGTGTTCTACAGCAGTTTATGTATTATAATACGGTCGGTTGTGACAGTCGATACTGCAAAGCAGTGCCCAGAGCGCGGTGGTGAAGCTTTACGACTGGGACCGTGCGGGCAGGGATGAACGGCTCGGCAGGTCGGTGGACCGCGGTCTATACTGCATAAACGATGCATCCGGCAACTTTCCGTAGACAAAATGGCGCCGTTAGTTTATCCTCATTGTAATTACGATCACAAACGTTGTCATAATGTTTCTGATTAATTGAATATCGTACAAAACACACCCACTATAAATATATTGTACATATGTATATACATATTTTGCATTTTATCTGGATTTTTCGCTACGGATGCGCTTTATTCACTTAGATATTATGTAAGAATTTCTAGCAGTAACTAAATAGGAGAAAGTTGATTTTAAAATGCCTATAGCAAAAAGGTTTTCATTTTGTAATTTTAATATACATGTAATATAAAAAAAATACTTATATTTAGATTTTTTTACTTAAGAGTTAAATCGTAAGTGAAAGGCCATCTTGACTAAACAACGTTGTCAACGCTCACGTGAAACCCAATAATAAAACTAATACCAGGTCTGGAAATTCTTCTGATTATGAATACCCGTTACCCAGATTTGTCACCAATATTTTGGTTGCGTTTGTGAGTACATTAATAAGTATTTATGTGAATCATTAAAATACGAACTCTATAGTTACTTTCGTCTGTTTTCCGCTAACGGCGCCATATTTATGGGAAGTATTGTAGCTCACCGCCAATAGGAATGTGCATCGAACAAAAAAGAACACTGCACACCGCTTGAAATGAGACCAATGCGATTGTAAAACGTATGCCAAAACTGCGACTGGCTCATACAATACAACACAGTTTGATTCACTAGACACAACACTATTTTCATGAATCCGTAATCTCAAAATTGGTATGATATCTGTAAATAAATGATTGCTTAGCACTCATCTTCCACGTTTTCTACAAGAAACACTTTTTTGTTTTTTTTTATACACAAGCAGACATGTTACACGGAATGTTAAATTTCCACAAATAATTTAAGATTTTGTATCAATTCAAGAAATTTCAAGTGTTGCATAGCTTAAAATGCCGTTGAATGTAAACAATACATTTTTGTTGTCGACTTACACTTTTATATATTCACTGGTAGTTACTTCTCTATTAGCTAAAGTATTATTAACTTTTTTTGTTAATTGTATGTACATATGTATTTTTTCTATATAACAATAATATTAAAAAAAAAATAACGTAGCGAAGCGACAATCCGCATTGCTATTTCGATATCGTATCGTCATCATTAAGTGTTGAAATAATACTACACGTGTGATTAAACTGCCTCGCTTGTAGAATTAACATTTTAACATATTAATTTGCATAACCTATAACACTGACATTTATTTCGATAAATGTTAATTATTGTTCGATTTAATTACATTTTTTTTTATATATTGTCTGTGATTAACTTGAGCAATATGTTTCCAGATGCTCTTTAGATATATCCCAAGTTGTACGAGACGGACGCTTAGATACGGTAAATATTAAATTTTATTCCTTTCTATTTCTTTTTTTTTCTGATATCCTTGTCTATACTTTGTCATAACAATATGAAATAACTTTCATAAAATCATATCGAAAACAGGTTAATATCTTCCAAAATGTTTTAGCAGAATTTTCCTATACCAGTGTTACAAGTTAAAAAGTTTTTGTTTTAGTGGCAAACTCTACAGCAAGCGAAACATGGCAAAGTGCATTTACGCCTGTCTTGGCATCGTTTATCATCAGATCTATTAGATCTAAGTCATGTAAGTATTTGTTTTTACATAATATATTTTTTTTATCCTTCCCACCTAACAACAAAACCCGCATTTACTGTTCCAGGCTATCACTGAAACTCAGTTGGTGAAGACTGGTGAAATTAGTTCCGCCGTACTCAACGTGTACATCGACTCCTGTAGAAACTTACCTGTGAGTTTTAAAATTGTATTTTTAAGCTCTTAATCTTAAGCTTTCCTTGCTTGCTTTTCATTCCATGTAAGTGGTAAAGTTCAACATTATTGATGGAATGTCGTCCTGACACATCAATGGTGACAAATATATAATAATATCGGACTGCAGGTAGATAGTACAAAGGTAAAATGCAAGTACTTGAGATTCTATTCAGATGCGATTATTTGTCTTTGATTATTTGCCTGCTGTTCCAGCACTATTATATCGTATGACAAATGAATGATATCAATGATCGTACAGAAGAATTAAATCAGAATTAATTTGCACTGTTTTTTCTTGAGTCAGAATGCTCGGGTACACTCTCGTCCGGATCCTTACCTGGTAGTGTCAGTTGGCAAGAAAAGCGAAAACACGGCCGTACAGATGCGCACAGATAACCCAGTTTACGAGATAGGATACTCATTCCTCGTACAGAACCCCGAAATTAACGTCCTTGACATCAAGGTAAGTTAACGAGTTGTTTATGTTATAACAAACTATCAAATGCATTGTGAAGGCAAAATTAATAAAATATAATAAGGTACTAATTTCATTAACTTCAAAATGACAGTGTTTAATGTCGCAAATTGAAGGTATTATATATGTGTAAAATAAAATTTTGATATATGTGTGTGTTTACCTATATGTGTAATATAAAATTTTATTTCGATATACAATATGTAAATAACTTTCGGTATTCCATAAGATCGTTGTTGTAATATCTATTATTTTATTTTAGGTGTTAGATCAAAAGACTGGAAACCAATTGGGTCAATTGATATATTCTATATCGTCGTTGCTGAAGGAAAGAGATCTGAGTCTATTAACTCAACCGCTTAATCTCCAAAAATCTGGAGCCCAATCTAAAATAATTCTGTCGTTGCAATTAAGGGTAAATATTATGTCAAATATTTTAAAGTATTGCAAAAGCGACTATACGCTTATAATATAATATTATTGTTACTAAATTTTAGTTTTACGGTGCCGAGATTTTTTTTACAGTTATATGATGATAAAAATTATCATATTCTCTATTTACCTGTGGATCATATCGACATTTACACGATAGACCTCCTGATGCGAAATCGTTTTTTTTAGATTCTAAAAGAAGCTGTTAAAGAAGCGGATGTAGATGAGGAAGTTCCTGTAACACCGACTCCGGAGCCATCCCCTGCGCCTGTTACCCCCTCTGCAGTGGACGACGTTGATAACACTGGCTCAACTGCCGAAACACGTAATAAATTAAAAAAAATACACAAACAGTTGCATGTTTTAACCATATAAATACGGACTATTGAGCAATAGTAACTACGGACTTGAATTTAAAAACGCAAAAATCTGAAATGTGGACGTTTAAGATATACTTAACTTTTAATACTATTTATACTAATACTAAAAAAAAGCACGAACGTCGACTGGTGATCGATTGATGAAACAATTCCGTAACCGTAACCAATCCTTTAGTGAAACATGCTTGAAAATTTCTGTCAGATGTCTCGGTAAGACATATTCTGTAAAATATAGATGGCCTCGATCAGTATATTTAATAAAGTATCGTGTAATTCAATAATAACGTTTCCATCAGTCCAGCAGGGCCATTTTCATTATTTTGAAATCATTTCTTGACACTTTCATTGATTAAGGTAATTGTCTATTATCTAGTGTTCTTAGGTATGTCACTACCGATGTATTTTTCAAAGTACGAAGTTAATGAAATTTTAAGTAATCATTTCTAGAAAGTTATTTAACAATGGCATTCACAGAACTCCGTTCACTACGTCATTAAGATAATCATATTTGGGGTTAGAAGCAATACTGATTTAAAATTAGAATCACTAATTATTTATATGACACTAACAATTTGCCTGCCTAAATTAGACTTTATTTTGTAGCGCCGACGTCAAGTGATGCTGACCTAAAAAACATAGACGATAACGCGACGGAGACGTCATCACAAAAGTCAATACCAGTAGAGGAAATCGTTAAAGCAGTTGGTATGTACTAAATATACTTTTTAAACAAATCGCTTAGTGAAGACGTAATAAGCGTTGCGAGCAAGAGCTTTATTTATTTTATATAAATATTATACAATTATTCTCTTGATTCATAATGCTTTAAATAACCAATAAAAGATATAGAGATAAAAGACTTACAGCCAGTTGCACAAACGACCATTAAAATTTTCATTAGTTTAAAGCGACATTACCTATACAAATTTGACATTCATTAGAGCTTAAAGGCGTCATTAGACCCTAATGGACGTTTCTGCAACTGACCGTTACTCTTGAAATTTTAAACTTTTTTCTAATGCTTCATTCCGTATCCCTTGCGGTTAGGTTAGGAGGGTTAGCAGAGAAAATCAAACGCCACAAAGTACGGTCCTTACATACATCTTTCGCCTCATTCACTTTCATTATTCTTTTCGTATATGCTCATTTATAGCTCATGAAAAGTGCATCGTGGTTATATATCAGTTCTACGCTAATTTTGAAATCTTGAAAGCTAATTCTAATTCTGGAACTATAGTGTTATTTCAACATATTAACAGTGTTGTAACCATATGTTGATAGTAAAAGAGTTAAATGTTATTAGAGCAGAATTCACCCATTGATTGGATAAATTTTATTATAGATGTCGCTCAAGATCAACAAGCTCCTCCGTCTGATAGAGGTTCACCAAAGTTAGTTCATAGAACGTCTTCTTTGACAACGTAAGTTTATTTACTATTTGTAATTGACGGTCATGGCTCATCCTCATTAACCATCCATAAGAAAGCCATAAGCATGATGATAATAATGACCTGCTGAAAGATCAAAATCTATCCTAATATTATAAGGTAGTTTCCAACTTTGTTTGGATGGGGGCAATCTCCGATCATCCAATCATGAAAATTGTTTCATCTACGGAAAACTACATCATACGCGGTTAACACAGGTTATAATTTACGCTGGCAAAGTCGTGGGAAATCGTCCTAATGTATAGATTTCTTTTATCATGCCAATAGAAAATAGAATTTTCACGGTTTCGAATAAACAAAATTTGTAAGAGCAGACAAAATTCTCAAAAAATTTAATGATAAAAGAAAAATTTAATGTCTCGTTTAGACGCGAATATAAATATACTTCTTAATGACGTAAAAAGCTAGCGACCCGTATGCGTTGCACGGAAGTGACGCCAGAAAACGTCCCCACAGGAATCCTACCACGTAATGTTAAAAACAAATGAATACCTTATTAAATAAATAGCTCCTTTAATTTTTAATATTATAGACTTATAAAAAATACCTATCTAAAAATCTTACATTGCCAGATGTTTCTAATAAGTAAATACTCGTACTCAACTTACCCGAGTGATATATTGAATTAACAGAACAAAACGTCTAATTCTTTCTAACTCTTCTACAGGTCAGCAGGAGAAGCCGGTTTGGGTCGTATTTTGCTATCTCTCAGATACAGCATGCAAAACCAAACTCTGTACATCGTGGTACATAAGATAGCGTAAGTCACACTTTATGACATATATATTTATGAATAAATTTAACCATAATTTATTATTATAGTTATTTTCTTTGCCAAACTTCAATTTTTAATATGCTCGCTTTTTTCTGTACAGAAATATACCTCTCAAAGATCCGGCTAATGTGCCAGATCCATACGTGAAATTGTACTTACTGCCCGGACGTTCAAAAGATTCAAAACGCAAAACTATTGTAAGTAACGCATTAGGTTGAAAGAAATTGGTATCAATACGGGTGTATACAGTAAATAAAAATGAATACCTATTTTTTATGGCTTAAACTAATTATGAAAAAGTGATTTATGCAGTTAACGTTAATTTTGCGATATCTTTAAAAAATATCACGATTGCAATCGCTATCACACTTCAAGTAGTTGCAGCGTGAAGTTCGTAAATATCTTTCAAATTACAATAAGGCCTCTGATAACATTATAATTTAAGTTCCTTATAGTTTTGAATGTCCAATTACCAGAATGTCCAACGGTTGTAAAATTTCCGATTCCCGTAATATCCAATTTCTGAAATGCCGAAATCCTAAAATATGAATTGGACGTTCTGAACTGAAAGGTTTACGAATAGGCGATCTATCAAAGAAATCATCATCAGCCTTTTTACGTTCCCACTACAGGGGCTCAGGCGTTCCTTAATGATAGTTAAGGAGGCCCAATGCGGATTGGAGGATATTAACGACTGCCAATGCAGCGGGACCAACGGCTTAACGTGCACTTGCCAAGCACAGAAGATCGAGATTGTAAATTTTTGGTCACACATCCCGTGAGCGACCCTTGCGAAAGTTGCTTAACAATAAAAATCCACCTACTACGCCACCGAGCTTCTCTATAAAAGAAATACATAATCTATTTATTATTAGGTAATAAAGGACAGCTGCATGCCTGAGTATGATGAACAATTTGAGTGGGTAATTCCGTTAGCTGAACTACATTCGAGGCAGGTGGAAGTAACGGTGGCAACGCACAAAGGATTTTTGGGTGGGAGCCCAGTAATTGGACAGGTAAATTATTATAAAATAATGAAAATGCGGCAATGAGGAAGTATTTCAAAAAAAAGGAAAGCCCTAAAAAAGGTATTTTGTTATATTTGCAGGAAACAAATGGAGCAAAGACAGTCATTTCCGTTCCTTTTAATTAACATATTAAAAAATTGAAATTTGAAAAGTTCGAAACTTAGATATCAATATCAATATATACAATAAAGTACAAATAGAATAGTTGTTTATTGAGTTTTGAAAACTAATTTACTTTTAAACATGAAAGTAAACCGGAAGGGTTGTCACGGAGAAATCAAGAACGTACCGTATCGATATCTAGTGTGATTTCGGGAACTATTTTTTTTTAATACTTCCTCGGTAATCATATAGGTTTCAATATTGATGGTTAGATTCATAATAAGTACAAATTTATTTATTTTATCGTTATTATAAAGTAATTATAAAGCTTCTGCTACCAAATGGCCCCTCTGATAATGGGGTCTGGTTTAAGCAGATTTCGAGTCAGTCGTTATGCTGAATTCTTTATTTATAATACATTGTATAAAACAAAGTTGCTTCTCGATGTTCGCCGAGATCTTTTACAACTACACAATGAATTTTAATGCGGTTTTAATTTACATGCATGTATAAAACTGATTCAAGAGTAATAATGCTACTCGAGCCCTGTCTTTATAACTTTTTTTCAAACTCTTAATCAAGTGAACTTGATGAGTGAGAGTGAAATAAATATCACTCTAATTTTAACTCGACCCGGCGCATCTAGATGATTCTCTTGCTAAAAGATGTCACTTAGCTACTCTAATTTATTTATGTATGGCGCTTATCTTTTGATATTCTTGATTTCATAAATCATATGTCAAAACTCTTTTAATGTGTATTTTATTTATACTATATAATATAAATAATATACTATATAGTATTTGCTTAAACTAAGAGAAATCTAGCTTGAGTAACTTGTTTGCAAATTTCTTATACGAGTGACTCGTTAACTCGAGGCTCGAGTCACTAGAGCCATTTAACAACCTCACTCTTAATCCTACTCTAGTCGTATCACTATTCAAGAGGAAGGTTTATATGTACGATACGGGAGCAAAGCCGCTAGCAGAAACCTAGTATTTTTTTATTCAATTTCATAACTAGGCATACAATTGAAGAGCGTAGTTCAGTCAAAGGGCTCATTTGTTTCGATTAAGACGTTATTTATGCCTGTCTGTCAGGTAGATTATTGAAGAATATTAAGTACGAAGTTGATTTTTACCTAATTCGCGCGATACATTGAGTTAATATTTCACATGACGTCACGCTTTTCTACATTTTCCTTTAAGCCTGTTGTCTAACTTATTTCTTGTGAAATTAAAGTGAAATAAATTGCGTATTTAATATTTTTTTGACGACAAAATACAATTTATTTTTACTCAGGTATCATCCTTAATAGGGATATATAGGGATCCCTAATTTAACCCCGATGCTTAGTATATAGATCTTAAATAGATGTTTAAGATTTGTTTCAGCTGAATAAATTTTATTATTAAATATAAGCGTTATATTAAGTGAATGTCACAAATTATATAAAATATTGTTTCAGGTGATAGTGCATCTTAATCAGTACGACTTCAGGGAAGCAAAAACGATGTGGTTTGATCTTATGCCAGAAACAATGCCTAAAGACTAAAAACAATGTATTGATGAGTCACTAAGTCTACAGTAGATGTATCAACTTAGTAAGAGTGACACAGTTTCTAAGAATTTTTCTTTTTTACTATAAAAACTTCGCTTTTATTGGTATTAATGAAACATAAAAATATTCTCACTACCATTTATAAGTTGATACATTAACTGCTCTTTTATATCTATTTTTATTTAAATGTTGGTTACAATTTTTTACCTTAGGAGCCAACTCTGCATCCATTGAATTAATCCAGAAAGATTGTTATATTGTGATCATTAAAGAAGTGCTTAAGAAATTAATCAAATTAAAATGTTATTAAAAGTACATTTATTAGTTGCTTACCACCACAAAGTTTTGCTTTCACTGCATATGTTCAATTCATATTACAATTCTGAATAAATCCGTGTGCAAGAACATTTGTGTGAAATCATAAGAAAACTTAGTACAGGAAGCATTTCAATTATTATTATCATTATAATAGGTATCATATATTTTACTTCAACACAAATTTAAAGAGCTTTTGTGAACTTTTTATGCAGTAATATATTTATTAATTGAAATAAAATTGATTTTAAACTAATTGTACCATTGTATAAGCTTGTGTGTATTATTATATTTTTCATAGTTGTCATTTATGAATGTTGGCTATTTGCACATATTTATTTTTATAATAGAAGTAGCATCTTTTTATTGAATAAAGTTGTATTATATTTGAGATTTTTAATTAAATAGCTTATGAAATTAGTAATGCATTTAAATATTAAGTATAACTTTTATAATATATTTTTATACAAAATGATTTTAGCACTTTTACTTAATTTTCATCTATTAAATTAGTGGTTGTTGAGATATTTTATCAATGAAGTTTGTTCTTGCATTTAATTATTGAGTAAAACTTATATGTTAAACTTAACATTTTACCCAGAACTAGTATTACTTTTGTAATTGCCTAGTCGTTATTTTATTATGTATTTGTTATCTTTCAAACTACATTTATCATTAATATGCTTTATATCCTATGAGTTAGCACTTGTTTAATAATGTTGTTACCAATAAATGGCTTCTCTTTAATAAAAACACTGTTTAATTTTTTATAATTATATTTATCTCACATCATATATCAAATGCTTCTTAAGGACAGTCTTTCACAAGTTCATAATTACTGCATAGTTGAACACTTATAAATATCTTAACATCACTCACTCTTCCGGTCAACGTTCCAATGTGTTTGGAACTATCTTTTGTGCAATTATTTTTCCATATCCACCACGGCCTCCATCATAATCAGTCCTATATTCATCACGTACCTATGAAAAAATGGTTAAGGTTTTATAGCTTACATATACATCTGAGGATAAGGGAACAATGAAGGGTCTCTCATGGGATGGGTGATAAAAAATTACTCCAATGACAAGAGTATCACTATTAAATGTTTTAGAAATAGATGATATACAGGGACAGGTTGATAAAATATTTTATTAAGATTCTGTTGTATGCCAAAGCCAATGCTTCTTTCATAATTTTAATTGACACCATGAAAAGTGCGATTAATATAACTATACCATAATTAATTTATCAAATGGGAAACACTTTATTTTACAAGAAATTTTTAGATAAAAGATATGTTTTTCCACTACAAACCAAAAACAAATGCATCTAGAAAACCATTTTTTAGGAGTAAACCATTTTGATTGTGTAACATATCGTACCTGACCACCAGTTTTCCCACGGCCATATTGTCGACCCTCAATGAAACCTGCATCCCAATCACATCTAATTATTCTGTCGTCCAATCTTGTTCCATTTATAAACCTGAAATGTAGACAAAACGCAATAATGCTGTGTGGTACACTGCAAATGAAATAATTGGAGAAACTCATAACGTTAAGAATAAAAATAACTATGTACTGTTGTGATAATCTTTGGATTTGTAGATTACTATGTTGCTGGTTTCCAGTATTAGTATATTTATGTAGTTATTCTTTTTAAAAGAATTACTAGACAAGACACAAGGCTAGAGTGTATTTTGATTAAATATATGTGTCTAAAAACTCAAAACTGCATATATAAAAAAGGGTTTCAGTTTGTCTCCTTCTTATAGTGGAACCTTTATGTGACATGTTCCAAGTTTTCATTTAATTAATGTTGTTTACGCATGTTTTCAGTACAATACATGGATTATGTATAATGTTCACTATTAAACTTTACCTCATACAATTTTCTGCATCAGGTCTGGTATAATATTCCACAAAACAAAAACCACAGGGGGTTTTTTTGTACTTATCTAATCCCATTATAACTCTCCTTATGTCACCACATTTCGAAAATAACTCGTATATTTGCTCTTCTGTTGTGTAAAATGATAAATTTCCAATGTAAAGTGTTGAAGATGCCCGTAGTAATTTTTCTTGTTCACTTCTGGAACCCTGAAGAAAAAGGGGAACTTAAAGCTATGTTACCTGGATATCCTTTAAGATAGTAAAGATTAGTTTACACTATGTTTATTATTCTTTAAAATAAAAACATTTTCATGCTTCATGGAACAAATATTGCACCTTAAAATGTTGATCCCGATATGAGCTAATGTCAACTGAGGAGCTCATAGATTCATAACCTCTCTTCATTTTAACTATATAGAGATTTTGCCAATAAATATGAATTTAAAGTAAATAAATTAGCAAAACTACGATTTCAACACGAAACACAAACGACGACACAATAATTCACCACAGTAAATCGGTGACACTCGCGTTCTGCTGTCATGTCAAGCAAGCTGTCAATGTCAAATATAGTGAAGTAATAGGGATGCAAGCAATGAGTTTAATAACTAGAGAAGCAATCCCATACAACAGACGCGCCAAAAAGCGTAGCACTTTTCCGAAATCAGGACGTAGCTTTGCAAATAATATTTATACTATATAATATAAATAGATTTATTATATTATCTCCCTCATATCTACGATTAAACTTTAAATTAAACAAAGACAGAATATGCGCGAACGACAGAATGAACGGAAAAATGGGTAATTGATATTGTATTGCCAGCTGTCGAAAATTTCACCCATTGTGATGAATGAATGAATGAACGAGTAGTGTAGATTTATGTATAAAATCAATTAGTAAAATACTGTAACTTTGAAAATTTGTTTGCAAAAACTTTGAAAAAAAAAACAATTACGAAAGTAGGCTCTGTGCATATATATCCCTTTGTTTTTCGATAAAGTTAGTGGTTAAGACAAAAACATTTGTCAAAGTTCATAAAACATCAAACAAACTATTTTACGTATTTTCAAAAGTTGTATCTCGACAACTAACGAATTATTCCACGCATTGAAAAAATTAAACCACATTAGCATCTGTGTGCATGAATAAAAAAATTTGCGCAGTTGCCTATACTTAAGCTGAGCTATATAATTAATTATAAAAAGATATTTAGATAAATTATAGCCACGTTAATTAAAAAGAAAAGGTTCCCATATACTTGGGAAAATTGAAAGTGAATAGCAGTGGCAACACTGACGACAAAATGTCGAAATTTTATTTGAAAAAAATTAAATATTTTTATTTTATAACCTAGCTTTAATTTTGTATTTATTGCCAAAAATGTTAATGATTTAAGTGTGAAACTTAATATTCTTTCGTATTATGTGTATTTGTGAAAGAGAATCGAATTTTATCTACTGTTTTTCTTTGTTTTTACGGAGCATTTTTTTTGTACTTTCTTGGCGGGAGTTGAATGAGTAATGAAGTGCAAAACGAAAAAACTAAGACAAACGTCTCAGTTTTAGTAGCTTCAGATTTTTGGTATGTATTGCGTATCTAGACATATTAATATCATTGGATGCAAGGATAAGTTGATATATCGGTTTTCAAATACATATATACATATATTAAACCATATATAAACTTTTAAACTTTCGCATTGCATTTATATTAGATTATATTAGATTGCCCAAGACGGCTATTAACGCGATAGATTTCGATAGTTATGTTTACACCCACCTATAATTATGTAGATGTATTGTAGATGAAAAACCTAATTATCGAAATCTATCGCGTTTATACCCGTCTTATACAATCAAATACCAACATATCAAAACATAATATCAAATGAAGTTCAAAAACGAAATCTGTAACAGTTGTCTTTTGAACATCTACGCTATTATAAGTTACGAATTGTTTAATCAAACTTAAATAACTAAACTATAATCTTTGCAAAAAAAAACAATTCACACAAGCTTTTAAGATAATGTTTAAATTCTTTTCGTGGCGGCTGAAAAGTCAGACCCATAAACAATAGATTAGAAAAAAGGTCAAGAGTGAGTTCTGCACTTTTACACAGTGAATCACAAACTATATAGGTCTCAGTGAATATACTAAACAACGAGACGGTACACACTTACACAGACTGGTCGCCAAGATCTAGTTAGACACGGACGTAGTGCTTCACTGTTAGTTCCTGTGGTTCCTGGGTATCTCAGTGGTTAGAGAAGTTGCCCGAATTGCGAAAAGTGGTGGGTTCTAATCCCTTCTCAAAGTACCAGGGACAAAGTGTTTTTTTTAACCATTTTTCATTACGAATAATTGTCTTTTTTAATAATCATGTATTTTACCAAATTGGTTAAATATAAATGAAAGCCTTAAACATAATTTAATTAGAGATTAATGTTGGCATATATTCACCGGCTTGGGATCCGGTAATTAGTCAAAAAAAATATAAGGGGGGAGGGTCTCCGAACTCAATTCATATCCATCTTACTTATCCAAAAAAAAAAGAAAACGATAGTTGCTGTGGAGCGTGTCCCTAGATAGCAATAAAACGTAAAAGATTAAATTGAGTACTTTGAAGAGTTTCAGCTTTGTTACTTTTGAATAAATATTACAATACATACATTACATTACAACTTTTTATTTAAAGGCTAATTTGAGTAATTTAAGTTATATATTATATATTATAATTGTATTTGCGTGTTATAGTCACAGGCAATGTTTAATTTGTCAATGATAGATTAGACTTGTTAGAGCGCTGTTTTTTGTTTTGGGGATAACTAGAACAGCCCTGCGATTCTGTAAAAATCCAAACCCGAATTGGAATTCACTCAGGTATTCGAATCTACGTCATGGTCCCAGCTTTTCTGTTTCGAAGTCGAGCAAAAGGAATTAATAATGTGAATTAAAAAAAAAACAACTTATTTATGTAATACTTTTGTAGGTATTTATTTTCTTTTTTAATTATACACAAACATGATTGTAAATACAATATTTAATAAAATAGTATTGCATTGTTTCATTTCATTTCATTCAATACTAAGTTAAATAATTTATTCTGAATTATTCCTATTCAAATATAATACATCATAATAGAATTAAATTAAAAATACAAAGTCTTTAAAAAATAAAGTTGTACAATTATTAATAGGTCTTATAATAAAATCGTACCATTTATTAACAATGTACTACCTCGTATACGCTCAGCTCACTTGTAAAGGTTTTTTATTATTAAAATTAATATCAAAGAAATTATTTCAGAGTGTCAAAAATTATCCTACAATAGCGCCAATATTTTATTATTATTTACACGTGCTTAATGTCATATCATAACATTAATTATAGAATGAGCATTATATTTCTCTATACAAATTATTACATAAAATCGTTCCCGATTTTATAGAGAACACGTCCTACAAAAGGTAGATCCAAAAACCATAAGTACTTTGACTTTGTGTTTTTTTTAATCGGTACGATGAAGAGTCTCACAGGAAATCGGTCATGTATATTTAAAGACTTAAAATATGACAGGAAAAGCTGTCACAAACAAAGGTTAATAAGTCGTTTTAAAAACACGCTGTAGCGTTACCATGAGTTTACAATGACCGTACTCGCTAGCGACTGCGTAAATGATTTGTATGGAGAACTGTACAGCGCTCCTAGCGGTCACTTTTGAAACTAATGATTGCTAGTATGAGTCCTAATAGTAAATTTACCTATCGAAAGCCAATCGCTAGCGACTAACGTTTTTTACGTTTCGTAGCTTATCCCATAGAACATCGGTACCATGAGTTACAAATTTGATAAACGTCATCGAGAAATACCGTAGCGACTGTAGTTAACTCTCTCACTTGCAAAACGTAGCGTGAAAACTTATTACTCTTGTTAGAGTATTGTTTAATAGATTATTTTCAGTTATTATTGACCCAAATAATGTCAACTAGGCATTATATGTTTCATAAGCTGTTTATGAAGACAAACGACGAGAACAGAGAAAATTTAAGCGGATATGAGAAATATTAGTGAGAATATTTTATCAAATAATATAGGCTTAATAAGGAGTGTTTGGTTTACTAAGGTCATCATTTCTGTTGAAACATTAAAAAGGGATACGTGATACGGATAACAACAAAAATAAATAAATGAATGTTTAAATAAATGAACGGGGTTAGATCGATAGCATTGGATTAGGTTGTATATTCTTACTATATTCAAAAATTTCATAAACTGCGTCTATTTTAAAATTTTTATGTTTGATAAATTACAAAAAACAATGTATTATATTATTAAAGTCCGCTAAAATTTACCTTAACCAAATAAAGAGCACTCAGCATTCCTTAACTTTATCTGAACACTCAAACAAATATTTCGTCTAAAAAAAATGGAGGACTACATTTTACTGTACAAAGTATATTCTAGGTATTAAATTATATAATAGAATTGTATTGAAGTACATTCCTTTCCATATACTCAACCAATAACTGTATTTGTGATACACTACTCCGCATTTAATGTTTAGATATTATGCACAATTTACCAAAACAACCGCCAGTCAAGAAACAGAAATACTCAATGATTTGTCACAACACGGAATAACCGAATCAATTCAATAATCAGTTAACACTTCGCGTTATGAGAATGATCAATGACGCTTAAAATTAGTAGGGTTTCATCTACTTTTTAAATTTGAAGATCTAAATAGTCGGTTTTTAGCCCAAAGTCATCCTTTCTCACTCTATTCAGCATAATTAGAACGAGACAGTTTCATTTGGAGTGAAGTTAGGCGCAAACACGGTCACGTACAAAAACTATTCGAATGTTCGAGTTAACGTTAGCGAGTATAGTAAACGTAAATGTGACTCATGGTACAACTTCTATCGAATACTATTCGAAGTGCGTTTATTCGCTAGCGACTGCGGTGACGTAATGAGAATTTTCGATAGCAACTCATGGTAGCGCTACAGATAAGTTTAACTAAACGCTGGTGAATATCTACTCGATTTGATACAAATTCTGCTGCGGCGTCACCAGTAGTGGCACATTAAGGACATTGTTTAATATATCAGTACTAAAAACTGGACCCTGGACTTATAAAGCCTATGACGTCAATGATCAAAGGTATTGACAGCTGCGTTTGGGGACGGGCTTCTTCCGTAGCGCGGCGCGGACCGCCTCTTCGAATACTTCGTTCATGTTAACTCTTTCCAGTGCCGAACATTCCACCAGGCGGGCGGCACTGCAAATATAAGAAAAAATCATTATAAGCAACAAATCATCATCAACCTTTTTACGTCCTCAGGCTTTCCTTATGGATGATTAAGGAGGATGGACCATGACCCTCATGTATTAACGACTGCAAATGCAACCGGGACCAACGGCTTAACTAACGTGCCTTCCAAAGCGCCAGAGTAACGCGAGATATTATTATTGGTCACCCATCCCGTGACAGACCCTTGCAAAAGTTGCTTAACAACAACGATCGCGGGCCACTGCGCTTATCTACTATACCACCGAGCTACTCATAAGGAAAGGAAAGAATTGTTGATATCATCATCAGCCTGTTAATGTTCCAGTGCTGGGATACAGGTCTTCACTGTCTTCAATGGAATCGACTTCCATGAGATGACGCCTAATTGACACAATCTATGATTACACTTTTGTCTATAACATTTACATTAGTGTCCTAACTCAAAAGTATATTAAATATTTAGCTAAAGTGTTACATTTAGTTACAAATTTCATATATTTTGCTGTACAATCTCAGCTGTCGTCATATCGCTGCTCGTTATCAGCACGCGATAAGAGGCGATAGTAGCTGCCGAGTCTCGCGCCTGATTGCCCTCGTCAATTTCACTTTAATTCTGTTTTATACAGAAAATAAAAAAAAAATACATTAACATTTGAAGAGATAATGAATACTGATAAGGACTAAGCTCTTGCTGCATGATATGATATAGTATATAGTTATATTTTAACAGAGTTTTGTTACTGAAAGCTTACCGTATTTTCTTCTTCAATTTCTTCCCTTCCTGTGTTGTGACAACTGCTTTACCGGACGCCCTTAGATCTGTTTTCGTGGCTGCAACCATACAGACAATCGGTTAGCCACTAATTAAAGTGCATATTTCATAACATATTTTATTAGAACTTTTTTAAACTACCCAATTTGTATGAAACCGTCGGTCCAACTCCACTTGTCCAGTTTAACTAGTAAACTGATAGAAACAATAGAATCCTTAGATATCATCACCAGAATTCACTAACATAGAGATGCGAAGTCTCGTCGTAGATCACGAATAGGTCATATAACTATAAAAAGTTATTTCTATGGGCAAAGTAATAATAGTACAAAAACCAACATGCTCAAATATTAATATACCTTAAATTTAATCGTAATAGAATCAGTAGTTTTCCTTTTATAAAAAATCAAAATACGGTTTTCACCAGACATCATAAAATATTTACATAGATATGGTATGATATGGTCCATTTCAGCTAAAAAACAAAAGATTGTTTATTTTAAATTCATAAAAAAATCCGAAAAGAGGATTTTCTGTGTTCTGGTTGACATTTTTTTATGAAAGTTGGTAAGTATTCTACCAAAATGGCTGCTTTCCCGCGATTTCGCCTGCGTAAATTATAGCCCACATTTCTTTTCGCTTTCCGTAGATGAAAGACTTGTAAATAGCTCCAATAGTTTCGGAGCCTATCCAATGAAAACAAACAAGCAATCAAATCTTTCCTCTTTATAATATGAGTATAGAACCGCAGAAAATCGGTTAAACAGACCGCTCAATGCTTATTAATTTCGACCTTTAAAGTATACCGAATTAAGAACACAATGCGAGTGATAAGAACGCTAAACAATGGCGAATAAATTCCGGATGCTTCGAAACGTTTTGAATAATGTAGAAGCAGTACAGTAGGCGCCAACTGATGTCAACTGTGTTTGAGTGTGGAGCGGGAAACCATGCGATAAACAAAATAACAAACAAAATATGTACTTCGTTTATAGACTGTTATAGAAAACTTTAGGCGAATTTGGCAGTAGTTTAGATATATATTAGAAACATATCTATGCTACTGCCAATGAAACTCTAGCGAATTTCGTCTAATATTATTTATTTATTAATGTGAGTACATTTCTGCTAATCTCAGCAATTGATTCAGAAATTAAAAAATGTAAACATTAATTCTTTTTAATATACGAGTAAATTACAATATTTTTTGTATATAATTTTTCTGCATTATACGACTAAATTACATTTCATTTAGAATCCTTCCTACGTGAAGAGGACTCTTTTATTTCATTCCAAATTAACAGCTTTCGAATCTATCCTGTGCGTCATTAACTTACATTGGTAATTTGCACAACACAGAACATGAAAATGGGTACATTCTTTTCAATTAAACCTAATTACTACCAATTTTGCTAATTTAACTCCGGACACCGCTAGTGTTTTATAAATACGTCTCTACTACTTTAAAAAAAATAATAATTTTAATTAGATTAGTATAAAGAGAAACTACTGAAAAGAGAGAAATAATCCAATAATTTTTTATTTTCAAAAAATCGAATCACTAAACTATAACCAATAATATTTTTTGAGATCGGCTATAAAATGATTCTTATAATTGAATTTCAAGGTGGCCCTGTATTAAAAATAAAAAAATCGGGATTTTAATGAATAATGTAGGTAGGTAGCCAATTACCTACTATTGCATTTACTTATATAATCAATGATCATATTAATTTGGAGTAGGTTATTAAAAGGAATTCCCTTATTATACATCATGTAAATAATTACGCACATTCCCAACGTCATACACAAGGAAGACGCATTATAATATTAAGATGCCCCATTAGAATTAGACTTCATGACGATTTATTATTTTACTAACATGAGTCATCGATCGCAAATGAGGTAAATAAGTTACAATAATGTGACAGAGTTACATATTATATAGAATAACCCAAAAATTATATTGTTAAAAATTTTCAAGGATCGACGAGAAATGTTTTGATTGAATTTGAAAATTTTAATTTTTAGATGCACAAATAAAAATAAAATGAAATTCTATGAAATAGCAAAGATGAAATTCGTTTCATAGTTCATAGTATTTTGTTATTTTTATGAATTAATATTTGTATATTCTTTTATAATTACATGTTTTTAATTACTTATATATTCCTAATGTAAAATGTTTAAAAAGATGATTTGTCCCTGGTACAAAGTGGATCTTTTTTATTAAAAATATTTTCCAGTACCTATATTAATTAAAAAAAAATTCAAAAGTGAATGCAAAATTGATCAAATTTAATACTTATATGATTTGTAAATAAAAAGTACTTTTTCAATGCAGTTGCTCATAAAGCGCTATTTTTTAAATCCATTGTAAACACCGAAAGTGAGTCTTTAAACACGTGTTAAATAAAAATATACTGAAATCCTTTACTACACACGTGCTTAAAAGTATTTTTTTTGACCGAGCACAAAGAAATTTCAAAAATATTGATGAAAATATGTCAAACTTTATAGGCAAAAGTATTTCAAGAAGCCTAGAACGAATATTTTCAAATAAAAATGTATGACACGAAAACATGTTCAAATATCACGTTTAATTTTAACAAATAATTTTTACCTTTAATACATACTTAGTTTTATTAACCTATATATTTGTTTTATTTCCTCGCAAAAAGCATTGCAAAATGTTGTAAGAAACTTGAGCGTAAAACGTTTTTCGAATTCGTGCCAATGAAAACCCTCGCTACGCTCTTGTTTTCAATTTGGCCCTTATTCGTAAAACCTTACTTTCCGCACTCGTATATTAAATAACTATTATATGATTTGTAAATAAAAAGTACTTTATTTAAACTACCGCGCGTGGGTACTGACGTTTTGCGATTTACTTTGTGGTATTTATTTATTTACTCTATGAGATTGTAGTGAATTTTTGAAAAGATTATTATCAGTTTATTATTATTAAGTTTATTAAGCTAAATATAAAAAGAATTAGTGAAATAATAGCATTAAATGTTGTTTCTGTTTCAGGTAAGATATGTAGCTATTAGACTTCACTGCATAGTATAAAACAAAGTCGCTTTCTCTGTCCCTATATCCTATGAATGCTTAAATCTTTAAAACTACGTAACGGATTTTGATGCGGTTTTTTTCATAGTACATAGGGTGATTCAAAAGGAAGGTTTTTATGTGTAATACAAGACCACGGGGACGAACCCGCTGGCGGAATGCTAGAAATATTATAAAGACGAAAGATTTGATTTTTTTGTTTGCATCGAATAGGCACCGGAACTACTAGACCGATTTTAAAAATTCTTTCACATATAAAAAGCTTCATCATGGCGGTGGATATAGGCTATAACTTATATATTTTTTTTAGTTACTTTAAATAAGTCATTAGTGTGCCTCAATGATATATTGTTAATATTTACACCCCCATCTTCATTAGTCATGTTATCTCTCTCCATCCACTGGTTGCCTGGAAGAAATCGCTTTAAGCGATAAGGCCGCCAATAGTTTCATAATAGTGTTAATTTACTATAAATTTTGTAATTCATTGTGTAATGTGAACAATAAAGAGTTTTGTATTGTATTGTATCCCGAAAAACAGCAAATAAAGAATTATTTCATTAAATTATCCAAATGAATTATTTCATTAAATTCTGAGCGTAAATATATTATAAATAGAGATAGTAAACAAATATCACTCACCGACTAGTACGATAGGGACAGAACTGCTGAAATGATTTAGTTCAGGATACCACTTGTGAACTACGTTCTCATATGAGGATCGACTGCCAACCGAGTAGCAGACTAAAAAGCAGCCAGTCTGAAACAATATCAAAACTCCTTAGTTACATGCTGGGGCTTATTTATCTTAGGGCCAAATGGGCAAGCATATCCCATGCAGTTCATATCATGCGGGGGCAGCATAAGCGGTAATGTGTCTTTAGTGAGTCTTTCTATATATCTTTCCTTCATTATCTTACAATAATGTTAATCTGAGAATGGCATTTGGATCCTAAGTAAAAACACGTGGATTTTATTTTATTTATAAACACGATATATAAGACTTTGTTACATATGCTTATCATTGACATGGATACGCCACGGTGGAGCAAGGTGGGGCTCTTGCCCCACCCCCAACCCTGACTATAATACAAAGTAACGAAATTAAATTATCTCGGTGTGTTAAAAAAAAGTGTAAAGACTATTTTCTCTTCAAGTATGTATGAGCACACTTATTTATGTGTTTATTTAAGTATTTTATTTAACCAATAAAATAAGTATATATTTATTTTATTACGCGTGTATCTTGTTTCGTATTGTTTTTCATTTTCGTGTTTAGTTTCTATCCTTCTTACTTTGATAGTACACTTTTAGACTTTACGCTTATTACCATTTCACGATGACAAACCTTTGAGTGGTTTGTAGGAAGATGATATCGGCGCACCCCTGACACTGACGCCCACTTACCCTCCCTAGATGCTGCCCTGACTAAGGCTGACGGAACCCTAATATGGCCCATGGGCCTAACCCATGATTGCTTTTCTTGGATGAGCGTGATCTAGATTATGAAGTATTAATTATTTTTACTTACCGAGTTATAAGATAATGGCCTTAAGCGCTCGTAATCTTCTTGTCCCGCCGTGTCCCATAACGCCATCTCTACTTCTACACCGTCGACGGTTATGTAGCCCACGTAGTTATCAAATCTATAAATTTAAAAAAAGAAATTGCTTATTACGATATGGGTGCAAAAAAATGAAATAAATATATGGCGTTCTTTATTTAAATCGTCATGACATAAATTAAAATAAGAATCTTAGTAGAACAAATTATATTTAAACAAAAACATGTTAAAACTATTATTATTTTTATGAGCATTAATTGAAAAAAAACTGAGTGTTTTATAAAGGGTTAAATTAAAAAGGCGGATACAATTAGGTAGGCTATTACTGTCAAATAGTACAAACAATTATTCGCAATCAAATTAATAAGCGAAAATGTTCCTTTGAAAGCACCGACATGGTATACGATTGAATAACTCTCCAGAACCCGCCCAACTAGACCTTGATTCTACTTGTATTTCAATAGCGTTTCAATTAATGGCATGTTGTCGCTGTATTGAAACCCTGAACGTTTACTATATTATATTAAAAAGATAATTGATTGTTTGTTTGCAATACACTCTTTAACTATTGCCCGATTTTAAAAAGCTTTGACCTACGGCAATCTACATAATAAGCGGGTGACTTTAAACTTACACAGACGAAATCGCGCGTAAATAGCTAGATAACTATAAAAATTGTAAACGATGCGTAGTCTGATTGTTCAGTCGGAAGACTCATAATCCTGATATTACTAATATATAAAGATTTTGTGCAAACTTGTTTGAATGTACAGTCAGTTTATACAAAACTGACAATTCCTCCACCTGATTTTAAATCTTAATGCATTGCTATATTCGAAATACTGAGATATTGTGAAAGCTAACGTACATAATAAAAAAACTGTATTTTCATTTTAACATCCATTTGTTTTCCTCTTTCTCCATCCACTACTCAACCAACGACTACTCAATTCAATAAACTCTAATCGGAAAATTATAGGTCAAGTTTGTGAAATATATACCATCAGCTGATAACCGATAAGTAACTTCAGAAGCGGTGTTTATTTATTATTAAGATTGTCAAGTTAACTTATTATACTTAAATGTTGTTTATAGCAAAAAAAAAATAACAACACCCACCACATTACTTATATCCTATTTTAATATAAACCCTTTTCTTTAGTGAAAATATAGAAACAACGAAGGTGCAAAAGCACTCAAACCCTATGCAACGGCCGAGGCTGGACCCGGCAGGGCACCTACTCCCCCCTCGGGGGGTACTTGCAGTGGATTTAATAAGGTAGGCCGCCCTCGCTTAAGCATGTTCTTTTCGGGACGGGTGGATGTTCCTTAAACCAGAGGGTTTAAGGATTAAGACGAATTTCCCGTATTTTAATAAAATAATAGGCTACTGTCTACTATAATATTATACATATAAAACCAATAAAAATATTATTAATTTTTATAGTGTCATCATCGAATTTTCTTACAAAAATACCAAAATAGGTGCATTATTATCTAAGTGATACAATTAATAAATATTTAGATATGGGTACCGTAAAGTCCGTGCACATTACTATAGGTAGACTTATGGTCAATGCTGGCCGCTAATATTTTGTATTATTACTTTTCCGCGTTCGAGGTCGCGTTGTCCTATATTGCTGATAGATAATCTTTCTTTCCGCCTTCACCACAGGGGTAGTAGCTTTACAATTATAATATCTGTTTAATTGTAAAACTAATAAATTAATTAAATAATATTATATAAAAATATCTTTAATTCCATGAAAGAATCCCTATCCCATACTCGTGATAGTACCTACACAATAATAACTGTTGACTTATGCGTGGGACCATACGTGTCACGGAGACGAATCGCAAGGAAGTCACCGTGTAGGCGTGAGTCCAGGGGGCCAATTCTACTAATTTACAACGATCGATCATCAATAGCGTTTCTGTAACGGTTACGTTTCGATTTTTGCTGTAAATTTGCATTCCGCTAACGTAAATTATCAAACGAACGTTTACTAAACTGAAACGTAATCGGAGCCAAATCGCAGCCGAACCAAACAGCTGTCATTAGTGTTACCAGAATAAAATAAATGAAATTATTAGTTAAACGGGAGACGATTAATGATTATTCATTCCTACATTTTTTTATCATTTCTGTACGTAATGAATCTATTATATTCTTATTCGAACGTTTTAAAATACGGATGAAACACCCGAATATTAGCTACATTAAGAAAGTGCATACCTAAGTGTTAAGCTATAAGGGAAAATACCCAAAACGCGAATTTATAATTAATATTTTTATCATTATGGGTATTTGACACTATAAAAATAAGTTTCGTACTATTATCATCATGTTAGATAATAATCTAATAAAAGTTTGTTTCTTAGAATCTGTAGATTTAAACAATTATATTCATCGGAAATAGAACAGATTCTCATGTAATATATTGACAGTGTGTTTATAATGTATCAAACAACTATTTTAATTAATTAGTTTTCAGAAAATCGTCATATACCCAATTCTAACTTTTATTAAGCACTCAACTTTAAACATGCTTAATATTTAAAGCATAAATCCGATATAATTAAGTCTTTTAATTAACAAAAAAGTCAGATGAAATACTATAAATCCTGGCGTTGACTAAAGATAACGTCAAGCTTAAAGAGTTAAGTTTCAAAATTCGAATGGTGTTGGTTTATTTTATTGTTTATACAGAGTTTTAATTCGCAAAATAAATGTTATTATGTGAGATAAAGTAGCATGAAAGTGAATAATATGATTCCGTAAAATAAAACGGTACCTACATAGGTAGGTCGTGAACAGAAAAGTTTTGACTCATTTTCGGTCACTAACAAACTGTAATAAGTGAGGTATGCAATCAGTCCAAGACTAGGACGAGCATTAATCTAGAGGTGTATACTTTACTTTAAACAACTCCGTTTCAAAAGAATGTACAACAAAAATAATCATTAAATTTATATATTTGTTTGTACTAAAAATTAAATGTTAAAGTTAAATGATGATTGCATATGACTTTAGTAACTTCAATCCATTTAAACAGAATTCATTAAACCTCATTGAATATCATCGGACTTCATCAAACTACATGGATAGTTCATATTGTGACTTTATGGGACTTCATTAGGTTTTCATATAACATTTCCAATTACGGGCATTGGAAATTACATAATAATAATAATATATATATATATATATATTTATTTATTTGGGCATTGTTGAATCAACAACCGTAGTAGTCCGTAAAACTTAGGAAAAATGCAAAATTGCACCAAAATTAACTAAAAGTATATTAAAGTTTTTTTTATTCAATAAATGTTACTGCAGTTCTATTACATATAGTGAATTAATCGATTATTTTCCAATCGATGTTTGATTTTCATATTGCAACACCAATTCACTTTTTGTCAATACAAACCACAATGATACAGACAATGTTTTAATTAATCTTTCATTCATTACTTTTTCATTTTACATGTAGAAATTAATTTATTCACTTGACTTTGGCAGAATTGTGTGAAATGCGCAGATATACCATTAATAAAAGAAGAATGAAATTGACAAAATTGAATTGTAAATGACAATTTAATATGGGATATCTACTAAAACAATCCGCATATGTGTATTTTTTTGTAATATTAAACTGTAATAGAAAGTGAAACATTATACTTAAAAATATTATTTACAAAATTAATTTTATAAAATAATTCATACCATGTATTGGCTACGCACGTGAAATTGGCAGAATTATGCGAAAGCCCTTAATAAAAGAAGAAGTTTTCGATTGAAAATAAATATTCATACGTATCAATAACATAGTGAAGAAGATAAACGATAGTCGACTCAAAGTAGACATTTAAGAGAGAATTATTGATGATGAAATGAATCCAATATCTTTCGAAATCTGGCTATACCTACATCTGTACACCGAATCAAGCAAGGCAACATAATATATACTGTGGAAAATCTATACAAGATTAAATTTAAAACAATGTTTGTTATAGAAACACATTAGAAATGTCATTATTGACTAGATATTATAAGTAAGATCAGAGAAAATTATTAATGATTTGACATATCTTTCACATTAAGTTGTATACAAATTAAATTCTTGTAGTTGCATAGATCTGCTCGCAGCTGTCATCCATGCTGACTATGAGCAAATTAAGTATAAGTTTCAACTGATATAAAAGAACTTACACATATAAATTCCTGCAAAATTGAACAAGAGCTCCTGATTCACAGGCTTATTTTTTTTGTTCTAAATTGTAACCCATCATAGTGTATGACAGTTTTCTTTGGGTTAAAATTGGTGGTTGGTTTTAACTTTGTGTCAAAAACAGTAGAATATGTATTTTTCATGTAGGTAATACTAATTAGGCTGAACATTTATCTTGCACGCAACTTAATATATGGTTACAGAAAGCCTCATGTTATTTAAAATGTTACATAAAACTGAGCTGCGGCGAAGCTCAATTTTATGTAATTTTTTTAAATTAAAAATAATTCAGAATAAAATTTTATAAACAGTATATTTACCTGTTTAACAATCCTTTAAACATGATGATGATATGATGTAATAATCCTTTATAATATTATAATTTCCAAATAAAAAAGTGAGTAATACTTATGTCAGAAAAAAAATATTCATAATTATAATTTTTTAATTAAGATTATTATTTGATCACTAGTGGACGCCCGCGACTTCGTCCGCGTGGAAGTCGGTATCCCGTGGGAGTGAGAAGTTTTCCCAGTAAAAAGTACCCTATGTGTTATTCTGATGTATAACCTATATTGCTGTAAAGTTTTATCCAAATCCGTCCAGTAGTTTTTTCGTGAAAGAGTAACAAACATCCATACATCCATACTTACAAACTTTCGCCTTTATAATATTAATAGGATATTTTCTTTTTAATGTTATTGATAAAATTTACACCCCTGTCTTCATAAATTGTTATCTCTCTCTCCATCCCATGATTGCCTGGAAGAAATCACTTTAAGCGATAAGGCCGCCAATTGTTACATTATTTTGTTAAAACTGTTTTAAATTTGTATACCTATATAACTTGTGTAATGTTAACAATAAAGAATTTTCTAATCTATTCTCTATAATGGTATTATTAATATAGTTTTGGTGAACTTTCTAAACATAAATGAGCATATGCTCACTAGTAATGCAAGTAATTCTTAAATTCACAAAACCTGCTGGTTATCTGGTAGTTAAATTGGTTTTAGCAGACGCCCAGACTGAGTGTTTATGGGTTTAAATCCCACCTCAAGCACTAATTGCTTGAAGTGGGTTTTTTAATCATTTTCTTTTAAGATATAGTATTGCAAATGCAAAAGTGATCAGAAAAAATAATGATAAATTAATTAATTTGTAAACAAGGACTTTTTCAGTGACATTTTTATTGGAATTCCACACATACTTGTAAATACACACTTTTAAGTTTTCCTGTAAAAATACTACAATAGTTTACTTTTTTCAATACAAAATATTCAAAAATTCATGTTTTTATAATCATAGATAAGTTTACTTAAAGCCAAAAGCCCCTTCAATCTAATAATGATTTTTACGATGCTCTTATTTACACTGATTATTTATAATTATGTAAAGTTTTAACAGAAATATAATTTTTCAATTTTAATTTACATTACATGCCTCAACTAGGTGGACCTTATTTATGTTAAGAATCTACATAATATGAATTCAACATTTCAAATTCATAGAGGAATGAAAACCTATTAATTTATCTATAAAATGTAAGTTTTTAATAAAAAATAATAATTTAAGATTAATAATCAAGATATCATTTATTTTATTTTTAAAGTCTGCCAACATTTTTACATATCAATAAGCAACCACAAAATTACAGAACTATCTATAACAAATAGATGAAATGGTGTACATAAAAAGTTTATTAAACATATGCATGCACTATCACACTTGTTTATCTAGCTCCATAGTTTTCGATTTCATTTTTTTTCTAATCATTTTACATAATTTATATCACATGGATTGCTATGTTCTCATGAGGTAGATGAGGAATCTGGTGTTTGATACCCAGATTTTGTATATTTACTTCAGACGTCAGGGTGCTCATTGAAAGTATCCTTGTATCTTTGTAAAATAAATAATATTGGATAGAAAATTTTATATGCTTGAAGTGCTAGACAGTTAAAGATTAGAATTTTTTGGTACCTTAATATAAGGTATTTTTATAAATAATTAATGATAAAGCAAACATATCAATGGATTTACACAACTTATTATGTTCTTTACAGTCTATTGATAACTCACTCACAAACTCTTAAAATGTAGGAATTAAAAGTCACAGTGGATTGGAGTATTTAATATATTTCACGTTGTAAATACATAAAAGTCAGATGAGAGTAAAGAAGAGAGTGACATAAAAACAATAAACAGTGTATAAAATACTAATTCAAAAAGGTATACGAAAAGATGCCAGTGTCTGATTAATATAGAAAAAGGTTTTATCTACACCTCCCCGTAATCAGGACACTTATGTACACCCTTTATATAAACACACTGTATGTACAAAAACACTATAATATCAAAAGTACCTTAACATGATGCCCTAACCTAATTAACCTAATAACACTAAACTAATCCTAAATTAGTTAGGCACATATAGTGTCTCAGCTTAGGCAGTGGCTTTGTGAGAATGTCTGCTGTTTGGTGAGCTGATGGTATGAATGACACATTGACTTGTTTAGTGGATATAGACTCACAAACAAAATGATGTCTAATATCAATATGTTTTGTGCGGGCGTGATGCGTGTTGTTTTTTGTTAATTTGATGGCACTTTGATTGTCACAATTAATGGTGATGGGTGACGAAAAGCTAAAGATGTCGCTTAGTAATGAGCGAATGTAGATGGCTTCCTTACAGGCTTCACTTAGAGCCATGTACTCAGCTTCTGTTGTTGATGTTGCAACGGTTCTCTGTTTACGTGATTCCCATGACACTGCTGAACCACACATTTGGAAAACATATCCTGTATAGGATCGTCTGTCCACCAGATTACCACCATGATCGGCATCAGCAAATCCTATTAGATCACCACTATTGTTATAGATCAGTTTCCTATTTTTTATAGCCTTCAGGTACCGATGAACACGTTTCGCAGCTCTCCAATGTACCGAGATAAAACTTCTTCTATACAAACACTACTTTGCCGAAGTTACTTTTGTAGGGCAAAATGTTTTAAATTATCAATTCTGAAGATGGATCAAGGTATTTTATTTCACTCAGCAATTGGGGGTACCTAATTGCACCTCTTAAAATTTTAAATAATATAAATTGTTTCACATCTATCATTAAACGCTAACTATCGATCGTCAAAAAGTAGAAATTTGCAACTTTTTAGAAATCGTTAATTTTGACAGATGAAACGTTCGGATTTAGTAAGGTTTCAGTAGCGTTTCGATCCAACGAAGTGTCAAAATTTTAGTGGAATAAGGGCCGACGATCGACTTAAGTATATGGACGTAGTTATGCAAACCAGCCACATGATGTCAGTTTTGAGAAAAATGGGTTTCTTGTTTTTAGTAATAATTGTTTGTAGAATATATTTTATTTTATTTATTTATCAAGAAATTTTGTGAATTTACAACATTTGAGTTTAATTGCAACACTTTTAGGCTTCTCTGCACATAATTCTATTTTGACAGATTTGTGGGTTGGTTCCGGTTTGCATAACTACATCTGTACAGTTCTATGTTCGATTGAGCGAGTAGAATACCGTTTACAGTTTCTGTTGATCGATAGTTAGCTAAACTAAAATAGAACCGGAACTGTATCGTTTGACGCCATTTTGACACAGAGTAGAATAGGAAAACCACTAAAAGTTGTAGTTTCGTTCGGTTTCGTTCCGTTTTCGATTCGATTTAAACAAAATTTATTTAGTAGAATTGGCCCCCAGTTTCATAAAGAGGAAGCGACGACCGATCACAATACAACAATGCCACGACGTATTCGTATTTGACTTTATAAATAGTGCAAGCAGTCGGTAATCACGAGGTGTGCAGGACGACCTGCTAAATATTTAGCCTGACCATGTCCGCTGCGCCGTCATATTATTCATTATAATTACAGTCATCCATTAGTTAATAGAGCACTTTGGTAATTATTAATAATAGTAGAAAAGTTGGAATGGTAATGATGCGTAAGCAATGTACTATAATTTGTTAACTAGTGAATGTAGTTGATGGTAAATTAATAATTTTGTTAATTATTTCTGAGTAATACCAAAGAATTTGCGAAATATTTGCGCAATAGCAACAAAGTCGATTATTTTCTCTTTAATTACTATGTAATATTTTTATTAGAAATCACATGTTACTGTAATTTGTAATTTAGTATGAATCACTGAGGTCTGAAATAAAGATTTATTATTATTATTTCTAGATACCGTTATATACATACTGTATTTAATGTCTTCAGTCCAAAAATGACAAATTAATAAACTTACAATTGATATCATTGCCTATTAACTTACTACTTAGATTATTTAAAACTATAAAAATTACATGGGAGCTTTGTGTATCAAGTGGGGTAGAAACCCCGACTTTGGCTACTGCCACCCTTTTTACCTATTTAGCACTTTACGGCGTTCTAACCTTAGAGATAAGGCTCCGAAGTATAGCCAAATATACCTACCACTTCACTACTGATACCGTATACACAGTTGTGGTGTGACAAGAGTTCTTTGTAGCTCTTAAAATAGTCAAAAACAAATGGCCTAAATCGGGTCTAAATGTCAATATTACTATGCCATTATTGAAAAAACAATCTCGATTGGCAATAATGAGGCCTGTGAGTGCCATGGATAAAATTTACAAATCGGTTTTCTGTATAGAGGGTATGAGTATACCTCTCTATGTTCTGTGGAGTATACCCAAGAATTTATGTATAGTCTCGTACGTACTGGCAAATCATATTTACTAGATTTTTTTTTAAAGGAGGTAGAAACATTCTGCACGTTTTAAAAATTAGTCATCCAAAATATGATTAACTTTACACAGTAAAGTAACCAACAGCTTATGTCAACATTACTGTTGTATCGATTATGACGCAAAGCCGGTCGATTCATCATCACAGGTTTTCTCGAACATGATATTTATCTTTTATCAAATGTCTTGCTTGCCTATCTTTTCTGTTTATGAATCTTTTTTATATCTAAGTTATGTACCTATGCCATCAAAACTATGCACATAAATTACACATCATTTTAATAAAAAAATAAATACTGGCGCATGGAAACACATAAATTTGTATGGACTTATAGTTACAGATACCGGTAATCAATTTCGGAAATAAAGAAATTACCTTATCACTTCAAGGATGAAAGACCACATACCTACATTTAATTGAACAAATTCTGGAACTTCTAATATCTAACGTCAATTATGTGCTTAAATATTATCCTTATTCATTCTATCCTATTAGGAAATAAAATCGGAAATTTACGCAATGAAGTACACAGTTAAAATTATTAATGCGGATAAAACGTTTGACTAAGGAACTGATGCGTCATGCATAAATAAATAAAACCGGTAAATCCATACAACTACACCGAATTACCATAGATGCTATGACATCACGAATACTATCATAGTGATAACAACCGCGAAGTTACGACATCATCTCGCTAATTCAGTGGGCCGACCTCACGTAGTTCTCGCTTGCGTCCTAGTGACCCTTCGGTCGGCGCACCTGCTAATTTCTAGATATAAGAGCATTTTGTACTTACACTGTTGGTACATATTCCTCTGGGAATTCGTTCTTAGTGTACACGTACAAGAGGCAGGTCTTGCCAACCATACCATCGCCGACCACCGTGATCTTTATAGTTTTCTTCGTACCCATGTTTCAAGCAGGTACATCCGATAAAATAACACAATCCAATAAATAATAACTGTGTATTTAATATTTGAACAACACTACACCCACTCTATTAAACAAAAAATAAATTCTTAAGACAATCGAGTCCTTGGCGATGTTTATCAGTGATGTAAGATATTATCAATCTCGTTCGAAAACTCGCGATAAACTGGCAGTTTGAATTGTAGTGACGCGTGCGCACACAACGAGCTAACAACGACGACTGAGTGCAGAATGATTCAGTAAGGGCATAGTAGAGACAAAGCTTGATTAGTTGCTAATAGTTGCGGTAATGTTCCTCGTATCATTATGCTCAGAGCTTCCCAACCTGTGGTCCGCGCACCCCTGGGGGTTTTGCATGATCCTTAGCACGGCAAATGCGCACCTACCGATATACAACTTAATAGTTATACTATCGTATTTTTATATGAAAAAACAACACTTCAACAAATGTTGACACATTTTTCAAAAGTTTTCTGTTCTTTTATTAAAGGGGATGTTGATCTAGCGCTTCATTTCTTAGGGTGGAGGTGAGACGAATTTACTAGAAATTTCGACGCTACCCTAAAACATTTGCACGTACGTGTTATCTTTACCGAATGCTTTTCTTTATTTCACAAATTTCCACTTCAAGATTACGGAGTAACGTTCATAGGGAGGTGAGTGCAAAACTTGAAAAGAAAAAAACTGTAAATCAAAATTTTTGTTTACATTTGTTCCCAATAAACTAGCGTTTAGTTTAACTGAATTGCTACGTGAAGCAAATAAAGGGTGAACTAGGTGGATTAGGTATTTGGATTGAGTATTAAGTAGATAATACTAGGAATATGTGAACCCAGTAACTATCTTTACTTATTATAATTTAACTAGGGATTATATCATTTTTGCATTCACAATGCTATACTGAAAAAAATACTTAAAAAATCCAATTCGTCCCTGGCACTTTGAAATAGGACTCGAACTCATTACCTTTTGCAATCCGGACGACTGCTCTATTCTACCCAGTCACTCAGCTCACTCTACTCAGCTACCCAGGACCTAATAGGACTGATGAATTTTCAAGCACTTAATTATTTTCATCAAGGCAATCCACCGAAACAGCCGAAATAAATATTTAAACTTTCGATAAAGATGAAAACTTGTTCTTATTATTTATTTATCAATTCTGCATTCACAATGCTATACAGAATAATATAGCCAACGACAAAGTGGATTTTTTAAGCATTTTAATTAAGACCAAGCTAATGGTTCGTTGACCTGGAAAGTTTAGAAAACGCTGCCCTATAATGCGATATAATGCTTCCACAATTTATTCTGCGAGCGTACTACAAACGATCCCTGCTAAAGCAAAACAGCGTCACCCAGACATGAACTATTTCAATAATTTTACTAAAGGAAGTTAGATAACACTCATTACATTCTGATTTCATAGCTAAATAAATCGTTATATGAAATATAAGAGGCTATGTTTAAAAATAAACTGACATTATAGATAAACCAAATGTTTATTGATTTAAGTCACAATATTATGCATTTTAGTGGTTTTCAATTGTTTAATATAACTACAAACAATGATAAGGCACATAGTTATAGTCAAGTTTTGATCAAAAGCAGTTGGTATTCTTATTTTACCTAATATACCTAATATTAAACTTATAAATACTATGAACTTATAAAACTAACATAGATCGCAGTCGTTAATCACAGTACATTTTCCATTAAAAGCGAAACTTAAATTATGTTACCATTAATTCGACAAGGTAGTAATTCTGTTGCACAAAGTAGTTTAAATTTATACGTAGTCCTATGAAACTACATCTTAATTATTTTGAATATAATTAAGACATCAGAAGTTACATATTTCTTTGTTTATGAAATGATTATGTACCTAATTAAGTTAAAACAAATCCAAATTAAAGTTAAGGTTTTTTTGTTAAAGTTAATATGTTAAATTTAGAGAGTAGTACAACAGAATTGGCAGCAATATGTGTATTAATTAATAGATGCGTTTACATTATTAATCAATATAAGACACAGGAACAGCAAAAGTAATAGACAGTTGTACAAATATAAATCATTATGAAATTAAGAGCATCGACTTCCTGATCCTTATTCAATAGATTTGGCTAATCTTTATTAGAGATTACTATATGAACTAATCGCAAAAATTGAACTGACTTTTCTGAATGGAAGAGATAGAATATGAGTTGACTACCGCGGCTGTTTCAAAATAAAACGCTGAATATGCCATTTTTATAAAAAACTCTTTTTATGAAAAAGCTCTAGATGTCTTCTATGAAACTACACGAACCAAATTTCTTTTCAAAAATATGTTTACTTTAGAAAAGATAACCAAGAACAATTACGCAGAGTTTGCTATGGAGAAAATATAACCAACTTAATGTATGGTACTAAAATTGACGGGTGTAAAATTTTCAAGTGGCGTTTTCAGTGTTTTATTTTGGAACAGCCGAGTGTTGATAGCATATTAATAGAGACATGCAAATGCGTACAATACATATTGCAAAAAATATATATATTACGAAACCTTCTGTGCTTCCAGTTTCAAATTAGCATACAAATGACATTTATGTTTTTTTTTATATAAAATATCAATATTTTTTATTTGAAAACCAAGATTATTATTAAGACATGTCATTATTTAATGGTTAAAGCAAAATAATTATTTCTAATAATGATACAATTAAGTGATATCATAGTATAACATTAATTGAGGTTCAAGAATTTCGAGAAAGCGTGTCACTTTTGGAGCTTTCAAAGAAACTTCTATAAAGGGTCCCTAAAAAGAGATATCGTAATTTTCACACATCCTTCACAAATGTTATTTATATACATGTTACGTATGACTTTCCATACTTTACACTACTCTGCCGACACCATTATCTTACCTCCATACTAGGTTCCGAGCAGGGTTGCCAATAAATAGCAAGGGATATATATAATTATCTATACTGATTGCTATTTATAATAACTATTGTTAGTTTGAATATTTAGTCTCAGATAGAAAATTAATCAATTCGATTTGACGCTGACAACCTTAGCCCGAAGTAGCATCTTACTTACTTACTAGAAATTGCGAATTTAAAAGATCAAATATTTAATAGAACCACTGGCAGCTTAAAAGTCGCAGCTTTTTATATGGGTGGTATATATCCGATAAAAATCAAATATCGGATATTTATTATAAATACATATAGGATTTTTGCGATCGCTGGTTCTGAGTGATGTGTACTGCCAGTCAGAATTATCTAAGGCTGGGCGTAAAGAGAAAACTGGACTAAATCAACGCGCCCGTCAATGAGATACTGATATAAGAATAGAATGTGACGTGTTGCGCGTCAAAATTATTCGTAAAATTATTACGAATATTGCAATCTTTATCCGTAAATCCCTCGGCTATAAAGTATAATTTTCAAGTTTCCCTATAAAAAAAGAGACGGACTCGCGAGCATACGGTTTCCACGTAAATATTAAAAAAGAACCGGATGATTTTTTTTATGTTTCATTAAGGAATCTCGAAATTTGGTATACGAATAATTCTAAACCTGAATTAACATATAGGCTACTTTAATTAAAAACTTTATATGTTTGGCACCATATTGTATGTTTTATTGTACGGTTCTATTATTGTTTACGCTTATTAGAATACATATTAGAGCGAGGCTAATATATGTTAGAACGTTTTCGGTTGTTGTGTTTCCTGAGTGGTGTCATCTATGTAAAAGGCAAGTGTAAACCATGTACCAAGTGAACTTAATACAACTGTGATTGAATTCAATTAATGCTCTTATAGTCAAACTACAGCCTGACAAGCTTTTGCGCCTGGATTTTACATCCATGATACTTCTTCCTTACATACAATTTTATAACATAGGTACATACATTCTACTCAAACTATAATACCAACAATCATTTAACCACACAAACTTAACATGAACAGTGTACACTTTAATTTATTAACGATTTGGCAACACGAAAATACTGAAACGGGTAACAAAAGCCATCCTACCAACTAACCCATTGAAAACCTAAGGTTTCCTATTTTCCAAGTCGACTCTGTCAAGTCCACCGAGTATAATTTCCTCTTTGAGAGCTAACACTTCTCGTAGCAGCTCCCGGTTGTTGTTTTGGAGCTGTGAAATGACCGCCACATGCTTTCGGTCCCTCTCCTTCAGACGCAATAGTGTTGAATCACATACTTCGCTGCAAGACACATGAATGTCTGAAATACAATGAAAAAATATTATCAATCACTACATAGTAATTAAACAAAGTCGCTTTCTCTGTCCCTATATCCCTATGTATGCTTAAATCTTTAAAACTACGCAATGGATTATGATGCGGTTTTTCTTTCATACATAGGGTATTTCAAAAGGAAATCAAATCAAACTAAGGGCAAAGTAACTTCTTTTTTTTTTTTTTTGTTAACGCAGGAGAAATGCACCTTAAGCCTCAAACCAGGGCTCCTCTTCCACCCCGCCCTGAGAAGGGCAGGTTAACGTGGAAGCCCTACCTGGTAAAACCCGCTGCGGTTCACCTCACGCGAAATAAGGAGGAACCCGGTATCCTGCAAGGAGGGCCCGGTTAGGGTAAAGTAACTTAAGTAAGAACTATCGAGACTGCCTCCCCCATTATTATAAGAAATATAAAATATTCATTCTCTCCAATATGATTAATGGGTAAAAAAGAGAAATTCAGATACTAGAAAAATACTAAATACGTTTTTTGCTTAAATTTAACAAAAAATATTTAAATTGAGATGTACAAAAGTGTAACGTCGAGCGACATGTTAACTCAATGTATTGACGTGATTTATTGATTACGCAAAAATGTGTTAATATTGTTTAATAATAATCTACCCGACGGCAGACAACCAAAAATTAGTCATCAACCCTAATTGCAAATGACATTAAAAAAGAACACATGGAAATAATAGCATACCCATGGCGAATTTTGACTTTTGATTGCACAATTGTAGGACAAGCCTATCATACAAATATTTCTATTTAAACAATTGTAATTTTGTATAATTATCCCATTATAAACTGAACTGTTAATGTCGTAATTATCATTGCGAAATTTGCAACCAGAATTTTTGCTAATACCATTCATAGTTAATTGGGTTGCCTATTAAACAATGACCTTTTAACTAATGACAAATATATCTAAGTAATTATAACAACAACTTTCTAATTTTAATGAGTTATTAGAATAAGCATTAATGCAAATCACATTTGGTATAGATAAAAATGCGATTTATAAATGACACTTGAAATGAGTCAACATTCTTAATGGGTAAAAATATTTTTCCAGAAGTATCCGAACATACAGAATTTAACTTTAGTTTTTTAATAGTAACTAGAGGACCTGGTGTACTTTATATCATCTCTCACTTTCAAAATCAAAATAAGCTGCCATTCCAGATTTTTAGTGAAACAAACGAACAGCAATGAGGAAGTATTTAAAAAAAACGAAAGTCCTAAAAAAGCACCTCCACTAGATGGCGACTCTAGCAAAAGTTGATTTATACAGGAAACAAATTGACTAAAGACAGTCATTTACGTTCCTTTTAACTAACTTATTAAACAACTGAAATTTGAAAAGTTCGTAACTTAGATATCAATACAAATACGAAAAAGTACAAATAGAATACGAGTTGTTTATTGAGTTTTGAAAACTAGTTTACTTTTAAACATGAAAGAAACCCGGAAGGGTTGTCATGGAGAAATCAAGAACGTACTGTTGCAAGATCTAGTTTGATTTCAGGAACTAATGTTTTTTTTTAAATTATTCCTCATTGATTTTTATAAACATGTAGATGGATTTCAAGTACCTAGCTAATTTTATTTTTCTGTATAATACATATAACTCAAAAGGCCAAGTATAGGATTAGAGAAATAAATAATCCCTAGATTAGCATTTGCCAAATTATGGGTTGGAAATATTGAATATGTGCCCTATTAGGCGATTTACCACTGCATAAGACATATATTTATACCCTCCTTTTCTTTAAGGCAGTTTAAGGGATCCACCTCATGATCTCAAAATCAGAAACACTGCACTAGATTAATTAAAAAGATTAAAAAAGACAATTTCAGTTTAACATTGACATTTATAATGATACTTACGTGATTTATTTCTTAACCGGTCAAGTAATTTGTCATTGTCCTGCTTTAGTCTTGCAATTTCATTTCGTAAACTTTTTTCTAATGCATCTTTTTGTTTTGTAACTTTGAAAAGTTTTGCTTTTGTTTCAGTCAATGTTTGAAGGAATCCTTCAGATTGGTCAGAGACTCTTTGAGCTGATGCCACACAAGCTCTTGCTTCATTTTTCTCCACTGTCAATTTTTCTTTAAATTTGCCAAGCATACCCTGTTAAAAGAAGAATGTGATTGACACTAAAACTAACTTAGATACTTTGACTTTTATGGTATGATACTAGACAAGGTGTTCAGAATAAAATTTTGCTCTAACACAAGCAATTTTTTATGACTGAAGTTTGTCTTGCAATACACATGGAAGCCATTGGAGATATATAAAAGTCGCATAACTTACATTGAGATGTTTATTATTGTGTTCTAGGACATGATTTTGCTCTGATAACATATCAACTTTCTCCTTCAAATTTTTATGATAATGCAACAAAGTCCATGTTGAATTTATAAGTTTTACCAGCGCTTCAGGTGTTAAAGTACTACTATTGTAGTCTACATATGGATTAAACAAATAGTTTATGTTGAAAATTCCCAGTTCCTGCAAAAATCAACTGTTGTAGATTTTTTAGCAACAAATTTATTAAACAAAAACATGTGTACATTCGAGGGAGCCGGTAGTATAAAACGATTACCACTTGAACTCTATCAATGAAATCTGTTCGAAGGATTGTACAAGTAGATTATCGCGAACTTCAAATAATGATTAAGTTTTTACCTCATTTAAACCAATTAAGCATTCTTTTATGTTATTTAGAGTACATGGTTCATACACGGTTGCCCTTTTGTGTTTATAGTTTTGTAAAAGTTCTCTAACTTCTTCGTCTAAGATTTCAAATTCACTGGAACCGGCCATGTCAATTTTTCACTAATGTTAGCAGTTAGTAATGAAGATCAAAACATTCATTAATGAAAATGTTAAATAAAGTGTATTTGAAACTTCTAAAAAATAAAACAAATTTTGAAATTGGAATTCAAATTTCGAACAAAATAATGTTTTGAAAATTTAAAAAAAATCAAAGAAAACAAACATAACAAGCACTCGTGTCAAGCATGCAAACCACAGATCACAGATTATATAGCAATAAACATGTGCCTAACTGGCCTAACTGCAAATATGAACAGTGTTACCAGGTCATTTTTTTGCCTTACCCTAGACTTTGTCTCGGTTTACCCTAGATTAAGCATATTTTTGAAAAAAATACCCTAAACTAATTCCTATAAAAATCACCCACCTTTAGAGAGCTAGTTGACCTCCGGATTGACAACTCGCTTTTTATAGGCGATTAAAATTGTTTTCTTGCATTGCAAATTCCAAAGATTATATTTTATTTTAACCCCCCCTTCCCGTTGATGGTAAATGGTAAGGTTTAAGATTATAATCCTCCCCCCCCCCCACACACACATCAAAATCACGTTAATTTTTAGTACCTACAAAAAATCTTAATTTTTGACGCCGCTTTTCGGTTCTGTAATCGTTGCGTGTTAAAAATTTCGTGTTTCGATTGAGGTTCAGCTACAATTCAGTTGAAAATATTTAGCGCGATCGGGCTCACTCGTTGATGCCATTTTTCACAACTATAGAGTAAGTAAGAAACTACCTTTCACACCTTGTTCACACAAGCTTTCATAACAAACAACCACAGAGTACATACTCAACAAGCTCCAACCACATTTAGGCTACAGACAACAGACACAATCGAAAAAAAGACAGGTAAAAAAAATTAAATACTAATTACTACATTATTGTTGCATTCAAAAACACCAAACTGAGAGTTTTTATGTCTTTGGCAGTTGATTAAATAGTATGCTATTAAACGTTAAAGCTTTCAAGCTTTTACCTGTTATTACCCTAAAAAATACCCGCGGAAAATAAATTACCCCAAAAAATACCCTCGAAACATTCATACCCTGAAAATTACCCTGTAGAATCAATTTTTCTCTAAATCTAGGGTAAATTACCCTAAGTTGGCATCACTGAATATGAAACAAACCACAACAAACAGTCCAAGATGAAGTAAGCACAGACTAAGAAGGAGAACTACGTCGTATATGCAAAATTCAGTACGTACGATACGAGTACTTACTCAATATTTTATTTCGATACCAAGTAATTTGATAAAACATTAGTTCCCGAAATCAAACTAGATGTCGCTACAGTACGTTTTTGAAGTCCCATGACAATCTTTCCGGTTTTCTATCATGTTTAAAAGTAAATTAGTTTTCGAAACTTAATAAACAACTCATATTCTATTTGTACTTTTTCGTATTTCTATTGATATCGAAGTTTCGTACTTTTCCAATTTCAGTTTTTTAATATATTAATTAATCCTTTTAAGTTAAAAGGAACGGAAATTACTGTCGTTGGTCCAATATTTTCCGGCAAAAATCAACTTTTGGTAGAGTCACCATCTAAATTTATAATATTTGTATTGGTACTGCGCCATCTCGTTACTGGGTGTTGAAACTTCTTGCTGTCGATTGCTGTGACGATGCTAGTCTTCTCGCTATCGATTGTTGTGGCGATGTCAGTGAGATGAATTAGATGTTGCTACGTATCAGTCGCCACAGTGGCATTTAGTGTATACGCCCTCTTAAATTTAACCAGGTATTATTAACACCATTACCAACTAAATTTTATAAGAGTTTATTAAAGATTTCGATAGTGCAAGTGGTAGAAATCCAACCCGGTTGCATTTCTTTATTTGTCAATATTTTCTTATTCAAAGATTTTGCAATAATATAGTGAAATATTCTTCGAGTTCAAAACAATACGTAGAATCAAATTGTTATATTTTAAATGCTACCTAATAAATTCCGAGTAGACCAAACAATCTTTCCGATTTTTTGGATACGTTCCTAATTTTTAATAATGCAAATGGCCCACGGGAGTTCTAGCGGCGTTTAGTTTGTTTAAAATAGATTTATTACATTTAGAAAGGTTTATTGGTCAAAGTAAAACGTAAAATTGCTTTAGTATTATATTATAACAATAAATATATTTTATAATAAAGAAATTTGCAATCGTACCGTTGCCGTAACTTTGAAAAAGTTATAATAATATGTTAACTACATTACGAGGTTATTTTGAAGTTGAGACAGAGATGTCAAAGGTCTTTTATTTAATTACTCAAGTGGGTCAAGCTGTATTACTTAGTGTTATAATAAAACTGTTCTTTTAATATGTGAGTGCTTTATTAATACAACACTTAGGATACAAGAGCGAATTCAAAGAAAAAAAACTGAAACTTTAAATGTACAACGAACAACTCCGCGATATACCTTGAAAAGGTACGAACAGACGGACCTTTAGACGAGGAGACAAGGAAGTGGCGGTGCACGTCAGTTGAGGATCGGTTTCACACTACCGTTAAAATTCGACAGCGCCTCCAAACTCCAACGCGAGTGAGCAAATGTTAAAAAGAAGGATGGACGAACGAAATTTTTTGCTTTTTTAGTATAAATAAGTCATTGGTATTTGAAAAATAAATAAATACACAAATTTTACCAAAAATGCAACATTTATGTTTTATTTTGGTTATAAACCTCTTTTTACCGTAAACAGAGTATCAATTCTTCTTTAAAAATCTATAAAAATAACGATAAGGGTGAAGCACTTTAAAACTACTCAATACAAATAGGTATCGATACCCGTGACCGACATGGTATCGAGTAAAAATTATCGTTACCTTGGTGGTATCGTCGATCCCTAGTTAGTACACAGACCAAGGAGATACTTGGAGTATTTCTTCTTTTTCTTTTAATAATGGCTCATTTCCCAGTTCTGCCAATGTAAAGTATATAAATTAATTTTTACATGTAAAATGAAAAGAAAGATGGCTATGATAAGTAGTTTATTAAAAATGTTTGTGACACTGACACGATAGTCATCTTTTTAATCTTTCAATCTGTGTTCAATCTAAGGATAAAAAGAAACTATGCATACCTCAGAGTATTTTGTTTCGATACAATACCAAAAGATACTTTTGGATTCGAAATGAAATGAAATTTCATTTGAAATTTTATTCGACATTCGAGTTCGTCGATATTTTTGTTAAGTATCGATATTTGTTTCCCATTTCGGATGACAGATATATCAATGCGGAAGTTTAATTTCTGAAAAAACACCCGCTTGACCCCGCGAGTATGAGTGAGATGGACACCACATACATTGTATTTTACACCATATTGCTAATGAAACAAGAGTCGCTACAAATTTTAATCGCACGTTCAGTCATCTTTGGAAGTGGTAGTGGTGTCTTTTTATTTCTGCGCTTACGAATATTCACCATGCACCATATCAATTAAGGACCATGTTGGAATTGATTATACGGATGCGAACGCCTTCGTAATAAGGAAATATTAAAAAAAAGAAAGTACTAAAAAGCACCTCCACTAGATGGCGACTTTAGCAAAATTTGGTTTTTTCAGGAAACGAAACGAATAGACTAAAGACGTCATTTCGTTCCTTTTAATTAAAATATTAAAAAACAGAAATTTGAAAAGTTCGAAACTTAGATATCAACACAAATACGAAAAAGTACAAATAGAATATGAGTTGTTAATTGAGTTTTGAAAACTAATTAACTTTTAAACGTGAAAGAAAAAAGGAAGGGTTATCATGGAGAAATCAAGAACGTGCCGTAGCGACATCTAGTTTGATTTCCGGAACTAATATTTTTTTTAAATACTTCTTCATTGCGGCATAATGCTGAGACAAATGTGTTAATTTTCAATCAACAAAGTGCGAAAAACCGTCGATAGGCTAATCCGACCGTAATAATTGTTTTAAAAAATAGATCACATGAGAAATGAAATGTAGGATTGTTACTTAAAAACTAAATAAATTTAATGTTTCTAAATATTTAATTAACAAGTAGTATTACAACATATCAATGGCACTAAATAGAGAGCTAACACTTGGGGCTTTAATGATTCAGTGTTCATGTAATTGTTAGTATAATTGTATAGGTTATTTTGTACACTTATGGGGCATTTTATAACTTAATTCGAGTTAATAAGGGTATAAGTTGCAGATCACGTCGCACGGGCGCAGACCAAGTTCAGCCAAGGCACGCAACCAGTTGTGTCAACCGGCTCCGTGATCGCGACGTGTCACTTTTTCTTGGTACGATCGAAGAGTTTACTCTGTAAAATAAACATATTTGCAGTACGTCAAGCTTGTTTCTCTAAATATTTTGCAAAGTATCTAGCGCGTATGCAACATTGATACGTTGCGTTTACATCTTTGTGATGTTTTTATCTTTTTTTTTATCATATACATGTACTAATTTGGCATGTCGTCAGGGATAGTGTAAGTGTTAGTTACACGGTATATTTGCACTATTCTCGTGTCCGAGGATACCAATGATATAAAGTCGAAATAGGGTATGCCCGCCATATTCATCGCGTCATTCCAATTTATACAGAAAGTAGTATTAATACATTAAAATATGTTAACCTGACAAGATCAGCGCCATCTAGGGATTTAATATATAATAAAATTTAAGTTTAATCTGGTAGATGTTGCCGGAGCGACGTCACACCATGGCTATCATCAAACGATTTTGTGACTCAAAGACCAAATATGTATATAAATTTTAGTTTTTCATGCACAAAGAAATTCTCTCTGTCCGGCAGCCGTTTCAGTAATTATAGCTAATAAAAATTGATTTGTGTTTTAATATGCGAATTTAAATAAATATCTAATATATATAGAGGTCAACTATTTATTATAAGGATGTTTTTTTAACAAACATCACCGTATCCAATCTATGTGGAAAAGACTATAGTCTCACCTTGGCCAAATTGAGTCCGATCTCGCTGAGTCGCTTGTGTTGGTAGGTGAGGGGCTCATGAAGTTTCGCGTCGCCGCGTTTGTAGAAGTCGCTGTAGTCGAGGCGGAACGCGAGCGTTTGCAGCGAAACTTCCGTGTGCAACGCCAGCTTCAGGATCAGAGTGGTCACGTGACCTCTGCACAATCACAATGATTTATTAAAAATATTTTATACCATCACAATGATTGCTAAAACGAAATTGCTACCATATACTTATGTATGTACCACATATTTTTATGAGATTCCGATATTTTGGCGCTGTTGCAAGTTTATTATGCTGCGCATTATCGTCTACCTCAGCGAAGTACAGGGTTGCAAGTCGGTAAATGCATGCATACGGACCTCGATTGGCATACTTACACCACTCAACAACTGAGCTACGGTTTTCTAAGTCCCACCCATAGATCAGAGGTTCACAACCTAAGGGTAACTTCGTGGAAGGTAACAATGAAACAAATAATTAGGACCATTTTAAAAACAGAATAATGAAAGTGCAATAATTCTTGAATGTTTGGGGTCGGAAAAAGATACGTATTTTTTTTTTGCTAAAATACCATATGTACCAACCTGTATGTCCGCGCCCACACATTCAAATCAGCCTTACGGCTAGCTAAGAACTGATGGAAAATCTTTCTTTTCTCTTTGTCCTGAGCTTCGTCGGCAGCAGTGAACGCATACTCTCCTAAAAACAAATAATAAACCGTACAACTTTACACAGTACAAATTAACAAAGATTAAAATTAGTCAAACAAAAATTTTTGCCATTGGACATTTACCTCGCGCAACTCTCTCCGCTTTCATTTGTTCGATGCGCTCGCGCCGTTCTAGCTCAACATTTATTCCATTATGAAGAGTGGACTCGAAACTTCTTAACGCCAATGTTTCATTTAATACGTTGCCTAAATAAGACTGTAGTTCCTGAAAAATTTTGCTTATAAGTATAAAAGCGATGCAAGTATTTTATTTATATTCATTGAAGGATTTTTGTCAAATTTTCTGCTTTAGTCGAGTGTTGGGATGTTATGTATATGGAGGTGTCACACCTACATGGTATTACATGGCGTAATTTATTTATTCACGACCAATACATTTCTAATTTAAAACAAAAAGAAACGTAAAAACAATATATCATAGTCAAATCTTAAAACTGATTATATTAAACCAGCTGTCCCTCGGTTAAAAAGAGAGAAAATATTGCAGTACCCCACTGCATAATAATGTATAGTTGGTGCGAATAGAGATCATACCAAAACGATTCGATGGTTTGTTTATAACAGCAGACTTTACTAGAAAGAGAGACAAATAAGGTGCAGCTAGGGTTGCCAACTATATTGTTAAAAACAGTATTACATATACTCTTTTTACTAAATTTTACTGTTGAACAAATTTAAATTATTCATTAGTAAAATATTATTAATATTCTTCTCAGACCTAAATATACTTTATTTCTTGTAAAAAAAGACAGAAACCATAATTGCAGGGTATCTTCTCTCTCTTTATAACGTACTTTCTCGGACGTACGTTTCCGCATACAGGTGCTGGTAATACCTGTGTGGTGTGATGAATCATCGCGTGTATGGAGTGTCGATCTAGCGCGTTGTGATGTAACCGCAGTAATGTATCCAGGTCGTGTCTATCAGCCGCAGCCGCTAATAGTTCAGCCCACGCGGGCTCCGCCCCCACGCAACTAGCCTCCTGTAAGGCGCTGCATAAACGTAGAGCCTCCGCACGTAAACATGACACCCGTCGCATCAGACCCCACACCTCTATAGTAACACGTATAATTACTACTGATAAATTAACTGCATGTAGGCCTATTCTTTTTCTCCGAAAACGAAATTTCGTCCATTTTCCAAATGCTAATACTACAAAGAAACGCATTTTTCGATAATTAACGATGCAACGGATGTAGGAGCTGACACTTGACACTGAATATTCCTACGAAGGCAAATAGAATAGGCCCTCAGGAGTCATGTTAATTTGTACGAGTTAATACAATGGTTCCATCATACCTATGCAAAACAAAAATTTAAATTACAAAGTATTTTTTTGACATTTTCAAGACCCCAGCACCTCTAGTAGCAAATACAAACGTGTTAGCTGTCATTAATTAAAAAAAAATATGTGGCCAAATTGCTTAAGGTGTATCTTACCGGGCATATATTTGAGACGCTTCTGCAGTATGGTATGCTCACGCCACGCGTCATGTAGCCCGTATTCTATACGTTTCACACGCCATAGTTGCGTGAACAGCGCGCGGTATCTAGCGGCGCACGTGGCCGGGAATAGCGTGCCTAGCGGTCCGTCCACGCGGTACTGGAGAGCGAACACATCCCATCCACAGTCGTCACGACCGTCGCCTATACCAAAGACGATGTATAGAGCAAAAAATGTCAATGAATGTTCTCAATTTGAAACTTTGTTCGAGCAATTCAATATTGATGGCATATTAAGTCAGGATTGTCGAGGAGACCATTCATAACTTTTTTGAGATATTCTTAGACTGCATCCACAGATTTTGGGAAAAATGTACGGTCAGCAAAGAATGCTAAAGTAATAAAAAAATATGCCACTTGAACCTATTTAATGTAGAAATCAAATTACTACGGGACCATTTACGGTATAGATACGCAAATGACAGAATTAAACAAAAACTTTTCCCATACATTTTGTGCTGACAAACAAAACACAAACACGATATATTCTTTACTGTCGAAAAGATTCGATTTGTATGATTTAAACGACAAACAATTTAATTTATTTTGATTTTATTTTCTGAATCGATTCAAATCGACAAGCAGTCCTAACTATTTGTCATTTAAAAGTCACCTGTGCTGTCACTTTGAATAATGACGTCATAGCTTTTGTTGTGTCATTTGCGCAATTTTTCAATAATAAAATCAACATAATTTAGGGATTAAAAAACCTTGAAATTCTCTCATTAAATATGAAAACAAAATTCTCTCATTAAATATGAAAACAAAGTTTGTACTTACAATTCGGATATAAGTTGACATGTAATCTAGCGAGTACATGTGGTGGTTCAAACTGTGCGTTAGTGGCCCGCACCGCCGCCTCCAGTGTGCACGTCAGGTTATGTACGTAAAGCGCCGTCGCTGGTTTATTCAATTCATCCCTATATAGAAGACCAAAATAATATACCAACATCTGTCTATAATGCCACTATCATCAATAGTGAGTGCGTAAACAACTTGTATGGCGATTTGTAGATCTTGATAGTTGCCGCTAAGGGCGCTGTGCCGATTGCCATACTGAAATTCTAACACGGTTACAATCTAAGGTGAACGTTAACGTAAACGTCAAAAAACTTACACTAAGCCCTATACTGATTACAGTTCGGATATGTAACATTTATTTGTTAACATTACATTTATTTACTACGGCCAAAAAAGATATTTCCTAAAAAAAACAAATTTAAATTTACGTAATGACTGACGTTAAAATCATGTTAATGCCACATAAATATCTTTCAAATTTAATTAAAGCGAATAAAAGTTGAATAAAAACGACATTTTAAGGGTTAGGATTACGAAATTAGGCATGGGTGTTTTTTATTCTACGATACATTAAACAAATATAATAGATTAATTTATTTTACTTTATATACGTTACAATGTCACGTGAAGCTATTTTACACGGACATATTTTACTATCTTACGCAGGATGTGGTAGATCCAACTTTTTTTGTTGTATAAAATTCTATACTACGTGTCGGATGTGGGACATTTAACATTTTTGACTAGATTAAATTCTGTACAATAAGTCGGATATGGTAGGTATGAAGTTTTTGATCGGAAAACTCAGTATATTTTGTTAATTTTCCTAGATACGTTGTTTCTTATAGCAAAAAATAATTAAAAAAAAATAATTTGCTATACAAAATTATAAATTTGAAATCTATTTTATTAATAAAATATGAGTGGCAAGTCTCTTTATAAAAGTTAATAACTTTGTAATATTACCTGTATCATTACATGCACCATTTTCAACAACTGCGTTGTTTGGTAAAATAAGGCTTAAAATCCTTGAGGATCTGCTTCTTTGCGGTCGACCGACATTATATCTTTTGAAATCAGAGTGTATGTAATGTTTCACAACAATTGGCGCTCCAAGTCAGTTATGTCCGATCAAAAGTGACTGTAAGTGAGTACCTTCATTTTTGTACGTACACAAGCGACATTACCGACATTAATAACGTAATTATCTTCGTAATTATAATAAAATCAACAATTATTTTTTTGTGATATTATTCCTTACACCCTTTTCAACGATTTTTGTTGTTTTTGTATAAAACCACAAAAAAACAAAAATCGTAGAAATGCAGATCCCACATTAATGATAGGGCGTGGCGATATATAGAAAGAGAAAGAGAGAGAGACAGAGTTACTTTTAAAAATGGATCGTTATATTATAAATTACTCAAATACAAATTTTCATTGCTATACATAAAGTATTTATAAAGGGCAAAGGCCTGCCCAACAGATGGCACCAAATAAGACAATTTATTTGTGTACGGTAGAAGAACAGTTATTTCTGTATAGAACAGTTCAGTTGTTGATCTTTCCATTTTAGTAGAATTGACACGCCACGTCATATGGTTCGCCAATCAAATGTTTTCTTTGTAAGAAATAGTCCTTTTTTTAAATTATTTAATGGGCCCTCTCCATGATCGGCGATGATAGGCAATCATCAAATGTTTTTCGGGATAAAATAGAGCCTATTTCCACCGCGTATGATGTAGCTTCCCGTAGGTGAAAGAATTATTAAAATCGGTCCAGTAGTTTCGTAGCCTAATCGATGCCAACAAACAAACAAGCAATCAAATCTTTCCTTTTTATAATATTATTATAGATTTGAGAGATAAGTTGTCAAATCAACCTACAAACAGGGCTGGGCAAAATACATGATTTGCTTTAATTGAAATATAAATTACAAAATACTTTATTGCAAGTAATTAAAATACGAAATACTAAATATATTTAAGTGAGGTATTTGAAATATAAAATACAAAATACTGTATTTAAGCTATTTTTAATTGAAATACAAATTACAAAATACATAATAAGAAATTGTGAATGAGTTATGTTTTTTTTTATGCATTCATAATGCTATGTTTAATATTTGAAAATTCCTAAAAGTATTAGAAAAGCTTTGACACCCTTTCACATACATCGGTCGCAGATCCTGCTGGTGTATATGTGAAAGGGTGTCGAATGTTTTCTTATTCTTTTAGGAATTTTCAAAACCAGAGTTTTCATATAAACTAGATTTTTGAATGATTTGTCCGACAAACATCCTCTTGCTGGAGAGTGAATAAAACCGGCTAAGGATAATAATCTTTCTACAATTCCCGATAAGTACAAACTTGTGTTGAATTGTATAAATTCATTTTTTATATTTGGATATCGCTTAAGAATTGAAAGCTCTTTGCTATTATCATTCAGGAAGGTGACCAACTCCATTTTAGATGTCTGTGGTTGATCACTGTCTCTGCTGTCAAAAACAATAAAATCATCATCTTCTTTACTCGTGGTGCTACTCCTGCTGCTTCCAGGCATTATTTCATGATCTTTGTATCTTGTCTTTAAGGCATGAATGGCAAGATTTTGAATTCTTTGCCTGTCATCTGTTGTCAAAATCAGCGGGTATATCTCAGAATTAATTTGGTTCACTCCATCGCCACCGTTATCCGGCATAGTGGAGAGGGATTTTGATCATTCATCGCGAAAAACTTTAATATTTTTTTATTTAGTATTCTACACAGAACATGAAACGAAGCTTTATTTATTCCGTTACGAACAAGTTACGATACGTTAGGACTTGACTACTATACCCAGTCTAATATTGTAATCTTTGGACTATACTTTGACGTTGACAAGTCATCTGTCATAGCGGACAGGTGCAGTGTTGCCAACTGTAATATCCGCATTACAATTATAACACTCTCGCGCCTTACACTCACGATCGCTTAATGAAGATTAAATGTATTTTGAAGCCTCAAGTATTTGAAATACTAATTACAAAATACGTCTGCGTCAGGTATTTGAAATACAAATTACAAATTACATTTTAAGGAAGTAATTGAAATAGAAATACCAAATACGTATTTGTATTTTAATTACATATTTCAATTACAAGTAATTTAAATACTGCCCAACCCTGCCTACAAATCAATCATTATCACTATAAGAATTTTCCCAATCACAGTGAAAAATACAAAGTAAAAAAAAAAACTTAATGTTTGTTATAGTCTTACTCAGGGGTTACCACATTTATTCCGTCTACTCTCCACTTTGAGCGTAAATGATTTTTTGTGCCCCCATTTTTCACCTACTTAAAACCACAATAACGACAAATTAAATTGACTATACATATAAGCAGAGATAAAACATTATAATAACCTCCGATCCACATTGAGCCAGCGTGGAAAGTCATGGCCCATCCTCCTAACCATCACTGCAGTGGAGATGTAATAGGGATGATGAAAATAATAACTGCACTCACTGTAAAAGGGTCATTAGATGGTGCACGAAGTCGCCTTGGGCCAACAACAGATAGCGCCTGTGCGCCGCCAGGTGGTCCAACAGATGATGGTGTGTAGTGAGCGCGGCCAGTAGCCGCTGAGAAGCCGCCGTGTGAGCGGCAGCGACGCCAGCGCGTAATCCCTCCGCCTCCCACCACGCGGCGCCCTCATTGACCGCAATACCTACCAACATATAACATACGTAATTACCAAGATAATTATTCTTTTTCGGAAAATCATCATATTATGATGATTAGGTTCGACCATGTCCCATGTTCGTTATTAGGATAATAAATATAATAGAATAAAATAATTAAAAATTAAGATTCTATTAATGTGAATTATCAATAACAAAAGTTTTTAAATTACATTTATTTATATTTCCAAGAATAAGGCATTTATTGTAATAATACTTATACATTTATAAGAGTAGCGTTTGAGACATATCTTTTATTTGGCTTGACTTGTTGAATGAGAAAAGAAAAGTTTACACCAAAGCGTAATTTTGAACAATTTATTATTATTGGAATTTAGAATGCAAATGAGAGGTTAATTAGTGTGGACCTATAGGAAGCTAATACGGAGCCGACATACACAATACAGAGTTGGGGAGGTTTTTTGATTGTACTTCTCATCGGCCAAAACACGTCGCGAACGGGTGGAAGGTAATAAAATGTGTAATGTACAAACACAATAATTAGATTTATAAGTATTTTTAATTCTTTTTCGTTTGTATTACCACATACTCTGTAAGCTTTGTCATCTTAAAAAGAAACTGACTTCCGATTTTTTTATTTCATTGTTTTCTGTTAAGTGGTGTAATAAAGAGTTTCATTTTCATATATTAATGATTAATAGGGATGACGACTGGGTAAAAAAATGCAATTCGTCAATTAGTCCGTCAGCCAGATAATGGAAAAATATTAGATATGTATTTTTTTTTTTACTTCAATTTAACAAGAAATAACTTCGATAACAGGCATTAAAGTTGAGGAGTGGTGGCTCGTTTCGTCAGTTTAGTAGAAAACATACCATAACGTGACTTCATGCGAAATTTCAACTCCATGTAACGCCGTAATTTTATGATTACGAAAAAAATACGTGTTTAATATTTTTTAACACTCTACCTGACGGACAAACAAACAAAAATTAGTCGTCATCCTTATTATTATTACTTACCAGTGTGCGACTTTAGTAAGTCCTGTAAGTGATGAGCGTGATCGCTGGGTCCGATGGGCTCGTCTGCGCATGCTTCCCGCATAAATACGACACTCTTGCCAGTCGCCAGTATCTGAGCCGCTTGTTCACGCGACATAAACGACGGCACCATCCATTCTCTAACATATTTTCATTTATTTATTTATGAACAACCAACAAAATATACACTACAATCATATTACAATAAGGCTTACAACAATAACTAACAATAGTGCTGCTTTAAAGTCACGACACGTACTTATAGCAAGTAAACAAAACATTTCAGATGATATTTAGATAAAATAGTTTTATTATTTATACATAATAAATATCAAACGATGTGTTTGAGTGTTTTACATACATTGATCAGGTTCTAAAATGAGTAGCTAATGATAATGTATTATAGGTATGGTATCTGAGACAATGGAGGTACCGCAAAATTTAACATGTCCTCAATGTATAAGTACTGCTTCGCTATGAAGGTCACGTGACCTTGACGTTAAGATTTCAGTTAGAACACTGTCGATAGATGGCCCAAGCATTTTTATTCGATGAATATTGCAATTATTTGACTGACGTTTATAACATTAAATTATTAGTATAAAAATTATAATTTTTTTATCTTTATGATTTAAACCCTTATGCTTTGATCCCAAACATCACCGTACTTATCCATGCTATGTGAAAAAGACTATAAGAGCTCAGCCAAACATTGTAAGAAAAAATGTGTTATCGGTAGTACCTCCGTACTCCGGAAGTCACCAAGCATGTTAAGCTATTGATTCTGGTTGCATTTGTAGTCTTCGACACTCATCAGTGTGCACTGAGCCCACATGGTTAGTTATGGCTTGTTTGCCCTATGAGATTCCATCCATAGGAAATCCCCAGGGCTTCAATTCTGCTACTGTCTAAGTAATAATCGCATCTTTATGAAGTCTTAGCAACTTGCACCATCATTATACTATCTGTACAATGTCTTCTTCACAAATCGATAGTGACAGGATATAATTAATATTTTGTGATCTAGTAACAAGAACTGTGTCATAAAAGGTTAAAGTTGAAATGCTATTGACTTTTCATAGTTACTATAATTATTTATATTAGGTTGATGATAATCTACGAATATTAATCTATAAAACCCTTCCAAAAAATAAAAATATAAATCGTGACTTACCTCACTCTGTATTTATCATGCCACATCCTGTCGATAGGAACACCAGACCTGCTCTCAATGAAGAATTCATTGAATGGATCATCTATTTCTCCTGGAAAGATAATAAACTGTTATTACTAAACCTATGAAATGTTTATATAAGCTCGATAATGTTTAAGTACATTAGGAGCTCAATGGTATAGATGCTAGCGCATTCGATCTGCAATAGGAATGATGACTTGATAAAAAAAACCATGTAATCCATCAGTCAGATAATAGGAAAATATTACATAGATGTATATTTTTTTTTGCTTCAATTTAACAAGAAATGGCTTAAATAATAGGCATTAAAGTAAAAGAGTGAGGGGCTCGCTACGTCACAACTATGTCGAAAATATACAAAGGTGTGACGTCATTTGGTCATTGGATGACCAAAAATTAATTAGCTCGAGCTCCTCACGCATCAGAAGGCTCGTTAAGTCGTTGTTGTCGGCTGCATCTGCAATCGTTAACACCCAGCATTCCGTTGTCCCTAAACTATTCTATGCGATAGTGAAGGCCTGTACAACAGCACGTACTATGTAAGTGCAAGTCCACATGACAAGAATTTATAACATACGATAAAACAGTCCATATGCAGTTTCATCAAACGTGGGTTGGCAGATATTATTTTAGTTCTCTTATCTAATCGTTCATAACCATCAAGCTGTACTTACCGTGCAATAGCCATCTGGTAAGCATCAATAGTAGCGGGTATGTGAGAGCTGTGAGTAATCGACGCGCTAGTGTTGCTACACGCTCGTCACCGTGACGCACAAAGCGGTGTATGCATGACGCTAGCTCACCACCTAATAATTTGTACATACGGTGTTGGTATTGTTGATAAAACGGTTAAATATTTCAATATGGAGCCTGGTAATTCAGCGTAACAGAAATTACGTCTGGGTAAAAAAAAAGACATTCTATTTAGTCCGTCGGTCAGATAATAGAAGAATATTACGATACGTATTTATTTTGCATTTTACAAGAAATGGCGTAGATAATAGGCATTAAAGTTGAGCAGTGGGGGCTCGCTACGTCATAGTCTTGCAGAAAATGTACAAAAGCATGACGTCAGGCTTTGTTTAAATTTCAACTCAATGTATCAACGATTACGCAAAAAAATAAAAAATACATATTTAATAATCTTCAACCTGACGATAAACAAACAAAGATGGTTTACACGTGATTACATAGATAAGTAGTAAGTAGATTTTTAACTTAATTTGAAGTGATTTAGTAAATAAGTAGCAAGTTAAAATAAGTTAACAAATGAAGTTAAAATTTAAGTTAACAAAAGTAAATAACTTATTTTAACTTGCTACTTATAACTTATTTGTGTGTTTACACATACTAATCACTGAAAATGAAGTTAAATATCTACTTACTACTTATCTACTTTAAATGTCATAGACAATGGCATTACCAGTATATTGCTTACATTGTCTATTGGAACATAACATACTAGTCTTCAATCGACTTTTAGGTACTGTAAACTGTTATTACTAAAACTGACCAAGACCAATCGATGTTAAATCCCATCTGTTCCTAATTAATTTCAATATAGATATCGGTTTGACTTTCACAGAGGATATAGCTAAAGTACTTTGTACAATCAGTGACGTCATCACTAAAAAGTAATTTCCAGTCGTACGATTAACGTTATGGTTAGCACTTGACAAATGCTACATTTTTAGATTTCGATTTTAGGAAGGAGTGCATTATAAAATCATTCAAGTGCGAATTTGACTTGCACACGGTTCCGTACCGGAAATGAGTAAAATACAATTGTTGTATTGGAGTCCCCATATATATTAATTCTATTCTGTTAGTATTTGTTGTTTAAGCGGCATCAGAAACACATCACATGCTAAACTGTCTAACTATCACGGTTCCTAAGATACAGCCTGGTGACAAACGCAGACAGACAGCCGGTCGGACGGCCGGAAGAGCGGACATCGAAGTCTTAGTGATAGGATCCCATTTTTTATACTTTGAGTATGGAACCTTAACAAATATAACGGTGGTATGAAATGAGTATATTAGTACATTTATAAGATTACCTTTTTTATGATGTACTGTGTGAGCAATGTTAGCAAGCCACGTAAGACGATGTAACGGCTCTTGCGCCCAAACACACACACGCCGTAACGTTCCACCATCACATGCCTAAAGACATTAGTTCGTGAATAAAATTATTATTTTAGTTTATCAACCGCGACCTAGGCACATACAGCTAAATAACTTTATATACCTATTTGATGAAAAGAATGGATTCTACAAATTGTAAAGTCTGGCAAAGAATAGATTATGTACTTAATGCACAGTTTAAGTAGAGAGAGTAAAATACAATCGGTTGACTACTACTTGTAAATTTGTTAAGCCAAATTAGGAAAACGTGTGATTTTTGTAACTGTCAAAATGAGTGAATCTAATTAAGAAAATCGATACATTTTAAAATTTGATTAGAAAAAAGGTAAAAATACAACGCAAGGCGCGAAAAAAAATTATCAGGCTTCACAGACCGTGGCGAAATCAGGGTTAACTCGTAACAAGCTGACGCTGTGTGTAGGGCGGGAATGGAAGGGCAATATTCATTATGAACTGTTACCATCGATTATAAACTCTACTGCGTACAATTAATAAGATTAAAGTAAGAAGTTAAGTGGCCAGAATTAAACAATAGAAGGGGTGTTGTTTTTCAACATTATAATGGTAGACCACACACACACATCTTTACTTTGGCTGGGAGGTATAATGACATTGCACCTTCAGATTTCCAACTTTTTCAGTCTGTTCTGAATTCTTTAGGCGGTGTCAGATTATCAACACGCAAAATTTCTATAGCAATGGGATCATGTCCCTACCTTCAAGATGGCAAAAAAATATCGAATAGAATGGTGTCTATATACTTTGGTTAAATATCAATAAACTTTATTAAAAATGTTATAAATTTTCATATAAAATGTGAATAAACTTTTCCCCAACCTATTAAAAAATGGTTTCGTTAGGATTTCAATTGTTATACTAAGTTATAATGTTAAAAAATGTAATATCAGAACTTATCAATATAAATTGACTCACTTGTGACTGAAGTAATGCAACACTCCTGTAATATTCTGTAAGTTCGTCCCTTATAGATGCAACCAGACCCTCTCCCATTAGTCCTATAAGGTAAAATAGGTTCAGCACATATAAAAAGGTACATTAAATGAAATCAAATTAAAAGAAAATATTTCTATATAATTTTTTTTTTTAGTAACAATGGGCTCTCTCTTGATCTCAATCTAGCATAAGGGCATAGAGGAGATCTGTGGTGAGACGAACATGCCCAGAAGAATCCTAATTTTTCCTGTAGAACAAAGACAGATCTTACTTTGCACATTGAAGTTGCATGTAATTATGAAATTTAGATGAAATTGGGAATATATTCTGTACCCTATTAAAAAAAACCTGTTTATTTGTACAGTAAGTTCTAACTAATGTTCATGGTGAATCTTCTTTGTGTTATGTCCTTGACTATATAATTAATAAAACACGCGTCTTTACTCTCGAACATATATTTAGTGACAAAACAAAAAAATAGACAAAAGGAGCAACGTTTATGCCTGAAAAATAGTTCTACCTACTTATAAAATTGCTAATGATAAGTACCCGCTGATACTTATCTATTATACATCACACTTTGCACAGAGCAGACCTACCAATTCATACAATACCCAATTGTAAAATTTAAGTTTATAATGAGTCTAGTTTCAATAACAATAAGGTGTAAAATACAAGGCATTAAGTGTCTTCCTTGCTCACATTTGACGGTGGTCAGGCACATTGATATTAGAACCATTGTTGTATCATATAGTAACATACAATATGATTATCTTACTGAATCTAAGTTGTAGAATTAAAAAACAATATTTGAGAAAAGGATCAGAGTAATATGGTTTGTTACTTACCTTGGGGCATAAGTCCTGAGTTAGGATCAATAAATTCTTTAAGTCTATCATGTAGGAAACCAAGATGAGCGATACGTGAATACATCATCTGCATTGGCCTTGATGCAGTGCAAATACCCTTAGTCTTTACACCTGTAGCGGCCAATACTGCATCACGAACACACTTGTTGTCATTTACTTGATCTACATATAAGTAATATTATTACAGTTTAATAAATAAAGTAATCAAAGCATACATTGGCAACTTTATATTATAGTAAAAACAAACCTTTTGCAGGTATCATCAAAGCCATATTGGTTTTGTTCGAAGATAGACTCTGATTCGACCCAGCATTTTTAGGAGCTCCCTGGCTGTCCCAACTTACTGAACCTATTGTACTTTTGCTTGAACTTGATGCTCCACCAGGAAAACCAATACTTGATATCTGTAAAAAATTACTCAATAGTGTAAAAAACTGTCAATTACTTTATATCATCATCTGATTGAAATTACAGTTTTAATATTTAGAAGTTTTTTTTTGGTTCCAGTACTTTTACATAAATATCTAATAAACATCCATTAAAATTGTCATTAGTTTATGCCAACAGTCATGCTACTAATACTAATGTGACATTCATTAGAGCTTAAAAGTGTTATCAAACTTTAATGGATGCTTGTGCAACTGACCATAAGACAGTTATTTTCAAGTGTATTTACAAGTTTTTGTTTCATTAAAGCAAAATTAATCAAAAGAGAAATCTTATAGAAAAATACTTAAATTATTATAAAGAAATTTGCAGCACTTAGGACTAATTTTCCTAAGTGCTGCAAATTTCCTTTAAAAATTAACATAGTGGTTATATAACTCACTGAAGCTAACTGAGGAATAGGAAAAAGTTGCTGAGTTGATTCAGATTGCTGTGGTGTCTCTGACAATGCTAAAAGCAAAGCCATAATTGAAACACGCTGTTTCAAAACAAACTGAAAAATAAACAAAATAATGTAAATAAAGGTTGATAAATCACTTTCATGGTATTAATAGAGCAACAACTATGACTTACAGAGCTTTTCAATTTTGTATAACACTCATTAAATTTATCAACATCCCTTGTAGACATAGTTGTCAATCTAGATTGAATTTTCTGACAAAGCAGCCTCTCATCAAGGTTAGTCCGAGATTTTTCACTGGTTGATGATAAATATGATACTGCCAATTCATACGCACCATCTGTAAAGTTAGTTATACAAGGTATATAACAAATAAAATGTTTATTTACCTAAGTTAGAGAATCAAAATGAGTCTATGAAATTTAAATAATTATGACTTTTAAGATCGGATAGCCCTACAATATATTGTGATAAGTCGTAAAACTCTATAATATATACCTTTTTTAAACTTGTTCACTAAATTTTTGAGGTAGTCTTGAATGTTATTCATGTGTATTAAAGGAAATATTTAACAATAAATTATCCAAAATCACAAAATTTTGACAACTATTTAAAAAACGAATTTTACCTGGATCTGGTGACAAACTAACACATAACTTGTGAAGCAAAGCTGCTAAATTAGTTGATGCTGTATCCATTATTGCATTTGTCTAGTAATACTATTGAAAAAAGCAACTATTATCAACAATTTATTAAATAATTTACATTATTTATTTATGTACTGGCTGCAGCAAATTAAATTAACAGACCAATAAACAAGTAGTTACATCAAGGATGTCATTGTCAACTTAACCAGAGAGTGGTCTGTGATTAATATAGCAAAGTGAAAACATATCGATAAATCTTATAACGATATTTTTGTTTGATTCGAGTTAGAGAGAATTCAACTCGAGGTATATCGAGTTACGCCTAACTCGATTTAACTCCAGTTGACATCACTATTTGTGCTGTAGTTTTGGTTTTGCTTCAGCTTGACAAAAAAATAACTTCCCGAAATGTTCAAGTGATGTTTTAAGCAATTATCATTAATTTTGGTGTTAAATAAATGAATAACATTTCAGCATAAAAATGAGTTTTTCTAGCGATGAAGTCAATTTCCTCGTTTATCGATATTTGCAAGAATCTGGTAAGTTAGGTTCATTGAACCAATGACGCTATAAATTCTGAAATCTAGAACAGAACCTTTTTTACATCCATCCTTCTGAATTCTGTTCCTTCATTTAACAAAATGCTATTAGACCAATTGATCCTTAATCTTACTGTAACGTTATTGTTTAACTTTTATAGGTTTTCATCATTCAGCATACACTTTTGGTATAGAGTCTCATATATCTCAGAGCAATATAAACGGAGCCTTAGTACCACCTGCAGCATTACTGAACATTCTTCAAAAAGGCCTTCAATATACTGAAGCTGAAATCACGATAGGAGAGGATGGTAAAAATAAAGCAACATGTGTTTGTAATCATATTTTTCTGGTTTCTCAATACTTATAAATATGTATTAATTTTCAGGAACTGAGACACGTCTTACTGAAAGCTTAAGCCTGATAGATGCAGTAACACCAGACATAGTTGCTGCTCGCCAAAATGCTCACAATGCACAAAAACAAGCTATCAAAGCAGAGCCTGGCTCTGGAGGAGAACAAAATGGAGTTGATGTAAAATTATTTGTTATTGTCTGTAGAATTATTTTTACTGGGGGCAATGTTTCTTTATATAATTTTGATTATGTAGGGTGCAGTGTGTACCACAGTCACAACTACAGGAGGAGCAACTACTCCCAGTGCTCCCGAAAATATGGATGTGGATCAGTCTATAGAAATACCTGCTAGCAAAGCTACAGTTTTGAGGGGTCATGAGTCAGAAGTGTTTATTTGTGCCTGGAATCCTAGTACAGATCTTCTTGCAAGTGGTTCTGGTGATAGTACTGCCAGGTAAGACTCATTGTTGCTAATGTTTTCATTTAAATATTTTATTCTACTTATTATATTTCTGTTTGTGTTATAGGATATGGGACATGTCAGATAATCCTGCAACTACACCTAACCAGCTAGTATTAAGACATTGCATTCAAAAAGGAGGAGCAGAAGTGCCAAGTAACAAAGATGTTACATCTTTGGATTGGAATGTTGGTGACACCTTACATGAAATAACTAATCATTCTTATTTTGTGTTCCTTTATAATATTTTTTTTGTTTTAGTGTGATGGTAATCTTTTGGCTACCGGATCATATGATGGTTATGCACGAATTTGGACAACTGATGGTACATTAGCATCTACACTCGGGCAACATAAAGGTCCAATATTTGCTTTAAAATGGAATAAAAGAGGAAATTACATTCTCAGTGCTGGGGTATGAATTTATGAAGTGAATATTCTTAGCTTTAAAATACTAGTCTTATCTTTACACCAAATTCCGAGAGAATCAAACTCCACTAGGCATGGTCCATACACAATTCTATAGTATCCTTAGCATTCATAACTCTGATTAGATGGAAAATTTACTTAAGAATTACAATTTTAATAATATTTCTGTATGTACTTATAAAATAAGTATAATATTGTATATAAATGACAACCAGGAAAAAATACAGAATTTTAGCAATCATCCATTGAAATTGAAGGATCGTGATTTCCAAACATATTACTAAATTTTAGTTTAATGACTGTTGAGATGGATCGAAAGGCAACGCCATATAAAATGAGACCTAGCAAACTAATAGAATTATATTACAGGTTGATAAAACTACAATAATATGGGATGCTGCAACAGGACAGTGCACGCAACAATTTTCCTTTCATCATGCACCAGCTCTCGATGTTGATTGGCAGACTAACACTTCATTCGCATCCTGTTCAACAGATCAGTGCATCCATGTGTGCAAATTGAATGCTGATAAACCAATTAAGAGTTTCCATGGGCACAATGTAAGATGATTATTTATTTTTATCTTAATAAGTTTGAAATTGTCTTCTAGAGTTATAAATAAGAATAATTATATCAACTACATAGAATTCAAAATTAAATATAATTAATTTTTATTTTAGAATGAAGTTAATGCTATAAAATGGGATCCACAAGGACAATTGCTAGCATCTTGCTCTGATGATATGACCTTAAAGATTTGGTCAATGAAACAAGACACATGTGTTCATGATTTACAAGCACATTCTAAAGAAATTTATACCATAAAATGGTCACCGACGGGCCCAGGAACACAAAATCCAAATATGAATTTGATTTTGGCAAGTGCTTCTTTTGACTCCACCGTACGCTTATGGGATGTAGAAAGAGGAGCATGTATTCACACATTGACTAAACATACAGAACCAGTCTACAGTGTAGCATTTTCTCCTGATGGTAAATTCTTAGCCAGTGGATCATTTGATAAGTGTGTACATATATGGTCAACACAATCTGGTGCATTGGTGCACTCTTATAAGGGCACTGGTGGAATATTTGAAGTGTGTTGGAATTCCCGTGGCACCAAAGTTGGTGCTAGTGCTAGTGATGGTAGTGTATTTGTGTTGGATTTACGCAAATTGTAGTAAATCATAAACATAGTGTGAAATTTCATGCTATGCAAGACTTACAATTCTTGAGGTATGCTGTTAAGAAGTGCCCTAACCTCTAATGACTCTTAATTTCAGTATGTTAATAGTATTACAGACTAAAAAGCTGAAATGAACTTCATATTAATACAGCATTGTCTATTCCATTATTGATGATGATAGATTATATCATATATATTTTAATTTATGATAGAATATGAGAAGCAATGAAAGTCCATTTAAGTTAATGGCAGTTTTTGTGAATATATATAGTTAAATTTTGTTTTCAGTTTTTTTTTTTTTCAAAAGAAATTATTTACTGAATATTATAGTGTCGTTTAAAAATATATAATAAATACTACGATGTCACTGTAGTGCTGTAAAAATATTATAGCATATAACCAATTATTTTGTATTTAAGTAAATTTAATAAATCTGATAGAATGTAATGAGAGTATTTTTATTAACCCAATTTAACTATCAATGCACATGGGGATGGTAAAATGATAAATTGAATAAAAACAAACAAGTTATTTTCATTGGATTTATTATAACATTGGTCGCTTATATGCTAACAAATCTTCATGCCTGTAAAGTATATGTAATTTTTCATACATGTATTTAAAAAAATATAACAAATTGTCATATTGGCCTTCATAAGGTTCACAATGTGAGTGATCAGTATTATAATCATGCACAGGGTAATGCAATGCAAGAGAGTTCTGATAATTTGTATTACGACCCCATGCACATAAATGTAATTCTAACATTAATTGGTGTAAAGCCTCCACAGTAGAGAGGTACCAACGTGGGCTTCCCTTCTGATGACGCCAAAATTGTGAAGGTCTTTTTTGTAATACAATTTTAGGTAATTTTTGTAGTCTTTTATCAGCAAAGATCCCCCTACTTTGATTCCAAGTACTATCTATTAAAATAACACAGTCAATAGGCAATTTCTTCACATGATATATATCTTCACATGAAACTTCTTTTTGAACTATTTTAGTCATCAGTGTGCCAACATTATATCCATGAGGTAGTTCTGAAAGGATTCTTTCAGTATATGAAATATTATTTGTTATGCCAGTAAACAAATCACGAACAGTTTGTGCTTCTGTCCCTGGATAAAGTAAAACTGTTCTACCATCCAAATCATAGTCTGGAACATCTGGGTAAGTGTATACATTCACATTATCAGGAGCTAAGACAGCGGCATGTGCTGCTGTGCTTTTTCCATCAATTTCTCCTTTATGTTTTATTATATCCACTCTCACTGGTAACTGAAAACAATTAAAGTATGCAAATATAAAATCAAATTAGACTATGTATCAGATAAATAAGTCTCTTAAAAAAATTTAAAAACCCTAAATTCCTAAATTCATATTTGGTCACAAAAATCAAAGGAGATTTATTGTGTTATGAATATAGTATATCAAAAATATTTATTTCTTAAATAGGTAAGATAAAATTGATCAAAAAGGTCTATTAAGAGTCGACTATGTGATTTTTTCTATAGAGCCAATTATTGGAATTAAGGTTTCTGTCTTAGCAAGCAATCAATTGTTTTCATAAAATGGTATAATTTGGCAAATATTAGCATAACCACAGAATAAAAAGTGGCAATTTACAAAATTCTCGACCTCTCAATCCTCGCCTTAAGAGATTGTCATCGTCACCCTAGGAATAATTTTGTATTGGAGTGTTTTTGGCTAATGACTAACCTATTGAAGTTCCTCATTCATATGTAATATCAACAGCTGTTTGTTTTTTTTTTATAAATAAATTAATAACTTGAACTCACTTTACATGTTGGTATTGCACCTTCCAACTGTGAGACTAGAACAAAACAAGTGTAACAGAAATACATTCTAGACTTTCCACATTTAGGGCAAGCGCTCCGACTTTTTAATGCATCAAGTGGCTCAGTGTTTCCTATCACCATTCCTTCGAAGGGTTTATCCTCTCGAGTTCTTGCTTCGATGCTTTTAGGGTTCATAATTATATCAATAACCTTTTACCGACGCCCTCTGGCCTTAATCTTAGAGTTAGACAGAAAACATTGAATTTTATTCCCAAGCCGCAAATAAAACTACTGCCTAATTAAATTAATGAGATATACGTAAATTATAGGTATAGGTTTTGGTTGAACTAATTCCATAGAACGTCTGACGGCGTTCACTTTTGAGAAACAAAACAAAATTTATACTACTCTTTGAACAAAATTCCGTCCGATGAAATAAACAAATTATAATACTACTCTTTGGACATGAATAACGTTGAAGAGTAAATGTGTCTGTGGTTGTAAATAGAAGTAGTTAAATTAGCACTTAGCGTGTAAATTTAACACGCTAATCGTACTTAGCGCTTAACGCTGTTAAGTATGTACACGTTAAGGCGTTATAAATTTAGCGCCCAGTGTTGCCAATTTCGCATATTTTTGATAAAGCTACCGTTTCGTTACCTTGCGTGCGTAAATATCGTGGACATTTCACGAAGCCTAAGGTGGCAACATTATGACAAGTTTGTGGGGCCGCCTTTACGTCAACAGCTCTCTACCGTAATTCGGGGATTCCCCTACAACTATAGTCATTAAGTATACCAAAGACAAAAATCATTCAAGAAAAGTGAAATAGGACAGTATCGTTGTCAGTTTTACGTGTATTATCATTGATTGGACGTTAATATGCTGTCTAAATACAGTCAGCATTACCGAGTAGAGTAGAGTGCTACCGAGTAGGGCTGGTTACAGTCTGTCGAAAATGACACGATGAAGGCCTAATATAAACGATTAAAACATAACATAAATACGTAAATAATGTTGATTAAATAATATTTGAAATAAAATGACGTTTTATTTGACATCTAATATTTTAAGCATAAATTAAAAAGTCTTAGCATAATTTTAACAAAATTTAAACAACCTTTTAGCAAACTTTATGTTACTCTTGTTGGCAACACTGTTAGCGCCCGAGGCCGAAAGGGCAGTATTCGATTACTAATCTGTGGCGTGGGCGCGAACAGTCATGGACGCGTGAACGATTTGTTCTTGCAGTACGTTTAATAATATCGCGCGCGAAGCCGATTTTGAACCAACGTGAAGGTGCAAATGTTGATAGACGTGTAACGATATATTCTAGTAACATGTTAAATATGATCGTATATTATTAACATAGTTTAGTTAGCTAATATTTAAAATTGTTTTGATTAAATTGCGATTACGTAAGTAAAATAACAATAAGGAAGTATTTAAAAAAAAAACGAAATCACTAAAAAAGGAAACGAATGGACAAAAGACAGTCATTTCCTATCCTATTAATTTACATCTTAAAAGACTAAAATTTTAAAAGTTCGAAACTTAGATATCAATACAAATACGAAAAAGTACAAATAGAATATGAGTTGTTTATTGAGTTTTGAAAACTAATTTACTTTTAAACATGAAAGAAAAATGGAAGGGTTGTCATGGAGAAATCAAGAACGTACCGTGGCGACATCTAGTACATTTCAGGAACTAATGTTTTTTAAATACTTTCTTATTCCGTTGTTCCTTTTTAAAAATCGATTAATTAATTATTGTTATTCGATTCGAAATATATATGATTAATTGATTATAAAAATGGAACATTTGATACTATTAAAAGTACCTATCGTCACCTCAAATGAGAGGTAACTCGCGAGCCACTCACGGGGCAAAATGAGATCATTCAGTCATCCTCATTAAAAAAGAGTGAGTTACACAACGCTAAATAAATGTTTTGGTACGAGATTTAGAGTACTGCTTGATTTAATGCGTTTGTCGCGCACCCTTTTTAGTATGTAGTTTACGCGCTAATAAATTAAAACATTAATTAACACGCTAATTTTTCTTACCATTTAGTCTCAGTGATTAACACACTGAGACTAAATGGCATTTTAAACGTTTTGAAAAGCTATATTTGAAAACCATAAACAACATATGGTGAACGTTTTAAAAATATTAAATCTGCCCGACACTACCTAGTATTCTTCCAAACCAGTCTCCAAAAATATGCCATCATATTTTTCATACTTAATAGTATCTAGGCGTGTCCACTCAAGAATCCATTATTGAAATTGAAAAAGAAATTCCAGCACCTAAAACGCAGATAACTGATTTTAGAAAATCATGTTTGTCGTTTTATATCGAAGCAATCAAACAGATCACACAACGTTTTATCTTTTCGGACCCACCTTACGACATAATCGAACTAGTCACAGATCCTCAAAAAGCTCAATCATTTGAGACAAAAGACCTTACTTTTGTCGTCAATAGATTTCCATATTTAAGAAACGATTTAGATCTCGAAGAGCTAAATAAAGAATGGAAAATGCATGCACTGTTAGATTTTACTCATTTAAATTTGTCTCCGAATCTATAAATACTCGATTACTGGAACAATGTGTTTAGGTTAAAAAAAAGTTCAGGAGAGCCTCAGTTTCCATGTTTAAAAAAAGTTATAATGCTTTTGCTGGTCCTACCCTAGGGCTTTTCAAACGCCAGCGTTTTCAGCCAGCTCAAATTGATTAAATCGGACCAGACTTAGAGTAAGTACAGTACGACACAAACAGTAGAAAATAAATGAGAGAGCCCCTGTCGTTTGATAGAGCAACAATTTTCATAGAAATCCATTGAATGTCATTTTGAAAATGACGCATTTGTATGGTGTCTCTGGTGTAAGTAAAAAAAAAACACGAAAATTATCGCCATCTTTCATTCATTTTATTTTCATTTTACATGTAAAAATTAATTTATTTACTTGACTTTTTATCAGACTTAGCCGCTTTATTTTTCTTTTTTGTTTTATAACAATATATTTATAACAATATACTGAAAACGTAATAAAAATATTTTATTGAATGTTGTGATGATTTAAAGACCCAACTTCACCAATCTCAGCTTACCTTATCGCCTGCTTGGTATGGAGTAATTACGACCAAATTTGACATTGTATAGATTCAGATTGGTGAAATCAAAACGTTAGAATTTTACTTTTCAAAAACTTTAATATTTTTACTTACAGCAAAATGCCTCCAACGAAAGATCAAAGTTTAGCAAAACAGCGCATGTGTAAAAGAAGACGCTACAACGCTAGCTTAAAAACAAAAATTATCCAGAGCTGCTTGCCATCGAAAAATAAAAACGAAGAAATCAATATCTTAAAAGAAAAGAAGAGAAAAAAGTTGTTCAAAATAAAGATAAAACTCCTCGGTCTCAAAGAGAACCAAAGTAATGGCAGTACTAGTATTTTCGACCTAAGTATAATAAAATTTGGTTTCGTAATAAAATATTTTCACACACTTTTACTAAGTATAATAAAAGTGTGTTAAAATATTCATTTATTGTCATTTTGATTAATCAACAAAAGATTAGTTGCGTTCGGAGCACAAAACGCTTGCGGCTGGTGGGACAAAAAGCATCTCACCACTAATTTCTTTCAGACGTCAGAAGTGAGTGCTGGATACTGGATCTTCAGCAGGAAGCGCTTACGCCTTTCGAACGAACCAATTGGAAGTCCTTTCCGAAACTGACAGTTAGTTGAATACTTGATGTCGATTATTTCAAATGTGGGGCCGCCCTTCGAGGTTAATAACGTTTAATTAGACCATTTACCATCACATTCAACAATAAAAAGTGTTTCACGTGATTAAGTGCAATTTAAAATGGCATAATTTAAAATTATTATAAGAGCCTTAACAAGATGATGGTGGTAAACGTTCATAATTATTTAAAAAAAAATATTATTCCTACAATAATGTTGAAACTAAAATGGTTCATTAAGTCAACAGGTGTCATAAATTGTTGACTTGATTTAATAAATAACCTATGGGATCGACCGAACGTAGAGTAGGCAAATTAATGACTGTCATTTTAAATTATTACCAACGAATTACCTAATTATAAACCAAGAAGACTATAATGATTAAGTTCAGAACCAAATAGCTACTCTAGCGTCAAAGATGCGCTTGGCTCAGTTACCTGGCTAAGTGCAATACGGTTAAGGATCTCATCTAGATATATTTTATTTTGTTTGTTTTTATGCCAATGTTTTATAAATAAAGAATATTTTAAGATTATGTAAGTGTTTATTGTGAAGTACCCAAATTAAATCCTTTTATATCATTTACTCCAACACCTCGTCATTATGTTATACGCAGATATCATTCTCCACGAACGGAGTCATTTGCCTCAACATGAATAATTCTAAATTTAAAAATATTATAATTCAATGAACGCCTTTTATTTTAAAATTCGACTTTGCATCCATAAATTACATAAAAATGAATAAAAAGGCCTTACATTGAGGTTTTAAGAAAAATAAAAAATCTTGATAAGAATAATATTTATCGAAGAACAACCCTGGCGTTTTCCCTATTTCTTGAATTTTTTAAAAAGCTTAGTAAATGGTTCTTTCTTTCTGTATTTCTTTTTGGCAGTTCTTATCAGTAAAAGCGGTAGTATTCTGTTTTCAGTAAATTACTATAAAGTACTCGATACCTACAGGCATCGATATTTTATGTATCTTTGCAACACTACTTTGACATGACAGCTGATGACGTCACAAGCCAGTAAACAGAATCGTGATTGGTTGTGACGCCAACCAATTATAGAACGTTTTCGTCGTTGAATAAATTCCTAAAAATATAGCATTTTTATTACGTTATTTTACTAAATCTAAACATGTTTTTTCTTCAGATTTTAAGAAATAAGCTTTATTATAATTATTATCTATCAGGATGACCACAAAATAAAACTTATTTTCGATAGTGTCAAATACCCTATTGCGTTGACCAAAAAATGGCACTGATGAAACTTCATAAAACTCAATCACACTCATACATGATATTCCCAGAGCAATCAAGATACAGCTATGAATTCCAACTATAGTGTAAGTGAATGAATTCAGCACTAATTGAATTTTGATATTTTTACTTGATACCGTATTAGTCGTGAGATATCGAACCCACTTGTATCGAACA